ATTCTTGAAAGGTTCGTATATAGAGGTGCCTGCAGTTCCACACCACTGTACAAAGTGAGTGGATGCTTGAATGTTTGAATGTCGAGAGTCAATGAATGAGTGTTGTATTACAAGAGAGTCTATGAGTGAGTGTTGTATTACAAGATTGTCAATGAATGAGTGTTGTATTACAAGAGAGTCTGTGAGTGAGTGTTGTATTACAAACTCTAGATTGCCCCCAGCTCAAGGAAACTACCTAAGAAAATAAGCATTGTTCTGGGCTCCATTCGGATTTCATTTTTTATATTTTGTAGATACATATTTTTAAATAAGATTACTTTATTTCAGAACTACGGACCAAAACACCGGGGGATAACGTGCACACACACACACACACACACACACACACACACACACACACACGTTGTCACCATCTTGTCTTCAACCGTCCCTAACAAGAATGGGGTTGTGTGGACCTATTTTACCCAGGAGTCACCACTGAGATACAGCTTATATAAAACCTGCATCGTTTATTCTAAAGGGCTTAAGGTTGGTGTTAATGAAGACTGCGCCTCTTCCACCATAAGCTTACCATTAAGTGACCTGCACACACGCAGCCCTCTATACCAGCTGCCATTGAAGTGTCTCCATATTGCCACAAGTTGTCCACCGATCAGCCACTTCATTAAAACGATCATGGGTCAGTCATTATTTCCAGATATTCTATAAACCAATGGCATATGAGAAGACTTCTCCTGTATAATGCCCAATCTTTCGTTCGTTATTGTGGTTACTGAGCCGCGGGTTTGTTAGTGAACTAGTTAGTGAGATTGGCGACAGTGTGAGTTGTATCTACTGTAGGCGCTGTGTCTGTGTTAATGTGTATGTGGGTGAGGATTGCTTCTCCTTAGCGGCACGTGTCGGTGTACCCAGACTGTGGGTGGGTGAATGTTGTTTTACGCCACAGAAGCTATATGACACACTCCTTGTTGACAGCATTAAATACTTAGCAACGTCCCCCGCCGTTCAGTTGAACAATATTTTGATAAATTATGTAAAAACTCATGCTTCACGTAACTTAGTTTAGAATATCATGTAATAGGCCTCCAGTTGAAGTGGGTCACTAGGGGAAAGTATCATTTCTTGAAAGGAAAAGTAATATGTGTGATAGGAGGGACGTTGTTGATGAATTTCATACACTTTTCCATAGTATTTTTTTAAAAAGCGACAGATATGATTTGGTATTCCAAATGTCTTAAAATTCCAACGTTTAATAGTACATGACAAATATATGTGTGTTAAAAATGCTATCTATTTTTTATTCAATAATAATGCAAACATATATGTCCTCTGAGTAAATAATATATGCACTGCACTGATGTATATTCTAAATAATGAAACCTTGCTGCACTGCTACTGAAATAAACTAAAAAGAAAGTATAAGAAAGAAAGTATACACCTATGCTTGCTCATGAAACAAACAGGAAATGGTTATTCGATGCTTATGTATTTGTGTTATGGACCTTTAGTTTGCAGTCTTTCGGCGACTGCGTTCAGCCTAGTAACGTTTGGATAACGTTGGTAATTGTTTTGGTCAATCCAATTTTTAAATGTATACTTTCTTTTGCCCGGCAGTGTATATTTATGTGTAATCTTCACATGCTACAACCAAGGGCCAGAGACAGATTAAGTTGTGTCTGTGTTATGTTGGGTGCGGGGACATACTATCAGCACCCGATCCTCATTTTGGTTGCCTCGTACGATCAGGGGCGGTCGGGTAGCCTAGTGGTTAAAGCGTTCGCTCGTCACGCCGAAGACCCGGGTTCGATTCCCGACATGGGTACAATGTGTGAAGCCAATTTCTAGTGTTCCCCGCCGTGATATTGCTGGAATATTGATAAAAGCGGCGTAAAACCATACTCACTATCTCACTCGTACGATCAAAGCCTGACCCGGAATCCCCTTTGGGGTGAATTCAGGACTATGGGATCATCCCCGTGGATTGTGTCTTGCACTGGGCCCGTGTTCGGGAAAGAGCCGCTCGGCTGCTTGGTGTCATCCCATGTAATACTGCACCTGTCGTTGATACACTCGGCACACAACAAGATCCAAGCAAGGAAACAGCACACTGATAAAACCCTCACTCACAGACCATTGTTTGTTTGTTGTTTAACTCAGCAATATTCCAGCTATACGACGGCGGTCTGTAAATAATCGAGTCTGGACCAGACAATCCAGTGATTGATATCATGAGCATCGATCTACTTCATTGGGATACATGACATGCATCAACTAAGTCAGCGAGCCTGACCACCTGATCCCGTTAGTCGCCTCTTACGACAAGGTTAGTCGCCGTTTATGGTAATAATGGGTTGCTGAAAACCTATACCAATCCAGTGATTAACATCATGAGCATCGATCAACGCAATTTGGATACGATGACATGCATCAACCAAGTCAGCGAGCCTGACCACCCGATGCCGTTCGTCGCCTTTGACGACAAGTATTGTCGCCTTTTACGGCAAGTATGGGTTGCTGAAGACCTATTCTACCCTAGGCTTGACCATTTCGCTATACATGTCATGTTTTGGTAGGTTCAGTGAATATGAATGTTCCTTGCCCCGGTACTTACAGCACTGTACCATCGGGCTAAACAGAATTGAGTGATTTCTTAAAGAATGTTATGGTTCATATATAATTTCTCTATAAGTTTGCAAATGAACTATAGTTGCGTCTGTTTTTCTTACCTACAGTTAAAATGCATGAAACCCACGAGGACGGACCTAGAAACATAATCAGGGCGAACCGGGATTCGAATTCACGATCATAGGTTTCTGGCACGCCTTGGCGACACTGCACATGGAATTTAGCCTTAGACAAGCGGGTCATCCGGACCCCCGCATTAGGCTTTTAACAGAAACACAAACTGCATACCACTCAAAACAAGTTAAGGACGACCCGATACTTTCAGATTACTTTCGGGGCGGTCGGGTAGCCTACTGGTTAAAGCGTTCGCTCGTCACGCCGAAGACCCGGGTTCGATTTGGTGTCTCTCGCCGTGATATTGCTGGAATATTGCTAAAAGCGTCGTGAAACCATACTCACTCACTCACTGACTCATATAACTTTCGTTAATCTATGACATGACAGATTAACTAGTAACATGAAAGAAAAGGGTGGTCCTTAATATTTGTTTAGTAGAATATAATCTAACACAGAAAACATAGTTTTTATTATTTTATCATTTTCGGGAAATGTAAATCTTCATTTCATTTTGTCCGAACACGTGTCATATACACATTGATGTCGCATTTATATTTTGAATCGACCTTGACCTTCTTACAACGATAAACACAGCCAATGCAGATGCTTAATGGTAAATGTCTCTCATTAAACACACGGAATCATGGCATCATTATCAATAGTGACATATGGCTCAGTCTCAGAATGACCGGATATCCAGGGGCGGATAAGGAAACATCCTCCCACACCGTAATCTCTACTGACCAACCGATGAAGAGCCTCGCAGATCATACAACTCCTTGCAGCGACATTACTTGACCAATACGACAGCCCACAGATACGTCAGGCGCAGCGTCGAGTACTCACGAAGATTACCCCGCCAGGTATTTGCAGTTTCCCGTTTCTCAGGCCTTCACTACACTGATTATTAATGGGGGCGGTAGTAATCTTGTGTGGACAAAAGAGGGAAAATAGGACTTCATTCCAAGGACTAAACATTTCCTGGGGATAACAGGACAGAATAACCCCGATCACATTAACATGCTGTATTGAACTATTCTTTCGTTTATGTGGATGTGATATTAAACGGAAAACCTTCTGGTACTAGATTCTAATAAAGAGGCCATTTAATATTGAAGATGGGAAGGGGTTCACGAGGTTAGCCTTTTAAAAATAGGGTTTGGATATTTGAAAGCATTAAAGTGGTGATAATTATAATGGTCTAATGGGAAAAGGAAAATGTTCGAATACAGTTTACGCAGCATTTAAAGAATTCAATGTTTATAAATAGCATACATGTTGTTAATGGTCGCAACGAATGATACATTTGCAACAGGAGGTTAATGCAACATTCGACCCGTGAAGATCCGGGGTAGAATTGGTCTTCAGCAACCCATGCTTGCCGTAAAAGGCGACTATACTTGTCGTACTTGGCGACTAACGGGATCGCTGACTTGGTTGATGCATGTCATCGTATCCCAATTGCGTGGATCGATGCTCATGATGTCAATCACCGGATTGTCTAGTCCAGACTCGATTATTTATAGACCGCCGTCATATAGCTGGAATATTGCTGAGTGCGGCGTTAAACAACAAACAAACAAACAGAATACAGCATTCACTCACTTGCTTAAACATGTGATAACCTTACGTTTCAGGGTGATGGCGTTATGGTCGCCATGTGGTCTATATATACGTAGCATGAAGAGGTGGGTGAGTAGACCCGAGGGTAAAATCTCGCTCCCCACGTCGTGTTCGAATCGCTACTTGGGAAGCCCATTCTGGGTTCCGTCGCCGTGAGATGGCAAGAATAAATATTAACAAAATTGACAAAAAACAATACTCACTCACAAGTAGCGTAGTATAATCGATCAGCCATGAAGAAATAATTTGGTTTAGTATGAATTTCAGTGGTCATAATCTACTTAGTCACTGTACCCGTGAATATCCGGGGTAGAATAGGTCTTCAGCAACCCATACCTACCATAAAAAGCGACTGTGCTTGTCGGAAGAGGCGACTAACGGGATCATCGTATCCCAATTGCATAGATCGATGCTCATGATACCAATCACTGGATTGTCTGGTCCAGACTCGATTTTTTACGGACCGCCATCATATAGCTGGAATATTACTGTGTGTGGCGTTAAACAAGAAACAAATACAAACAAAAAGTCTAACTGGCGTTGGGGTGTGATTATACGAGCGCTTCGGCAATCAAGGCTAGGGAATGAAAATCTGTTGGGCGTTGTTGGGTCTCTTTGATGCACGCTTTTTTCAAGATTCTCATTCATGACACGTGATCTACAGTGATTACATTTCACCCAACTTGGATTTTTAAAAGTGCGTCGCTTGCCTAACCGATGAAGAGTGAGTTCATTTGTTGTTTACCCGTATGTTGATTATTATAAACTCATTTCAAATCAGTAAAGATATATCTCCTCAGCGTCTCTCGATTAGGCCTTACAAGTGGAAATCGGGGGTGGGAGAGAAGGGGGAGAGTCGCCATGTAAAAACCTGGCTGTGGTAAGTGCCAAGCTCATGGATGATACATTTAAAGTTGACGGGTCATCCTACAAATGGCCGGTGCTGTCTTTACGGGGTAAAACGTCAGCCCTAACCTCTGCTTTTTAAAAATCATAACGCGTGGCTGGAGATATTATAACATTATTATGTTGTGTTAGGATTAGGTTGCACTAACCCAGGCACAGATTGAAGCAGGGGTTACGGGTTGAAATCTTCCACTTGGGTTAGAATTCAAAGAAATTTATCTTCTTCTACTAAAATTGTGGGATGGTGACTTCATAAAAAAGATAATTATGGAGAGGGATATACGCTTTTCTGCATGACTTACTGTCACACTCTCCGCTAGTATATGTATGACCTAATACAGTAAGATTAAGTTGGTTTTGCCAACACCGTCTCTTCTGTTTGACAGTCCAGCATGGCGCTCCACCCTCTATGGATTGTGTTGATGTCCTCCCTCGTCAGTGTGGCGAGCGAAGGTAAGAACAAAGCCTATATCGTCTTTACACTTTCTGATATGCTTTGTTTGTTTATTTATGTTTTTACGCCGCACTCAGCAATATTCCAGCTATATGACGGCGGTCTGTAAAAAATCGAGTCTGGACCAGACAATCCAGTGATTGATATCATGAGCATCGATCTACTTCATTGGGATACATGACATGCATCAACTAAGTCAGCGAGCCTGACCACCCGATCCCGACCACCCGATCCCGTTAGTCGCCTCTTACGACAAGGTTAGTCGCCGTTTATGGTAAGAATGGGTTGCTGAAAACCTATACTACCCCAGATCTTCACAGGTCTTCTGATATGCAAGTCTCGTATGATAGAGGACATAATAAAATAGCAGGGATCTTAATCATTAAACTGAGGTGTTATATATGCTTAAGTTGAGTATAGATATTCATAATCTCCCGAGTTATATCTTAACAACATTAATTTCGTGAAATGTTATTTTAGAAACATTTCCAAGTGTTAAAATATAGCGGAGTATTATGGAAACAGATTAGTATTGAAAATATCTGAATTGTTAATGATATTATACGCCATTCGGGGTATCTAAAATACCCCTATTTGGGACATACCATGTTTTGATTGCCGTATTATACGCCATCTACCTGTGTGGCTAAAGCACTAGCTCGTCACGTCGAAGTTTCGGGTTCGATTCCCAATATAGGTACTAGGTGTGACTGCTGACCCAACGCTTTGATTTGGCTGGAATATTACATAGGCGATGTACGCCGAACGCCCGGGTATATCATTGGATACAATGTGTGAAGCCCATTTCTGGTGTCCCCGTGATATCGCTGGGATAGTGCTTTAAGCGGCGTAAAACCATACTCATTCACTCACATAAAGTGAAGTAAAATTTAACCGAGAAGACTGGAATTAATTTCCAAATCTTGAAACGTGTTATTATGTTAAAATACGTTATATTAAAGACGCGGGAACGACACTTAGAAATACTATAATGTATTGCAAGTCACAAAAAGGTGTTGATAGCTGGTAATATGTCTTCGCTTTTATACTTCCAACCTCACTCATTCTCTTTATAATCATGATATTTACAGATTTCATTGGCTATAAAGTGTCGTCATCAACCCCATCAGACGGTGGATACACGTCAATCGTCCTGGAAGGGCTGCCCCTGGCCATTGATGTCGTCACAGGGTTCTACGTCACCATGGCTACTGCCAACTGCCCAATCAAATTACAGATATGGAGGAGATTGTCGTATCTCAAGTATAATCTCCTTTTTGAGAAAGAACTCAGTTCATCTTCTGTGGGACCTAACTATGTAAGTGTTACAGTTTAAATAATACGATACTTCCATAGTTCCCAGCTATATTTTGGATCGCGACATGGAGTGGTTGGTTGCGCCATAAGCAGTGCACCCTGTTGAAACACCATGTGTGCGTATGCGTGCCCTTGTGTGAACGTGCGTATGTGTGTGATAGCATTTACCGGTATAGGCAGGTCGACATTATAAAATAGGGCGAATAACAGTTTAAATTATCATGTATTTGGTTTGTTTGTTGTTTAAAGCCGTACTCAGCAATATTCCAGCTATGAAGGCGGTCTGTAAATATTCGAGTCTGGGCAAGACAATCAGACAATCATGAACATCGATCTACGAAATTGAGATACGATGACATCCATTAACCAAGTCAGCGAGCCTGACCACTCGATCCCGTTAGCCGCCTCTTATGACAAGCATAGTCGCTTCTTACGGCAAGCATGGGTTGCTGAAGACCTATTCTAACACAGAACGTCACCGGTCTGAAGGTTGGTAGCCACCAAGTGAATACCCACTATCTCCGACCTGTAGCAAAGGTCATCAGAACGTGTCAATGTCATATGATTTATTGTCTTTGCCCCAAATGTGTTTTTTTTATATTTTGAAATATTTTACAGTTAATTCCACATCATACCTCTCTGTACTATGCACTACTGATAGCCCACCTTTCAGATCCCTCTGGAAGAATCGGAACAATTCAACATCTTCAATGGTGACAGGCTGGGGTTTTCGTCTCTCAGTTCCGCCCATTCCTGTGTGGTCTATACCTTGGTCACTAACCCGGGAGATGAGACCCCGACCCTCCGTTACAGCTACAGTGACGGCATTCCACCGGTACAGGGCAACACCTACACGTTCGACAAGTACAAAAAGACATACCGATACGGCATAGGCATCATGGTGAAATGTACGTCTTCTATTATCCTTCAGCCTTGTGGGTATCTACCATATAAAGCACTTTGTGTGACCGTAGTCATCAGGGGGCACAGGTGGCCCAGTCGTCTAAGGCACCGCGATTCGCTGTGCAGAGTTGCGTCTATGGGCACGCCAGAAACCTATGATTGTGGGTTCGAATCCCGGTTCGCCCCGATTATGTTTCTAGGTTTGTCAGCACCATACCCGTGCTCGTGGGTTTCACCGAAGCGGTAAACGTCTGCATCACTTCGGGCTTTCCTCCCACATTAAGCTGACACGCCGTGATATAACTGGAATACTGTTAAAAGCGGCGTTTAACTCAACTCACTCACTCACTCACTCAACCCGTAGTCATAATAGCCCCTGGCACTTATTAACATTGCTTCCATTTAACTGGACAGCGAAATACCCATCAAAACTCTTCTGTTTAATTCATTTATTTAGGAATGATCGGAAAGTGAAATATCACCTTTTCATTCCTCTTTCTAATAAAACCTTAGGTAACAAAAAGTAAACGCGACTCATCATTCCACAGTGCAGAGTTGCGTCCCTTGGCCGTGCCGGAGGCCTGTGATCATACTTTCTTGATTTGTCGGCAGCATACTCGAGCTCGTGGGTTTCACCACAGTGGTACTCCGATTATGTTTCTTGGTTTGTCAGCACCATACCCGTGCTCGTGGGTTTCATCGAAGTGGTAAACGTCTGAGACCTGCATCACTTCGGGCTTTCCTCTACATTAAGCTGACACGCCGCGACATACTAGTAACTGTAATACTATTAAAAGCGGCGTTAAACCCCACTCACTCACTCACTCACTCACTCACTCACTCACTCACTCACCCACTCACTCACTCACTCACTCACTCACCCACTCACTCACTCACTCACTCACCCACCCACCCACCACAGTGGTAAACGCCTAAGCTCTGCATTACTTGGGGTTTCCTCCAACATCAAGCTGACTGGTCGTGGCCGTGATGTAACTGGAATACTGTTCAATGCTGCTTTAAACCGAAATACCTCTCTCAAGTTGAGGGGATGGTTTTCATACTACCGTGCTCCAGATAGATGCCGTATCGTACGGATAAAAAAGCCAATTATGGATGGATTGCAAATTACAACCGTATCAAATACGCGGGCAATGCTATACGCACTCATATTTAATTGTTACCGTATTTCGTCTATTTATTCTCAAAAATATTCTTTAAAACAAAGTTGAACTTCTGTATACCGTATCGGGGATTACCATCCGCTTTAACGACGGGAATATATCATTCGCTCCAGCAGAAAATGGATTTCCTGCAAATCCTGCATTGTCATTTGCTGAAAATAACGCACCCGAATTCTCGGTTATGTTGTAATAATGGCGGCGCAATATCATACCAGTACTCGTCAGTTCAACAAACGAGCAGAACTGAACTCATTTAGTTAAACAATTATCCGGTGCACTGACTAAGGCTGAACGTGTATTCTGTGACCAGCCGAATACACAAGAGGGCGGTCGGGTAGCCTAGTGGTTAAAGCGTTCGCTCGTCACGCCGAAGACCCGGGTTCGATTCCCGACATGGGTACAATGTGTGAAGCCCATTTCTGGTGTGCCCCGCCGTGATATTGCTGGAATATTGCTAAAAGCGGCGTAAAACCAAACTCACTCACTCACTCACCGAATACACAAGTCTGCTGGCTGTGTTCAAGGAGCCGGGAATCTGCAGAGTTGCCCCCCTTAGCTGCTGGGATCCTATGATCGTGGGCTACTTTCCTGGACTCGACATTTGAATGTCAATACCATTCCAGTTGTAAACGTCTACTGCGTCACTTTTCCCCCATCAAGCTGTGCCATGCCGTGATATAACTGGACGCAGCGTTAAATCACAAGTCATTCCCCCATTCCCCTCTTAACATTTCACCATTAACACTTTACTTACCATGTTGGCAATATTGAACATGACGAAAGAAATTTCTTTCATCGGATGTCCAGACAGTTTAGAAAATAACATTCTACATTGTAGTGTTAACTCTGTTCTGTTATCAGATGGCAACCAGCATCGGAAGTTCTTCATGGCGGGCACAGAAAGTACGTCTCACTTCATACCAAATGACAGATGTTCGTCCTCAGCTGAGATTGCTTGAGGGGGCACGGGTGGCCCAGTCGTCTAAGACGCCGCGATTCGCTGTGCGGAGTTGCGTCCCTTGGGCATGCAAGAAACCTATGATTGTGGGTTCGAATCCACGTTCGCCCCGATTGTGTTTCTAGGTTTGTCAGCACCATACCCGTGCTCGTGGGTTTCACCGAAGTGGTAAATGTCAGGGACCTGCATCACTTTGGGCTTTCCTCCCACATTAAGCTGACACGCCGTGATATGACTGGAATACTGTTAAAAGCGGTGTTAAACCCATCTCACTCACTGAGATTGCTTGATAACTTACATACAAAAGGAACGCGTTTCATTATTGCATGGTCGTCTCATTCTGCTTTGACATAAATATATCCCGAAGATAATACTTTTTTGACTGTTACAAGAAGTACGTGTTAAAGAAACTCTGAGCTTATTTGCTTATGTATATTTTTTGTGAGGGAGGAGAATGTATGGATGTCAATTTCTTTATTATGGGGAACACAACGTTTCGGAGTATATGCTTACTCCTTCATCGTATGAGTGAATGTTAGGAAGCAGAGAGCATGTATACGTCCATGTACTTGTAACAAGTTACCGAGAAATCAGAAGATGACAAATCTCCCCGACCCCCACAAATTCGTAATTTTTTATATCTTATCTGTATGTCCATATTCAAGAGTAATTATTGAGCTATCAAAACACTACCATGCAATTGGGAGTCAGAACTTGATATTTCTATGTCAGGTACTCTAAAAGTCACAACTTCAGCCCTTGGTTAATACTTGAACTAGGTTTTGATGAAAAGTCGCGGTTCAAGTTGTGCTCGGGAAATGATGTTCTGTGAATCTGGTGATGAGGGGTCTAAAGGTTTCTCCAATGTATCGGTGGCCACAGTTGCCAGGGGTGTGGTACATACATCCTTTGGGGTCGGAAATTGCGCTGCTGGTGCCTCTGCCACTGGTTCGTAGATAGATAAGTAAAAAAAGTTGACATCCATAAATTCTCTTCCTTATGTATTACTTCTCGCTGCCATTCTAAGACTTCATATTTTTGTTATATAAAGGCAATATGTTACATTTTGCATTTTCGACGAAATTTTGTAAGATAGTTTTAACTTTTGAATGTTGATGTAACGTATTAGTGTTACTCCCTAAATGATAGAAACTAGCACGATTTGCTTATCAAGTATGTTGTTTTACTGTCTTGCATCTTTCTTTCTCAGATGTTCGTTGACCTACTACCCTCCCGTTTCATGTCATATCTTACAATCTATTCTTTCAATCCATTGCCCTCGTCCACAGGAGTGATCGGTCACCACGTGAACACAGATAAACTGGCATCAGCAGGGAAGATCACTATCATCCTGGAGGGTCTCATGCTTACCGGGGGCATGGTCAGCGGATATTACGTCAGGCTGGCCAAAGCGAACTGTCCAATCAAACTACAGATATGGCGGCCTACTTCCGGTCGGTCCTACGATCTGCTTGGAGAGACGAACTTCATGTCAAATACTACCGGCTATTTCCATGTACGTAGAGTGAGAGGGTGAATGCTGTTAACGATGCAGTCAGTTATAGTAACGCTATCTTTCGGCGGCGTGTAATTAGCGTTTGGACCAGCGATTAGTTATATAAGCAGCCAATGTCCTGGTATATCATTCCCTTTTTTTTAATTTTGATGTTCTACATTCTCAGCACATAATGTCGTTAGCTCAGTGCTACTGCAATTTTTTGACATCAAAAGAGAAGGGATATTTTCATGTACTTGCATATGGTAGACGAAGTGTACACTTCAGATCAGTCGAAACAACGATACGAAAATAGGTTCGTTGGTTGTATGGTTTCTTTACACATCTGAAGCACCAATTGGCATTTGATTTTAGCAGGAAACAATTTTAACCACCGACACCGGTAGCGAATAATATGGATTGAAAAATAACAATATTCAAAATTTGTTTACCCCGCACGGTTTCCAAACATGAGTTGGGTTTGACGCCGCTTTTGACAGTATGCCAGTTATTTCACAGCGTTTCAGATTAATGGGAGGACATTCTGAAGTGATACAGGTCCCTGACATTTACCACTTCGGTGAAACCCACGAGCACGGATGTGGTGCTGACAAACTTAGAAACATAATCGGGCCGAACCGGGATTCGAACCCATAGTCCTAGGTTTCTGGCGTGCCCAAGGGACGCAACTCATTCAGATGATCTGTAAACTGGTTCCGTCTCTGCAATCCCAGTAAGGGGTCACGGGTGGTCCATACGTCTCAGGCGCTGCAATTCGCTTTGCAGAGTTGCGTTTTTTGTGCATGCGGGGCCTATAGTTGTGGATTCGAATCCCTGTTTGCCCCGTTTATGTTTCAAGGTTTGTCAGCACCATCCAGTGCTCGTGGGTTTCACCGAAGTGAACGTCCCAGAGTCATTCATGGCCTTCCTCCCACATTAAGTTGATATAATTAAAATACTGTTCAAAGCGACGTTAAACCAAACTCACTCATCAATCCTAATTACGTTGCCTAGGTTCCCTCATCTAACCCCATCCCAGTGACTTCGGCTGACAAGGTGGGGTTCTCCACCCTGGACGACAGCAGCACGTGTGTGCCCTACATGTTTGTGTCCGACGAGAGACGGTCCCAGACAGTCTTCCACGACTTCTTCTCCTCCAGCCCCCCTGCCGTCAACTCCACCCAAATCTTCAGCGCCCTCCAGACTACGTACCTCTTTGCTGTGGAGGTAGCCATTGTTGGTGAGATACATGCGAGACGTTGACGTACAGCCCTAGACACACCCCTGCTTCGTAATCTCTTACACCCTTGAAGATCCGGGTTAGAATTGGTCTTCAGCAACCTATGCTTGTCGAAAGAGGCGATTAACAGGATAGGGTGGTCAGGTTTGCTGACTTGGTTTATGCATGTTTTCGTATCCCAATTGCGTAGATCGATGCTCATGATTACAATTACTGGATTGTCTTGTCAAGTCTCGATTGTCGTGTATAGCTGGAATAATGCTGAGTGCAGCGTAAACCGAAAAAAAACAAACAACAAATCTTGATCTCTTGCGGGGCCAAGTCAAGTCATCTAAAGCGTCGCCATTGGCTTTGCAGAGTTGCGTCCCTTATGTGTGCCAGAAACCTGGGATCGCAGGTACGAATGCCAAATTCCCTGATTTTGTTTCTTGGTTTGTCAGCACCATGCCCGTGCTCGTGGGCTTCACCAATGTGGTAAACGTCTAAGACTAGCATCACTTCGGGCTTTCCTGAAGCTAAAACACAGTGATATAAGTGAAATACGCCCCAATACTGTCGTTACACCAAACTGACTCTCTTGTATCTCCACCACGTGTATTTCCACCAATCCGCTGATCATGGGTAACACTAAAGTGGCAAACGTCTCCGACCGGGATTTCCTCCCACATGTATGTCACGCCGTCAAAGCGGCATCAAACCGTTCACTCACTCATTCCACTTTCAGAGTCCTTCCTCGTGCCACCGGGATCGAGAGGGGCGACCGGGGCGACCGGTACCCAGGGCATCCAGGGGCTGCCAGGACCCACGGGAGAAGGCGGGGACAAAGGAGACCAGGGCCGAACTGGGGAGCCGGGGCCGCAGGTGCTTGTATTGGCCTTGTAAATGCCTAACTGGGGTATTCTTACCGATTGGGACCAAAGCATCCATGCATAAGACATAATCAGGTGTGCGGCAAGACAAATTCATTGTCCACCGGTACCTCGGGGAACATGAACTGACAGTTTCTCAAAATTATTTCACCGTGTTAGAGACCTATAATTGAATTCAGCACAGAAGGTCGGTGGTTCGATCCCCGACCGCGTCAAGAGGTTAAAGATGGTTCTTGGGGGGCACGGGGGGCCCAGTCGTCTCCGGCGCCGCGATTCGCTGTGCAGAGTTGCGTCCGTTGGGCACGCCAGAAACCTATGATTGTGGGTTCGAATCCCGGTTCGCCCAGATTATGTTTCTAGGTTTGTTGGGCGGTCACTCAATCGTGCTATCGTCAATTCATTACTACTAAAAGGTTCGTCTTAACACCAACGTTCTTCTATTTAGTACCTGGGGCGGTCGGGTAGCCTAGTGGTTAAAGCGTTCGCTCGTCACGCCGAAGACCCGGTTCGATTCCCGACATGGGTACAATGTGTATAGCCTATTTTTGGTATCCCCCCGCCGTGATGTTGCTGGAATATTGCTAAAGGCGGCGTAAAACCATACTCACTCACTCACTCACTCACTATTTAGTACCTTATTTATCACCCGTGAAGATCCGACTGACGGGAGCCGGTCGTTCATGCATGTCATATCGTTTCTCAATTTCGTAGATCGATGCTTATTATGTCAATCACTGTCGATTATTTACAGACCGCCGCCATATACTTGGAATATTGCTGAATGTGGCGTTTAACAACAAACAAACAAAACCTGGTTTGTAATTTCAATGCATAAAACTTTGGTGTTTGGTGTTGACTTAGCTGCTGAACGACGTATACTTGGTCTGTTGCCAGGGCGACCGTGGGCCAGATGGCGCAGTGGGTCCACAGGGCTCAGTTGGAAGCAGGGGTCAGTTAGGTCCCGTGGGAAAGATTGGCCCACAGGGAGAAGCTGGAGCTTCGGGTCAAGTCGGAACAGTTGGTCAACCTGGGGACAAGGGTCCAATTGGCGAAACCGGAAGTGAGGGGCCACTTGGAGAGATGGGTGGCAAGGGTAGTCGAGGACCCCAAGGGGTACAGGGTGTGACTGGTGACTCCCCAAAGGGTCGTGATGGGGACCAGGGACCACGAGGACCAGAAGGTGAAATAGGGCCACAAGGAAAACCAGGAGGGATTGGTCTCCAGGGAGATGGCGGACCTACTGGCATGACAGGCGCTGATGGGGCGCGGGGAGCTCGAGGTCACATGTGGACGCCTGCCGGTAAGATGTCTTCGCTGTAGTTGATTTGTCATGCGTGTAGCCGATGGTCCCCTACTGTAGTTTCTTTTTCGTAGCGGCAGCTCAACGAATATGAAACAGGCTGTTTTAAATCTATTCTTATTCAGACTGGTTCTTGGTAGGATACGTCATATTTCTGTTGCGCGGGGAGGATTCTAGTCACTGTCTGTTTTGGTGAGACCCGTAAGGATCCGGGGTAGAATAGGTCTTCAGTAACCCATGCTTGCCGTAAAAGGCGACTATGCTTGTCGTAAGAGGGGGGCGGTCGGGTAGCCTAGTGGTTAAAGCGTTCGCTCGTCACGCCGAAGACCCGGGTTCGATTCCCGACATGGGTACAATGTGTGAAGCCCATTTCTGGTGTCCCCCGCCGTGATATTGCTGGAATATTGCTAAAAGCGGCGTAAAACCATACTCACTCACTCACATTGTCGTAAGAGGCGAGTAACGGGATCAGGCTCGGTGACTATAGGTTGATACATGTCATCGTATCCCAATTGCGTGGATCGATGCTCATAGTGTCAATCACTGAATTGTCTGGTCCAGACTCGATTATTTACAGACTGCCATCATATAGCTGGAATATTGCTGAGTGCGGCGTTAAACAACAAACCAACCAAACCAAACTGTTTTGGTGAATTTATTTGTTGGGATCGATCTCGCCTTTGTTTACCTATGCGCAGTGCTTTGTATTTATCTAATAGAGATTAAATGGAAAGAAATATGTCAAACGTTGCCGGCTGCTGACAGGTGCTGAGGGTGGTTACCCTCATCTTTTCGCGAACACCTGGTATCATCGCTGTTTGATGGAGATTCATTAACATATGACCTTGTTTTAGGCGGAATCGAACGTTTTTTTAAAGTTTTCAGCAAATATTCTGTTGATTATGAAAGGGTTTTGTCGATCCTACATATAAAGTCTGGAAATGGGTAAACATATTTTTGTTTATACCCGTTACTTATTGACGTGACTATGATAACAGCCATTTGCACAAAATGCAGGTATAATATCAGGGTACCCAGCTACAGTAATTAAAAAAATTAAATAAATAACAGTAACTCAATAATGTCTTGCTGGGTACGTTTCTGTGTGTTCTACTCGAAACACGACTGCAATGTCATATTAGTTGAGTACCCTTCTATTCAGTACCGTTATCAGGGTACCCGTGAAGATCCGGGTTAGAATAGGTCTTCGACAACCCATGCTTGTCGTAAGAGGCGACTAACGGGATCGGGTGATCAGGCTCGCTGACATGATTGATGCATGTCAACGTATTCCAATTGCATGGATCGATGTTCATGATGTAAATCACTGTATTGTCTGGTCCAGACTCGGATTATTTACAGACCGTCGTCATATAGCTGGAATATTGCCGAGTGCGGCATTAAACAATAAACAAAACAAAACAAAACAAAAAAAGCATTCAATGGCATTGTTTTTTAGATCTATGTAAGCAGATGAACGTGACGTGTGAGCAGGGTTGTACGAGCAACGGCCTGGCGGCAACCTGTACGTGCAGACCCGGATATCGGTTGAAGGATGGCTACACGTGTCTTGGTAGGTCACAGTGTTACCAAGGGGCCAAGGGTAATTCGAGTTGCGACCATAAGGATCCTGGGGCGGTGGGGGAACCTAGGGGTTTAAAGCGTTCGCTCGTCCCGGCGAAGGCCCATGTTCGATTCCCTTATATAGGTACAATATGTGAAGCCCATTTCTGGTGATATCGTTGGAATAGTGCTAAAAGCGGCGTAAAACCATACTCACTCATCCACTCCACAAGGATCCTCTGGTAGTGGGTTCGATTTCAAGATTCGCCCCAATTATGATCTTTGCACCTGATACCTGGAATTGCGGGTTCACTAAAAGCGGTAAAGGTGTTTGTAGATATTTACAAATGATGCATGATGTAATGTCGTGATATTAGACGGGGTGACCTCAACTATTTTCCGGGGTGTGTTTTAATGTGGCTAAGGGGGGCACGGGTGGCCCAGTCGTCTAAGGCGCCGCGATTCGCTGTGCAGAGTTGTGTCCCTTGGGTACGCCACAAACCTATGATTGTGGGTTCGAATCCCGGTTCGCCCTGATTATGTTTCTAGGTTTGTCAGCACCATACCCGTGCTCGTGGGTTTCACCGAAGCGGTAAACGTCTGAGACCTGCATCACTTCGGGCTCTCCTCCCACATTAAGCTGACACGCCGTGATATAACTTGAATACTGTTAAAAGCGGCGTTAAACCCAACTCACTCACACTAATGTGGCTAGGAAGATGTGGACTGTAAAATGATCTGTTACCTTGTGATAACGAGTTCAGGATACATTTGAATTGATGGCTAACACGGCGTACGGCGTTAAATGACAAACAACCAAACTTAAGGACGGAACATCGCGTGAAGGGTTCCTTTGTTTCAGACATAGACGAGTGCTTCTTCAGGAACGGGATGTGTCAGCACGACTGTATCAACACAGTTGGCAGCTTCCGGTGTGACTGTCCTCTCGGCCTTGTCTTGTCCAAGGATCTCTACAGGTGTAACGGTGAGTCAAAAACTAAGTTGGGCTCAAATTAAACATCTGAACATTTTATTTGAACAGGAATCTTGTTAATATTTTTCGAACAAAACTTGACATGCAAAGTCTGACATCGTTAAGGAGTGTATAGCTCTGCGTCTTCTCGCCTGATGAAGACGAAGACAACGATTGATATTAGTGACTCAGGGAATTTGGTTTAACGCCTATGGGGAGTATTCCAGTTATATCAACGGCATGTCGGCTTGGTGTGGGGGGGAAACCCAAAGTGATGCACGCCTCCCTGACATCTCCCAGTGTTTGTGAAACCTACAGGCTTGATGCTGACAAACTAAGAAATATAACTAGGGCAAATCTGCAGCTAGGGTTCGAACCTACGATTGACTTTAGCTCCCTCGGGACAAATCCCAAGCATGCATTGTGCTGAAGCATATATCGATGCCAATTTTGATCGGGGATCTAGGTCTGTGTAGCGACAAGTCACTTTGACAGTTTATACATCCGGACAGTTAAACTGTGACCCGTGAAGATCCGGGTTAGAATAGGTCTTCAGCAACCCATGCTTGTCGTAAGAGGCGACTAACGGGATCGGGTGGTCAGGCTCGCTGACTTTGTTGATACATGTCATCGTATCCCAGTTGCGTTGATCGATGCACATGATGTCAATCACTGGAATGTCTGGTCCAGATCGATTAATTACAGACCGCCATCATATGGCTGGAATATTGTAGGAGTGCGGTGTTAAACAACAAACACACAAACACGTACTGTGATCCATTCGCCACAATTTGCTTAAATCAGCGTTAAACCCAAGTCACTCACTCACTTGTCAGATGAATAATCAATATGCTGTGTCACTATTCCGTATATACCAGACGTGGACGAGTGCAAACAGAGCGGGAGCCGATGTGGGGCGGGGCAGACGTGCATCAACACGTGGGGCGACTACTACTGTGCCGGACCCTGGGAGGAGGGGTCGATCGTCGCGCGTCTCATGAGTAAGTCCCCCGCGGGGAGGTTAGGTCCCTGTGCCCCATTTTTGTCGTAAGAGGATCAGATGGACAGGTTTGGTGACTTGGTTGATTGTGTGGACTGTTGCTCATGATTTCATTCATACGTTTGCCTGGTCCAAGCTCGATTATTTTCAGGCTGAGTTATAATTGCACTGACTTGAACATTGCACTAATGAGTACGATGTCATTGAGATCGGAGCAAATGAGTGCAGGTTGTTTTACACCAATCAGCTGAAAAAAACATTTGGGCCTTCAAATAGTGGTTGACGTCATGAACACCGTCCACACCATCGGGATAGGACAACAGTCCTCATGGTCACACATTGTGACCACCCAATCCTTATTTCAGACGGAACTTACGTTTTTAAAATCTCACTTCTATAAATGTCATGACGGGGATAGTTGTTTGTGTTAAACGTGGCGGTGGGGTTGACCACGCCATCGCCTTATGGGAGAAATCTCACTTCTATAAATGTCATGACGGGGATAGTTGTTTGTGTTAAACGTGGCGGTGGGGTTGACCACGCCATCGCCTTATGGGAGAAATCTCACTTCTATAAATGTCATGACGGGGATAGTTGTTTGTGTTAAACGTGGCGGTGGGGTTGACCACGCCATCGCCTTATGGGAGAAATCTCACTTCTATAAATGTCATGACGGGGATAGTTGTTTGTGTTAAACGTGGCGGTGGGGTTGACCACGCCATCGCCTTATGGGAGAAATCTCACTTCTATAAATGTCATGACGGGGATAGTTGTTTGTGTTAAACGTGGCGGTGGGGTTGACCACGCCATCGCCTTATGGGAGAAATCTCACTTCTATAAATGTCATGACGGGGATAGTTGTTTGTGTTAAACGTGGCGGTGGGGTTGACCACGCCATCGCCTTATGGGAGAAACAAATCATATATTGAGTATACAAAACGTGATGTCAGTATACCAGAGGAAACACTTTTTCCCCAAGTAAGATAATTTTTGTTTGTGTTGTGGATTTATCATTTTCACTTAAACTATTCATATTGGGCTTCTTTGCTTTCTTCGTCAGGTTCAATGTCCACCGTTCCCTTGGTAACACGTCACGTGATGATTGGTCTCATTCTGTGGTTGGTTCTTCTCACTCTACTCACCATCATGGCCATCATACTCTTCGTTCCGGAACTTACCGGAACAAGCCGAAAACATCCGAAAGAACCTGTCGTTCCAAGAGGTCATCGACCGGAATTTTATTACCCAGCATTCTTTCCTAGGATTAGCTTGGACCGGCGACCGAGTGTCGACAAGCTGGACGTGATGGACGCTGCCACGCCCCGGAGGATGAGCGTGGATGAGGCTAATGCTGGACAGGAGGAAATGTATTCCCATGTTCAGAGGGGCGTGGCAACCGGAGGGACAGAAAGGAAGAGATCGAATTTGTAAACGTCCGTATACTTGTTGTATACGACGGGTATGAATGCTGTAAATAAACTGTAAATGGCGTGTTGATTTTCCATTACATTATATACGATCGCTCCATAAATATTGCATTGAGTGTTCGTGTGTTTGTGTTGTTTAACGCAGTAATATTCCAGCTGTTATCACGACGGTCTGTAGATAATCGAGTCTGGAACAGACATTCCAGTGATTGACATCATGAGCATCGATCCACGCAATTGGGATACGATGACATGCGTCAGCGAGCCCGACCAACTGATCCCGTTAGACGCCTCTTAGGACAAGCATTAGTCGCCTTTTACGGCAAGCATGGGTTGCTGAAGACCTATTCTACCCCGGATCTTCACGGGTACCATGGTGATGGTTTCTGAATAGGAGGATAGTCCGCTAAAGTAACCTTGCAGTCGCGTTTCGAGCACAGTACACGGACATGTACCCTGCAAGTCATTCTTGAGTAGCTACATGGGAACCCTTAGGGTTTACCTGCATTTTATAGACACGTCAATAAGTAACGGGTATAAACAAATTTATGATGTTTACAAATTACCATCTATGCATAAAAGCGAGAAAACCTTTCCCTAATCAGATATTTGCTAAAAGCACAGTCAATTGTTCGATTCCGACTGTATCAAGGTCATGTGTTAATGAATCCCCATCAAACAGCGATGATACCAGGTGTTCGCGAAAAGATGCGCGTAACCAGCCTCATCGTTGGCACCCGGCACACTGAAACACATGCAAAGGCAAGTCAATTGTTCACCTGAAAAAAAAACACCCGATATGTCAAAATACCGAATGGCAGACATCATTTTTGTCACAAATATGTGGCCACCATAATACTTTTTGAAATCTTGAATGTGGTAACCCTGATCCAACAACTCGCGTGCAAGAGTCGTAGGACCCTATTGGAAACCTTGGCAGAAAGAGCCTGCACTGCTGTGCATCATACGTAGTGAAATGTACAAACCAAAGACTGGAACTTCTGGAATATTGCTGGGAAAAAAGCAAAAGTTGAAGTGATCCTACTTGTGGGTAGTTTTCTTTCCATTCTAAACATTGAACAATTGAGGCAGTTTCGCTTGTCTCTCAGGTGGGTAAATCAGTGTAAGGGAATTGGCTATTGGACCATTACCGAGCGCTATCAGATCACCGCTTTAACTTACGTGTAACTTCTCGGCCAAATAGTGATTTTCATCTTCACAAATCTACCATATGCATTTCTTAGGAATGGGCAGTGCTTTAAATAAGGTGGCAGATCTTTTTTTGAGTAGTTTACCGATAATATACTTGTCCACAATAACATGAATTATAGCAGTTGGTACGACACAACCAGCTAGGTGTATATTGTGTATATAAAATAGTGGTTCATTCCCCAAAAGTACTACTTGTAGCCAAATATTTTAAACTGTCGAACTGTATCGCCCAAAAGGTTAAAAGATATATGTCCAGATATATTGTGTGCCTATGTAAATTAATTAGAAAGAACTGCTGACTTTGTCACTCATGATATCTAAATCTTTCTTATAAATCAATCTGAATGTTCAAGTACCACCGGTGGTGGTTTCTCCGACAATAAACTATCTGATTAAATCTGAACAGCAGAAACTTTCAGTAGATATCCTTGCATTGGCAACACGGATTGTCCAGAATGGATTAGAGTGAGTTGGTTTTAACAGTATTCCAGTTATATCGCGGCGTGTCAGCTTAATGTGGGAGGAAAGCCCGAAGTGATGCAGGTCTCAGACGTTTACGACTTCGATGAAACCCACGAGCACGGGTATGGTGCTGACAAACCAAGAAACATAACCGGGGCGAACCAGGATTCGAATCCTTAATCTGGCGTGCCCAAGGGACGCAACTCTGCACAGCGAATCGCGGAGCCACACGTGCACCCGAATGGATTAGAAAGACATGACACAATGGACCCACTGTCTTTGTGACTATGCTCGACAATGACGAAAGTTCTTTTTTCTATCATGTTATTTGATAATGAGTAATTTCAATGGTATGTCACCAGGGGATTTCGAAGTCCGTACTGTAAGCAAAGAAATTGTGTGGAATTAACAATTAAATATATACAAACATCAAATTGAGTATAATAAATATAATATAAACAGGTTCCAAGGATTCGTATAAAGCAGCTGCTGATTGTGCGTCACCGAACGTTGACGGCGAGTATCGTCGCGCTCATGTGGTCAACGACTTTTTCTGGCCCCAACTCGATCATTACATTCGGTCGTGAGATAGCTAGAATAGTGCTGACCGGGCGGCATAAAACAACATGCCGCGGACACAGAATCACGCGGACTTCAAAGTTACCAAAACATAAGGAATCAATACTTTAATTTTGATGTTTTGATACATTTGGAGTCGATGTACATCTCACTCATGCTGTACTATTGAACAGTAATAAGTAATAACCTCTCCAGTTAGTTGATAGTTTCAAACACAGTAAAAGGGTTTCATTGATAGTTTGTTCGAAGTCAAAGATAAGATAACTACCGATTCTTTGCACCTAAGTTTCCATATATTTATATATACTACTCAAAAGAAGTTAAAGACCACCTGATTCTTTCATATTACTATAGCTGGCATGACATTTAACTATAGTAATATGAAAGAATCGGATGTTCTTTACCTTCTTTTGAGTAGTGTATATTACAATGCATGCTGAATCATTTTAATAATTCCATTATAACAAATAACATAACAGCAAGGCAAAAAGATAAATAATTTAATGTATAACTATTATATGTTCTTATATACACGTTACAACAGTCGAGTTATACGTTATTTGTTTCATAAGGCTTAATAATAATTGACCTCAGGCATTCTGCTTGAGTAGGCACTTCTGTGAGACTTTGTTTCCCAAGCTCCCTCGTTAAAACGCCTCTCGTCCCGACTACGCCGCCCCTTCCTGGCGAAAAGGCAAGCCAAGATGAGGAATAGCAGGAGGCTGAGCAGGATAAGCCAGACGATGAGCCCGATGACGGTTGACCTGCTTAAAATCCCACTGTATTTTTCACAAACTGCTTGAGTGGAGGCTGAAATAACAACATAGGAAGGTTATAGCGAGTGAAGGTTGTTTAACGCCGCACTCAGCAGTATCCCAGCTATACTAGCGCCGAGTAAACAATCGAGGCTGGAGCAGATAAACCTTTGACTGAAAGGGTAAGAAACGATCAACGCCATCGGGGCATGGTGACTTGCTATTGGCCAAGTCGCACATCTTTATCCCATCAACCCCCATAACATGTTTCTTCGGTTGTTGTTTAGCACGCCTTAAACCAAGAAACGCACCTGATCTCTTTGATCATAACCCCACCCACCCACACCCGACCCCCCTTCAATACAGATAGTTTGGGCCATAAAAGCAAATTTAGCGGACCAAGAGATGCAAAACGAAGAGGTTTAATGCGTTATAGTGTCGGTGACAAATCTCCCGGATCAAAATGATCACAACCAGGACATGCAAACCATCAGTCGGGAAACACGTTAAAAAAGGGCCATGGAGATGCACGTGCAGCAGCACTATGAACTGTATTGAAGTACAGGGATTTTAATTGCCTGGCATCTGCGTCAATCGAACAGAATCTGCTATCTTGGATTTTCTACCACTTGGGGGCTCTGATGAGGTGGATCCATATCCAAAAATGTACGGAATGGTTAAATGTATAAGTGTCCCAAGTTTGGTTTTTTTAACCCAAAGTGCACAATTTTAGCCTAAACCGCCCCACTACTGGCCCTCCAGATCCCCGTATTTGAACCCGATAGAGCACATGTGGGATGAATTGGATAGACGGCTACGGCGATGTCAACCACAACCCCAGACGTTGCAGCAGTTGGCTTTTGCGTTGTAGGCTGGGATGTGATTCGCATACTCGTCTCTTCCATGGGAAGAAAATGTCAGGCCGCTATCGATTCCAACGGGGGACATACGCGTTATTGATGGTAGCTGACCTTCACCTTGGACTTTTCCTATGTACCGATAACTGAGATGGCTACAATCACCAAGTGTTCTTTCCACAACATTTTGGCTCAATACCTTGTAAGGTTCCTCGTATAAATGTATTTTCCTACCTCACACAAATCTGGCTTTAAGTTTCTTTTTTTTAAGAGTAATACTTATTTATTCTTCTCATTCAGCTACAGGAATACTCAAACAAACATTTCGACTGTCTTGATAGTGACTTGTCTTGTGAGAAGCTGATGAAAACATAACGGGGAAACAACAACTTATAATGTCACTTCTACAGCGAACCTTTTTAATTATGCAAAACATATTGAAAATTGGTTGTTTGTTGCGCGTACCTGGAATGAGAGAGCAATCATCACACCTCACCTGATGATTTCGCTGCTGCAACGCCCACCTCCCTCCTCACACATTGGTTACCCCCGGGCATGTTGATACAATGCTGTAAGTTCGTACACCCACCGTGCCGCTCCCTACACTCGTCTATGTCTGAAATGACAACAATAATTGTGTACTGATCTTTGCTCGCCATTTCCATGTAGATTGGGTTGACCAAGCCATGTGCACATGGTCATACATTTACACATGCACAGATATCTATGCGCACTGAGACCAAGTCAAGGTGTTATGATGTCAGTGTTACGATGTCAGTGTTACGATGTCAATGTGTTACGATGACAAGGTGTTACGATGTTAGTGTATGACGATGTCAATGTGTTACGATGACAAGGTGTTACGATGTCAGTGTACTACGATGACAAGGTATTACGATGTCAAGTGTTACGATGTTAGTGTATGACGATGTCAATGTGTTACGATGTCAGTTTGTTACGTTGTCAATGTGTAATGATGTCAATGTGTTAAGACGTTCTTGCGTTACGACGTTATTGCGTTACGATGTCAAGGTGTTACGATGTCAGTGTTACGATGTTATTGTGTTATGATGCCAAGGTGTTACGATGTTAGTGTATGACGATGTCAATGTGTTACGATGTCAGTTTGTTATGATGTCAATGTGTAACGATGTCAATGTGTTAAGACGTTATTGCGTTACGATGTCAAGGTGTTACGATGTCAGTGTTACGATGTCATTGTGTTATGATGCCAAGGTGTTACGATGTTAGTGTATGACGATGTCAATGTGTTACGACGTCAGTTTGTTACGATGTCAATGTGTAACGATGTCAATGTGTTACGATGTTAGTGTATGACGATGTCAATGTGTTACGATGTCAGTTTGTTACGATGTCAATGTGTACCGATGTCAATGTGTTAAGACGTTATTGCGTTACGATGTCAAGGTGTTACGATGTCAGTGTTACGACGTCAATGTGTTACGATGACAAGGTGTTACGATGTCAGTGTACTACGATGACAAGGTGTTACGATGTCAAGTGTTACGATGACAAGGTGTTACGATGTCAGTGTTATGATGCCAAGGTGTTACGATGTTAGTGTATGACGATGTTAATGTGTTACGATGTCAGTTTGTTACGATGTCAATGTGTTACGATGTCAGTTTGTTACGATGTCAATGTGTAACGATGTCAATGTGTTAAGACGTTATTGCGTTACGATGTCAAGGTGTTACGATGTCAACGTGTTATGCCAACGTGTTACAATGTCAAGGTGAACTAAAAATGCGCTGTTGCTCCTTTCAGAGTTAGATTTTGTGTCTTGCAGCAATGGCGGAAAATAATCCCTTATAAACTACCTTTGCCCAGTTGTTGATATCTTGCTTAATTAATACTGCAGATACCACAGAAAATCTACTTAAGCAAAGAAAGACGGCCAGCAAGAAGACGAGGGAACAAGTTAAAATCTGTATTTTGCAGGTATGAAGTCGTGAATGTTTAACCAACCCAAAACAAGTAACTTGTTTGGCTTGTGAGTAGAATAACATAATGATCTCATACCATCACGTGTGTAATAACATAAGTAAGAAATTCACTTACCAATTACTTTGAATATAACAAGGCAACTGATAGTTTTTCAAAAGATTGGCGAGAAAATATTAATTTTGCTTCCATCAGAGTGAATGGCCGAAAATATGATCATTACAGTACAAAAGGACCTGACGACAACGTATATTTTACGGGCACCTACCTAAACATGAACGTCTGTCCGGACCTAGTCTGTAGCCATCCTCACAGGCGCACTCGTACATGCCGTCAGAGTTGGAACAAGTGTGTTGACAGCCGCCATTCCGTTCCTCACACTCATCCACGTCTAAAAAGAAATTTTTTTTTTGAATATCGTCAGTTTTAGATACAAACCTTCCAACTGAATCTGGTGTTGAACATTTCTAGTGCGAGTGTGTTGTTTAGGACGTCCCTTCAGTCAGCTGAATATAGGAGCCTTTACATTTAGGTCCAACGACCACAGTGCGAAGATGAAAAGCCAATTATCACAAGCAGAGGGAAAGAGGGACGAACTCCTGCACAGCGATCTGTTGTTCTCAAAACGGACGAGATATTTAGTCACTAAGGCCCATTTGCATGGTCAAAACGTACCGGCAACGCATACTACAATATCCCGCGAAGGAGTCATTATTTACATATACCATGTGTAACGCATCATTTGAAGGAGTGATGTTCTTTCTATAACTTAATATTCCTTACAGTAATTGACGAGAAAGTGACGTTTCGGGGTTTCACTGAAGTTTCTTGTATATATTTCTGAGGAGGTGAGGTAAGGTGAAAAAGGGTATACCGACGCGTGTGTGTGTGGGGGGGGGGGGGGGGGCTGCTTGTACTAGTCCGGACTAATGCCGAGTTTATAGTCCAAGACCACTGAGATACCATGCCGCAGTTTAACATGACACACTACCGACCAGTCTTCGTTTTAGCCCCTCAATGCCGAGCGCAAGGCAGGGTAACAAGAAGAACCATCTTTTAAGGTCTATTGATATGACGCGGCCTTGGATCGAACCCCGGACCTTTCGCTCTTTCTGAGGATACTTACAGGTACATTTATCTTGTTCTTGTGGAATTTACAAGATCTTCATGACAAAGTTTTATCACACAAAATACTTACCTGAACATGTTTTATTGTCGGAGATGAGCAGACGGTATCCGGTTTTGCACGTGCAGTGATACCCTTGTATTGTGTTCACACAGTTGTGTGAGCAGCCATGGTCTGACGTGGCACATTCATTGACATCTGGAACATCAATTATTTTTCGACTGGGTTTGAAATGGGATATTCCAAAAGGCCACACAAAGATTGGTTGTTTAACGCCGCACTCAGCAATATTCCAGCTATCTGTAATAATCAAGTCTGGACCAGACAACCCAGTGATTGACAGTAGGAGCATCGATTCACGCAAATGGGATACGATGACATGCATCAACCAAGTCAGTGAGCCTGACCACCCGATCCCGTTAGTCGCCTCTTACGGCATGCATGGGTTGCTGAAGACATCTTCTCTACCTGGATCTTCACGGATCGCCATATAAAGAAATTATGCCTTTCAATAACTTGTGCATTTATCAAAAATCTGGTAACATCGTTAAATACACTTGGAGTGAATGAATTGGTTTTAAACCGCTTTTGCGCAATATTCCAGCAATATTACGGCTGGGGACACCATCGAAACTTCAAACATTGTATCCTTCTCATGAATCAAGATTCTTTGACAACTAGGCTATCCTGTCGACCCTTTGGATCATACAGCACATGTGTGGTCGGCGATATTGGGTGGGCAATGTATTAGGGTTTGCAACAGGTGATCCAGTGGTCGGCTATTGTACAGTGAGCCGAGCCATCCACTTGTCTGGTACAAGCAGGAGGTCTTAGGGTATTGCTCTGTACTTGGGTCAATAAAGTCAGATATAATGTACTGAGCGAAGTAGTTTCACCCCGCATTCTCCAATATCACTGCTGTCTTACGTGAGGAATGAAACCGAAGCCGATGGTCGATAATGAGTACCATGCATTCTCCATTGTGAGTTATATAATGCGATGAGATATACATATATAAGTCAGTGAATATGGTTTTATGTCGCTTTTAGCAATATTCTAGCAGTATCAAGGTGGGGAACACCGGAAATGGACTTCACACATTGTACCCATCAGAGGAATCGAACCCGGGACGAGCGTGACGAGCGAACACTATAACCACTAGGCGACACCTACCCCTTGATAAATATATATCTAGTTTGTACCATGAAACGCGAACCATGGCAAAGTTAAGAAAACCTAATAAATCCAGCAGTACACGCTCCTAACTACTCCAATATATTGTTTTATTTTTTGGGTCTGAATGAAGAGTCGTGTTTCAGGATGTCCAGTAAGCATGTTCAGTCCATTCTGTGTTACACTTGAGAAAAAAATATTTTTTATTCCATTATTTTCTGGTACAAATATGAGAATATCAGCGGTCATTCCCCACGTTTAGAATGCACCAAGTATGACCGAAACGTGACCGCAGTCCACATCTCAAATACACTGAATGATTCCACGACTAGACCAAAGGTTGCAGCAGTGTAAGCACTTAAACCAAACTCACCGGTGAAAACTGGTCCTTGGGGGCCAGTCATGCCCACCTCTCCCTCGGAACCCGTCTGTCCTGGCAATCCCTCGGGTCCGCGAACACCGGTCGCTCCTGCAGGTCCCGTCACCCCTCTTGCACCCGTGTGCCCGCGTGTACCTGTATCCCCCTGCACCCCCGTGGAACCCGCCGCTCCCTTCTCCCCGGGTGCTCCACGACCCCCCATGTCTCCGTCATCGCCGGTCTCTCCTTTAGGACCTCGTAGACCTGGGAATATGAAAACAGAACAGTTGCAAAACGTTGAAGAATTTAAATATGGTTTCAGTTATAGGGCGTGGCAGATAAACGTGGGACGAATGCCCCAAATTACCCACGTCGGTGATATCAGCGAGCATGAGTCTGGTGCTCACAGATCAAGGATTATAATCGGCGTGAATGTTGTATGTTGATGTACGGATTTGGGCAGAACAAGGGGGCGCAACACTGGACATGAAATTCCGATAACTGGGCAACCGGTGCCCCAAATACTAACATGTATCAAAGTTTGTTTTGTTTATTATTTTGTCTGTTATTTAAGGCCGAAATTATTCCAGCTATATGACGGCGGTCGCCATGATGAAAAGGGGCCGATACTGTGTCTTTGTTTGTTGTTTAACGCCACACTCAGCAAATAATAAAGTTTGGACCAGACATTCTAGTGATTGATATCATGAGCATCGATCCACGCCATTAGGATACGATGACATGCATCAACCAAGTCGGAGAGCCTGATCACCTGATCCCTTTGGTCGTCTCTTACGACAAGCCTTCGGACAAAGTAATTTTAATACACTGATATCGTGTTGTATATCCTGCATGTGAAACTCTATCGCTGGTTTTCTATAATAATACGACGACTATCGAAATCCACAAACGTTTGAAATCCCCGTTTTTGAAACTTTTTTCAAGTACCCATACTCAAAATTCTTAATTGGGATACGATGACATGCATCAACCAAGTCAGCGAGCCTGACTACCTGATCCCGTTAGTCGCCTCTTAAGACAAGCATAGTCGCGTTTACATTTATCAAAGATTTAACATGCAACATGGACACCGTATGGTATAATATGCCCTGATTATATTATAGTTTAAGTAAGTGAATAGCGGTATCACCTGACATCACGTTTGACTGAGGAATACCAATTGTTGACCATGTTGACCACGATTATGCCTTCCGGGCATGGCGGCACCAGTGACGGGCTGTTCCTCTGAGTGAGTGAATGAATGCTGTTTTACAGCGCAGCAGGCACTAGCACCTATACTGTCGCCTTTGTATTCGAATGTGGCCATCCGGTTCTATTCCTTTCTTACAAAGTTAATGTCATTTACATTGACAGGGATTATGTCATATTTGTTGAGGATATACATTACCAGACAAACAACAACGAATAACTTATTAAAAACCATAGCAACCACGACCATTAGATACCACGTTCTTATGCACTACATAAAAGCATTCGTCACCACTCGCACCTTTCCGTAACCTGCAAGAAGACTCGTCCCCTTCTCGATGAATGTTATGTGCGAAATACGACAAACCAATCAGAATGCGCGTATGATTTCTAGTTCTTCGTCAAAGAACCCCTCAGAAATCAATTTTGATTTTACACATGTCTTGCTTTTTAAAATAGACCCAAGACACAGTTAAATGTGTTCAATCATACTGTATAATTCCGAATGTCCAGATGTGCTTTAAATTGCAACTGAAATATATATAATATATGGGGAAATATATGTGAACCATTACGCAAAGAGTTGACAATTGTTTTAGGTATGCCCGTTTGCGCCAAGACCGAACCCGGTCGCAAAAATGGCCATGAGAAGGGCACGAGTCGCTATTCGGCATGTCCCGGAATAACACGAGTTGGTCACGAATGTACATAATAGATTTCTTTTTCCGACCTTGAATTTAGTGATTGAAGTGACAAGTGATTCAGATATCCGGAAATTCGTTTTTCCGGACAATATGTAAGAAAACGTGTCCGGATAAGCGAGGTTCAACTGGAGTTTACCTGGGTTTCCCTTTAATCCTTCCCTTCCAGTCCGGCCAATCGGTCCTGTCGCCCCTACCGCCCCTACAGGTCCAGCCACACCTGTGGCCCCAATGTCTCCCCGGGGGCCGGCTGCTCCCTGGGGGCCAGTTGGGCCTGTCCCACCCATCTCACCTCGGCCACCAGGAGGGCCCGTGCCTCCCTACAAAACACATCACCAACACTTTCGTTATGCCTGCAACTGTCCAAAATGCAATGAAAGCTTAGACAAAGAACACAAGTACGCATGCCTACGACTCCAATGACGGAGCAAGTGTTTCTTTGTTGTTTACCGCCACAATCAGCAATATTCTAGCTATATGACAGCGGTCTGTAAATAATCGAGTCTGGACCAGACAGTCCAGTGATTGACATCATGAGCATTGATCCACGCAATTGGGATACGATGACATGCATCAACCAAGTCAGCGAGCCTGACCACCCGATCCCGTTAGACGCCTCTTATGACACGCCTTTACGGTTTTTACCGTAAGAATGGGTTGCTGAAGACATGTTCTACCCCGGATCAAGTGATTGCTGTGTAACATCACTGTCGTGATAATAATACTCGAGTGTTTACCACTGTCTGGAACCATGTCAGTATCAAACAAAAGTCTCCACGGACCAACATACGTTTGTTTGTTTTATATTTAATTTTCGACACTATTGTATTTAATTTAAATATAAATCATAACTTGAAAGATAGAATATCAAACATGAAAATCGACTAAACACGAATGCCTAGCATTTATAATAATTGATTATATAGATTATACATATTCTTTCCTTGAAAGTGCAAGGAAAGAAAATATGATACAACTTTATTTTGGATCCGTGACACAAGTTTCAATGTTGCTCTTACCGCCATCCCCATCTCCCCCTTCATGCCTTTCTGCCCCATGGGGCCAGACAGTCCGAGCGGCCCGGTCGCACCAATGGGCCCCGTGGCTCCCGTCATCCCCTCCACAATGGTGATATTTCCTGGGAGTTTGGTGGTACCGGCAGCAACTCCTGGGTGCAAAAAAATATTTTAAAATATTTTCAGTTTGGTAAAACCAAATGGACGCAAAATTTGGAATAGTAAACAAAATTACAATTATACGATATCAATTCAGTCAATATATATTTAGCCAAAAAAATATTATTTCGAGTTTCACTTGCTCATGATGCGATTTGACGATTTCGGCTAATTATGAGATTTTTATCCAGTTCTTTTTTAAATGTGGAACTATGTAACGTTTAATTTGACAGTGATATTCTATTTGAATGTTTAACAGCGGATAATGTTTCAAATGTTACATTAAGCGCCGTAAAATCCACAGATAAAGCAGTTATAAACACGTTATGTTTATCCCCCCCAAAGCAAGGGATACGGTTTATCGCGATATACTGCCACGCCGTCCATACATCCGATCATGCAATGTCATGCTAACAACGTTATCTTTAGGCATAACGATATCCCACCTGTTCTGGTGAGAAATGCAGCTGTAAGAAGGGATATCCAAATCATTGTTGAAGGTCTGAAAAGTCAAACATGATAATATATACGTGTGAGCAGTCCGGAATAAGTGTTTTAATGTGCAGTTTTTTACGCAAGAAATATTAAAGATGCTAACTGCTTCTGTCGACAACCGACATAAAAAAGACACAAAGCATGAGTGAGTGAATGTTGTTTTCAGCCGCAAAAAACACTCCATGCAGTCATTACTGCGGCCGGGTGATATACCTGCAATACGTCTATTTCTGTTGGATCAGTACTACCTTGAGATTCACTCGATCTCTATCATCAGAATCACATTGAACACGTTTGGTCAATAATATTAATATTTACAACCTGAATTGTAAAATCATGAATTTAAAGAGACGATTACCTCTCAAGAAATTCGGTTTTGTTGGGGATTTTTTAAATGTTTTTTAAAACTGTCAGTGAGATATGTTTAACATGGTTTGATTACTCGACGAGTGAAATGCTGCATCAGAGGTTAGTTTCTTAGAGCAAATATCAGTCAAAAATCACATCATTCACTCACCTACGCGTGACACCTGGCCACAGGAAGTGACACAACGGGCATGCGCAAACACAGCACGAAAATCTCGTGCAAGCAATTGACAACGATGCGATAGCATTTTGCGCACAATCTGAATTGCACATATTTCAATTGGAAATGCATTAAAGCGTATCACATTCGTTATAAATTTGTTTATTTTATTTCAACGGGAAATATGTATATCTCTCCCCAAAAGAAACATGAATCTGTTTTCTTTGATTAGGTTCTGCTTTTGCCTGCTACATCTTTCTCTTTTCGGTGAGGGAGGAGGGTGTCGAGACAGGAAATCTTTCTCGTAAAAGATGAGAAAAACAGATTCATTTATGACACACAAAACTTAATTTTTCGAAATCAAGTTTTGAAATACATTTCCATATGGTCAGACCTCGGTGACGTCACAATACCGTGAAGCAGAAGGGTCATGACCTGTTTCTGTGTCTTCATAATGCCGTGACGTCATAACTATCTAAGTATTGTCAATACCGTCTTGGATCAAACAAGGCAGCAAACATGGCACTATCTGACTATGTTTTACCTGGTTTTGCATATCCAGAAGGAATGATTCGAGCAGCGCCTTTTGAGTATGGGTAAGTTAAAGAAGTTTCCAAAGCGGGAATTTCAAACGTCTGTGGATTTCGATAGTCGTCGTATTATTGTAGAATACAAGCGATAGAGTTTCATATGCAGTAAATACAACACGATATCAGTCAATTAAAATTACATCCGAATGCTTGTCGTAAGAGGCGACTAAAGGGATCAGGTGATCAGGCTCGTTGACTTGGTTGATGCACGTCATCGTATCCCAATTGCGTGGAAAGGCGACTATACTTTTCGTAAAAGGCGGCTAACGGGATCGGATGGTCAGGCTCGCTGACGGTCATCGATCCCAATTGCGTGGATCGATGCTCATGATATCAATCACTGGATTGTCTGGTCCAGACTCGATTATTTACAGACCGCCGTCATATAGCTAGAATATTGCTGATTGCGGCGTTAAACAACAAACAAATATTGTCTCAAGTGAAGAATATTTTTTTCATTTTAAAAGAAACGAAATGTTTCATATTAAGACATTAAAATCGTGACACGACATAGTTAAATGTTGTGGGACTGTTCGTGACAGCGTATCTTCCCTTGATAGATGTATAGGTAGTTTTATATTTATTTCAGGTCAAGTGAGTATTCACCCCAAACCACGATGTATACAGCCTCAGTGAGTGGAATTCCCCCTATACTTGCATCCTGTCCTTCAGGTAAACAATACAGAATGAAAATGTTGATGAATATCTATAAAACAGACTGCAACGAACGCTTTAGGACGGCGGTCCTTTACTTTCCCATTGCCATTGCCATAACGGTAGCGTTAAATTCTATATTATCATGTTCTTTCTTTTTCCGCATATCGGCAAAATGAGGGAATATTGGCAGCTACATGTATATAACAGTAAACCGATGTGAAATGTTGCAGAAGCTGAGGTGAAACGTATTGAGGAGAAGTTCGACAACTGGAACTGCAGCGCCCACTCACTGCCGCGATCGTATGGACCGGGGAGAAGATTTATGCCTCGGGGATTCGCGCATCGTGAGTAAAAATGATTGACAAGATACAACCTAAGTTGAGTATGAGTGAGTGAGTGAGCTAAAAATACGTTTAACGCCGCAGTATTTCGGTTTTCTCATCGCTTGATATGAGAGAGAAGCCCAAATTAATGCAGTCATAGACGTTTAGCACTTTGGTGACATTCACTAGAACGAATGTGGTAGCACATCCAAAGTACGCGACTCTGGACTGCGAATTGCAGCGCACAAAACGACTGGGCCACCCCAACTGATTTGAGGGTTGGAGTGAGTGTGAAATATTACCGTATATTATAATGTTGAGCAATACGAAAAGTACAGAGTTCAAAATTACAAAAGCGTAACTATTGATTTATAAAACAAGAAAGTTTGTTTTTCTGATTTCTAGAGTGCACAGTATTATCCGTGGCGACTGCTCTCTACCAGTGGGTCGCATCTGGTAAGCATTCAAACAGTGAATAAGTTGGATCTATAAACAAACTGCCACTTTTGCTTATTGTATTATGGGTATCTCGCTATTTTATTAGTAACCTTGTGAGAAGTACGACTTTAAGTGGGTGAGTGAGTTAATATTTAAAATCACATCGGCAATATTTTAACCATATCGTGACTTGAACGAGTCATGCATCTATATTATAGATATTTTTTATAAGAAACTGTCGTCAAAGGACAGTACAATAGCCAAAATTCTAGTGAGACCTTTTGAGAGGTTTTATATTTGAAATGGAAGGCCCGGGGGCTTTTGTCTTCATAAACCTAAGGTCTGTGATGGAAATGCCATAAAACTATATTATCTGCAGGTATCAGTAGACTTTTTCAACCATTTCAACCGGACTCCCGAACAGAAGATGAGGTGACAGAGACAAGAAATACGTCACAACCACCACCAGCTGGGAGGAGACAGAGGAGGCGGAGGAGACGTTGAGGAGACGAGGAAGAAGGGGATAGGATACAAGATGTTCGTCCCAACCACCGCCAGTGGGAGGAGATTGTGGCGTTGGGGGAAGGGGGAAGAAGAGGATAGGAGGCAAGATGTTCGTCCCAACCACCGCCAGTGGGAGGAGATTGTGGCGTTGGGGGAAGGGGGAAGAAGAGGATAGGAGGCAAGGTGTTCGTCACAACCAACGCCAGTGGAAGGAGACAGAGTGAGTGAGTGAGTTAGGTTTAACGCTGCTTTTAACAGTATTACAGTTATATCGCGGCCTGTCAGCTTAATGTGTGAGGAAAGCCCCAGGTGATGCAGGTGTCAGACGCTTACCACTTCGGTGAAACCCACGAGCACGGGTATGGTGCTGACAAACCTAGAAACATAATCGAGGCGAACCCACAATCATAGATTTCTGGCGTGCCCAAGGGACACAACTCTGCACAGCGAATCGCGCCGCCTTAGACGACTGGGCCACCCGTGCCCCTGGGAGGAGGCAGAAGAGATGTTTAGGGGAAGAGGAGGAAGAGGATAGGAGGCAATATGTTCGTCCCAACCACCGCCAGTGGGAGGAGACAGAGGAGGTGGAGGAGGCGTTGGGGGAAGGAGGAAGAAGAGGATAGGAGGCAATATGTTCGTCCCAACCACCGCCAGTGGGAGGAGACAGAGGAGGTGGAGGAGGCGTTGGGGGAAGGAGTAAGAAGAGGATAGGAGGCAATATGTTTGTCCCAACCACCGCCAGTGGGTGGAGACAGAGGAGGTGGAGGAGGCGTTGGGGGAAGGAGGAAGAAGAGGATAGGAGGCAATATGTTCGTCCCAACCACCGCCAGTGGGAGGAGACAGAGGGGGTGGAGGAGGCGTTGGGGGAAGGAGGAAGAAGAGGATAGGAGGCAATATGTTCGTCCTAACCACCGCCAGTGGGAGGAGACAGAGGAGGTGGAGGAGGCGTTGGGGGAAGGAGGAAGAAGAGGATAGGAGGCAATATGTTCGTCCCAACCACCGCCAGTGGGAGGAGACAGAGGGGGTGGAGGAGGCGTTGGGGGAAGGAGTAAGAAGAGGATAGGAGGCAATATGTTCGTCCCAACCACCGCCAGTGGGAGGAGACAGAGGAGGTGGAGGAGGCGTTGGGGGAAGGAGGAAGAAGAGGATAGGAGGCAATATGTTTGTCCCAACCACCGCCAGTGGGAGGAGACAGAGGAGGTGGAGGAGGCGTTGGGGGAAGGAGGAAGAAGAGGATAGGAGGCAATATGTTCGTCCCAACCACCGCCAGTGGGAGGAGACAGAGGGGGTGGAGGAGGCGTTGGGGGAAGGAGGAAGAAGAGGATAGGAGGCAATATGTTCGTCCCAACCACCGCCAGTGGGAGGAGACAGAGGAGGTGGAGGAGGCGTTGGGGGAAGGAGGAAGAAGAGGATAGGAGGCAATATGTTCGTCCCAACCACCGCCAGTGGGAGGAGACAGAGGGGGTGGAGGAGGCGTTGGGGGAAGGAGGAAGAAGAGGATAGGAGGCAATATGTTTGTCCCAACCACCGCCAGTGGGAGGAGACAGAGGAGGTGGAGGAGGCGTTGGGGGAAGGAGGAAGAAGAGGATAGGAGGCAATATGTTCGTCCCAACCACCGCTAGTGGGAGGAGACAGAGGAGGCTTTGAGGGGAGGAGGTGGAAGAAGAGGATAGGAGGCAATATGTTCGTCCCAACCACCGCCAGTGGGAGGAGACAGAGGAGGTGGAGGAGGCGTTGAGGGGAGGAGGAAGGTGAAGTGGAAAAGGGATGAAGAGGAAAATATGCATCACAACCTCAGCAGTTGGGAGGCGACAGAGGAGATGCTGTGAGGAGGAGGAAGAAGGGGGGATGCAAGATGTTCCTCACAACCTCAGCAGTTGGGAGAAGACAGAGGAGATGCTGTGGGGAGGAGGAAGAAGGGGAGATGCAAGATGTTCCTCATTACCTCAGCAGTTAGGAGGAGACAGTGGAGATGATGTGGGAAGGAGGAAGAAGAGCGGTAGGCAAGATGTTCCTCATAACCCCAGCAGTTGGGAGAAGACAGGAGATGCAGAGGGGAGGATGAAGAAGGGGGGATGAAAGATGTTCCTCATAACCCCAGAAGTTGGGAGATGCTGTGAGGAGGAGACAGAGGATATGCGAAGTTGAGGAGGAAAAAACAATGTTGGATCATAGGTTTTTGGACATCATACCTTTCCGGGCAACCATGTTTATTGCGATTACTCACTCTAATAATGGGGGTGTAGTATGACACAGACACAGACACAGACACAGACACAGACAGACACACCAAAAACATTTTGTTTTCCCATTTTCAATTTGGTCATATACATGCACTGTTGAAATGGGAATGAACTAATATACAAACTGCACTGTACTGTATTTAATTCAAAATGTGTATAAAAACTGTCATGGTATTCAGCACTTACTCCAATAAGCATCCCCCGACCTACTTCAAGACCAATCTGTAAGTACTCTTTATAGGCACGCCTGTACAAGACCAACAATGTACATGACAGTCTATACCTTCTTGTGTATATTCACTTTCTACAGAAAACAGCAGCACAGAATGGGTGTATAACTGCAGAGTACCTATTATCAAAATTCTTTCAGTTTCATTGTCGTTTGAACTAACTTTGTTCACTACCACTAGATCTCTGAAAATATATTCAACTGGTTGTATATGCTTTTATTAAGCCCCCTCCGTCATCTATTTTTTTAGCGACCGGAGTGGTATACAGAATATCCTTTTCATCCACTTGATGACAACACATCAAAGGTCTTCAGTCAAATCTGGGATTCAATCCAACCACCAGTGGATCCTGACACTGATAAGGGATGCAACTCTCTGCAGCCACTCATTCCTCATTTCTCTCACTTAAACATAGGGAATACCATTATTCAGTTCTCAGACACTATTGTCCCTCCTGACACTAATAACATTTTCTCAAAAACTTTGCAAAGTAAATTAAATGCTGTTATTAAAAAATATACCTTTTAACAAAGATAATTGTTTGTATTTGGATAAAACGTTTGTTTCAAGAAATCTTATTCAAAATTAACCACAAATCAATACTGACAGCATTTACGGTTTTTTTATATGTCTATTCCTGTCTCCTGACACCACTGGCCATGAGGACCCGTGAAGATTCCGGGGTAGAATAGGTCTTTGGCAACCCATACTTCCCGTAAAAGGTGACTATGCTTGTCATAAAAGGCGACTAACGGGATCGGGTGGTCAGGCTCGCTGACTTGGTTGATGCATGTCATCAATCCCAATTGAGTGGATTGATGCTCATGATATTAATCACTGGATTGTCTGGTCCAGACTCGATTATTTACAAACCGCCGTCATATAGCTGGAATATTGCTGAGTGCGGCGTTAAACAACAAACCAACCAACCAACCAACCACTGGCCATGAGATTCGTCCAAACAACTTCTTTTGACCTGAACCACTATAGTACCCAAACTTTGTTGGTATCAGTTCACAGAAAAGAAAAACAACAAATTGCAGGCTTTAATGTTTATTTTTCATTATTAAATGAAACACACTTTCAAAGTTCTGCCAATTGTAGGGCAGCCTCTGCAATATAGAACCAAAATACCAATTTCAACCATCCTCCAATGCTAATATAGAAATCTGTCTGTGTTGACACTGCAGCCATAGGCCACCATTACTCTCTCCCTCCAGGGGACAATAGGGAAAACACTGTTCACTTGACCCTGTTGAGATTTGCAGTGGTTTTTAAGAACATTTCATCTGCCACTGTTGAATGTTCCGTCTATTCTTATCAACACGACACATGGTCCTTGTGAATGTTGCAGTGGTTTTTAAGAACATTTCATCTGCCACTGTGAATGTTCAGTCTATTCTTATCAACATGACACATGGTCCTTGTGAATGTTGCAGTGGTTTTTAAGAACATTTCATCTGTCACTGTGAATGTTCAGTCTATTCTTATCAACACGACACATGGTCCTTGTGAATGTGTCAGGTGGCTGGACTAAGTACTATTATCCACATGACATTTAATGTGTAGTCAATCTCCTTGGAGCTTGGTTTAAGAAGATGGCATGACCCTGTAGCCTTGTTAAGTTCTTCAAACATCCAGATAACTGATTTGCAGTTTTGAAGGTCTGTTGGGCACTTCTATGTAGACTGAAGTAATTAAGGTAGCTTGATGATGGGGTATACTTTATGTAGGCTGAAGTCAAACTCAGGAGAATCCTGGAAGAAAGTGGAAATGACACGTAAATTACATGTGATGCAAGGTACTGCAATATCACAAACTCATTCAAAGGAGTGTCATCACATTATATTACAGATTTTCAGTTATATCAAGGATTGACAGCTTGATGTGGGAGGAACACCCGAACTGACACAGTATTTCGGTTATATCAAGGCATGTCAGCTTGATAGAGGAAGGCCCGAACCAACACAGTATTTCTGTTATATCAAGGATTGACAGCTTGATGTGGGATCAATGCCCGAACTGACACAGTATTTCGGTTATATTAAGGCGTGTCAGCTTGATAGAGGAACGCCCGAACTGACACAGTATTGCTGTTATATCAAGGCGTGTCAGCTTGATAGAGGAACACCCCAACTGACACAGTATTGCTGTTATATCAAGGCATGTCAGCTTGATAGAGGAACGCCCGAACTGACACAGTATTTCTGTTATATCAAGGCATGTCAGCTTGATAGAGGAACACCCGAACTGACACAGTATTTCAGTTATATCAAGGCATGGCACCTTGATGTGGGAGGAACGCCCGAACTGACACAGTATTTCCATCATATCAAGATGTGTCACCTTCATGTGGGAGGAACGCCCTAACTGACACAGTATTTCATCTGACCTGGATATGCTGGGTGCATGATTTTAACACACATGTAACCAATACATCCCCCTTTAATGAGACACCTTACATGTTAAGTGTGCCCTAGGCCAAGTATATGCATCACCCCTTCATCAAAATCCTTGATCCGCCTCTGTTGAAGATAACTCTCTTGTCAAATTTCCTCATTCAAGCTTGAACATATCTATCAGTAATTCTAATCATGTAAGGATGTCCTCTGATCAGTATTCAGAGTATTTAAAATTTTCTTAGATAGGTATTTCAAAACAATAAGTAACTTGATCTGAACTTTTAGTTGAAAAAAGGTGGTTACTGTACATTCTTCTGCACTGTGTACCCTTTTTAACTGCCATGCCGAATTCCCAGTTTACTGTAGAGGGATACTGGGGAAATTCCTCACTGTCTTTAGTTTTTCATAAAAGTATCATTAATAGTATTTAACTTCTTAAAATATTTTAACAACATATGGCTATAACGTTCCTCTATAAGAAAATATTATGATTTCTATATATTAGTTTGCAAATGTGTGATTGGATAAAAAAAAGTGCACTTTTACATATTTCCCTCAATGTCAAACATGCATTTCATTGAATCTGTATTCATAGCACTGTATGATGTCACACAACAAAGTAGTGACATAGTTCAGGGAATGTTGCAGCACGACTCTCATTCCATCTTGCCGTAAGCATACGCGACATGTCATAAAATTGGAATTAATGAATGTTTTGTTTGTCGTATTAACCATATATCTGACAATATGGCTTTCAGTCTACTGTTCTGATCCATTACTTAATATTGGCTATGGAATGATTTGGAGATGGTGTTAAAGACTTGTCAATACACGACAGTTCAAGATGTGCAGTGAACACAATCACACACCAGCAGACGTCCTATATGGGGATGTTGTAATTACTTGATTTACAGATCCGCTGACCCAACATGTATATATTGAGGCTTATTCTTCTCTTATTGGAACTGAAGAAATCTTATCAACTAACCATACAATTTTTCTTGTGTCCTCCAAGTAACAATTTCATCACAACAAAGTTTGTTTTCGCTATCTTCGTTAGTGTTTGCACCTGCAACAAGAGAATATTTCATGAATTATACAGACTGAAATCTACAAACATATATAGGTTATCACGCTTGTGTGTTTGGGGATGGTAAATATCCTGTATTAGGAATAAACATTGTATTTAGCAGGGCTTGGTGAGCTTAGTACATAGTGTTTATTCCTAATACAGGATATTTACCATCCCCAAACACACAAGCGTGATAAACCTCTTTATCATATAATGTCATTCTTCAATTGTGCTCGAAAAATCTCTTCCCACTCTCACAAACAATACCTAAACATTGCAACTTTTCTTGGATTGAAAGACAAGGGCGATGCCATGTTTGTTTTTAAACACTGAAAGTAGTTCCTACATGACCTTTGATATTGCATCTCTATCCCATATGAGCCCAAAGGATATTGTTTTATCCGTTTGCTGAGAAACCTACCCATTATATGATAAAAATAATATCTTTCATCTATCAATACATTTGTACTATCAAGGGCAATACAATCGATAACTGAAACATCCTTTTTCCCCCAAATGAATGATTACATATAAAAAACACTGCCAAAGAGAATGGTTAATAGCATCCAAAAGGTATAAACAATTCATATCTATAGTTCAAGTATAATATTTTCAGCACAGCTACGGTCACTAACAACTTATGTTAACTTGGTCCCAATAATAATGATAGTCTTTATCAGTAACATAAAAGACAACCACTACCTCATCCTCAGCAATCCACTGTATTTTATCTTCAGGCAATAATTAGGAGATAAACATACTGTGTTTTCAATGTAGAGCTAGGTTACCTGTAGATTTAACCGCGCTAAATTGAATTTGGAACCGAACACACAGCGTGAGGTTTCGAATGATAAATTTAGCATGGTTAAATCTACAGGTAACCTAGCTCTACATTGAAAACACAGTATGTTTATCTCCATTCTACCTTGACTAAATAAAACGTGAACTCTTTGGTGTTAGCAAATATATTGAGTCAAGCGGCATGGGTTGAGTCCAGTGTTTTGAGTGGGTTATCGATCTGTTATCGGAATCACCGAACAAAATATGGCGCTGTATATACTAAAGCAGTTTGTTTACACCGTAATACTTCACTCGAACATATGACAGGCATTGAAAGCATATAAGCACGGCAACTTGGTAAGCTAACATGAGGTGGGCATCCCTAAAGAAAACAAAGCAAGCTTTGCAAAGATTTCGCTCTACATCACACGTCACCATTATGACGTCACATCACTCATTGTGACACAAAAGATATGACGTCACAGTCTTATATAAAAAAGCGCCAAAATTGTTGTCTCTAAAACATAAATACATTTCCTTTGTAGATTTCTGTTTTCTGCACGAAATGTATTGCCACACATCCTTTGAATATTGTAGTTACCGTATCTGTGCATTTTGTAACCTGTAATTGTAGATATAATTATTTAAATATGCCTACCGACAATAGTACTATTCTATGAATATTAGCTTCTGCGGTGATGCGGCCATCAAATCAGCTGTTTCAATCAGAGGGGGTTTATTGTGATTTAAAAGCCTCTGATTGACCAATCAGAATCAAGTAAATTCCAAATTCATGGTAGAATAATAAATACCCTGGACCCATTGCCCACCATCATTGGAGACTATTTCAGAACTTCATACCACAGCCTCATTTAATGAACAGCATGGCAATAAAGAAAGCCTACCAATCAAATTACTGTCACGAGCGAGAGAAATTCTGTGCAAAAGTAGACATAATAGCAATAGAGGGTGGTGACATCACTTCTGAAACAAAGCTATGGTAGCAAATCGGACCAGGGTATTCATTAAATAGAATGGAGACATAATTTACTGGATAAGTGAGGATGTTTTGTTTGTTTGTTTGTTGTTTAACACAGCAATCAGCAATATTACAGCTATATGATAGCAGTCTGTAAATAATTGAGTCTGGACCAGACAATCCAGTGATTGACATCATGAGCATCGATCCACGCAATTGGGATATGATGACATGCATCAACCAAGTCAGCTAGCCTGAGCACCCGATCATGTTAGTCACCTCTTACGACAAGCATAGCTGTCTCTTATGGCAAGTATGGGTTGCTGAAGACCTTTTCTACCCCGGATCTTCATGGGTCAAGTAAGTGAGGATGTAGGTTCCTCTACACCATGTAGATCGTGATAACACTTCCTACCTCCTCTGATGGAGCTGCAATACTCTCGTAAAGCGCCTTAGCCTGATGGAAACATTTGCAGGCAGCGGTGTACAAAGCTTCAGGTGACGGTTCAGGCTCGTATCGTCTTAAGTCGGACATTTCCTGTAAGATATTCTTTGTGTTAAACAATTCATACATTTTTAGTATATCACCTGGAATATAATACCTATTCACCTCAGAAATACCAAAATAACACGGTCAGTGTGCTTCCGTAAGCATACAATGTGAACTATTCACTGTTGATCATTATTATCATTATACATAACAATAGAAGTCATCATGGCATATTATCTCTTTACAATGTCAACAGGAAACCATAAATATCAAAGACTTAACATTTATTCATTTTTAATACAGCATTTGAATCTTTTAGTTTCAAAGGAAAACAAGTTTTCAAATTCATTCTGCGTCCAGCATTTGTCTTCCTCTAAAATTGTACAGTCCTTGTGTATGAAGTTGCCGGTAATACGCTCTATGTGTGACTTACCTTATATTGGCCATAATGCACCATGGGGGGAGTGACCACGTTAGCAAAGGGAGAGAATCGATGACTGTAGCGGACCTCCTCACTGTCAAACTCAAAGTCTGGCTGCTTCATCTTCCCATCAAGACGGAAACCTAGCACAGCCTAAACACGACATAAACACGGCATAAACACACTGATCAACATCTAGGTGGTGATGTGAGGTGAAAGTGGGCTTAACAATGCTGGTTTTATGGTTTATAGTGATAGCTCACTGAAATGCTATGTTGCAGTTTCAAATACTCCACTGACAAAGTATGCAGCACCTTTTCCTCAACACCAAAATACAAGACTACCCCAAAAACAAACAAATGTGAAAGAACATATTTTCTGTGACTGATAACTGAATATAGCTTTGTCAGCAGTGTTGCATTGAAGATTTGCTCTGTATGGGTCATGAAATCCTTGAACTTCTAAAACGTGTGCAACATGAATATTCATTTGGTTACATGTACTGGTAAGCATGTCAGCACTACACATGCTTCAGAACAGATTAAGCCAATGTTATGTACTATATCCAATCACAGTGATGTAAACATTAGGCGAGGACAGCATCATTGGTAATAGACCAATCAAAAGGTGAGGCGAGGTGAGGTGAAATGGGGTTTAACTTCGCATCAAAGATTATTGCACTTATAAAGCGATGTGCATGCACGTGTATGTGTGTGTGGCTGCCTGTACTAGTCAGGACTGATGCCGATTTATAGTGCTAGCACTTGGAGATACCATACCACATTTTAACATGAATACGCTGACTCTGAGCCGACCAGTCCTTGTTTTAGCTCCTTAATGCAGAGCTCCATACAGGGTAACACCAAGTACCATCATTTAACGACTTTTGGTATGACGCAGCCCAATAACAAGGGCTGATAGTACATCCCACAAATCAACTTTGGAAGGCCACGGTTATGTTTATTTTAGTAAGTAGGCCTTTCCAATTTCATTGTCATGAGAGTGGACTGTCTCACCTTGTAGTAGCCTCCACACATCTGTTGCTGAGTCTGGGCCAGGATGATCTCCTTACTCAGTGTTTTCGATCGCTTCTTCTTTTTGTTCTTTTTACTACTCCTACCTTTCTGTTGTTGATCTGCAAGTGAGAGCAGCATCTGTTGTCAACTTTTATAGATCTGGTCAATGATGGAAGCATTTAATATAAATACAAGGCTCATGTTCACATAATGTGTCATTATGAGATGAAATATAGCATTTGTAAACTGTTGAATGCCTGGTCCATTTCTCAAAGTCCATGTTTGAAGAATCCATATTGCATACCCCGGTTCTACCATGACTCAGTGGAAGACAAACCTCATGGAACTTTGTATATTTTGTTTGTTTGTTTGTTGTTTAACGCCACACTCAGGAATATTCTAATATATGACGGCGGTCTGAACAATAATTGAGTCTGGACCAGACAATCCAGTGACTGACATCATGAGCATCGATCCACCCAATTGGGATACGATGACATGCATCAACCAAGTCAGCGAGCCTGCCCACCCCGATCCCGTTAGCCGCCTCTTACGACAAGCATAGTCTCCTTTTACAGCAAGCATGGGTTGCTGGAGACCTTCACGGATCTTATGCTACTGATAAAGACTATCATTATTAAGCAATTATAATATCATTATTGTCAAGCAAGGCTGAATAATGAACTCAACAGTAATGTTCATCATTCAGCCTTGCTTGACAACGGTTCATTATTTACACCAAAACAAAGTAAATAAAGAAGCTGTTATCCATAATTTGTGTCTACTTTGTCATGAGTCAACTTCTAAGTAATGTCTATAAAACAATTCAGTGATGCCTCAGACTGAATGAGTATGTTTATGCTGCAGTCAGCAATACTCCAGGTATACATCAGTGCGAAAAATAGTCAAGCATTGGCCAGGCAAACCAGTGATTAATAGCTCGAGCAAATATCCATGCCATCAGGGTATGATAATACACAATCAGCCAGGTCACACATTGAGATCACCCAATGCACATTTGGTTGTAGAGCATGGGACCCTGGGTTCCTTACCCAGCATTACGTATCAATCTGAAAGACAGCTACACACAACTGTCACAGTTGTCCCTACCTAGTAGAGTTTCATGTTCCAGGAGGAAGTTGTCGGCTCGGTGGAGAGTTGACACCAGCCATGCATACAGCAGCTCGTACAGGTACCTGCAGATCAACAACAGTCAGGCTCTATGTATTGAAAGTACTGACAGCAGCAACAAAAACTAATAGTTGAGTCTTACTATCCTAAAGAAAAGTTATGTCGATTGATATGGAAATTTGTAGAATTTTCCTATTCGGAATATTCTATAAGTAATACGTTACCACTGTTATACCGAGGCTGTTGTCTCCCACAACTGCTGCTATAGCGAAATCTACCACAGAGATCTCAATTACCTCATGCAGCACGTGCGTAGCCACCCAGCTGCCATGTGACACCCTTCACTCTTGTCTCCTGCGAGAGCAAGTGCTCGGGGGACAGACGGGCGGGCAGCAGCCCAGTGGTAACGTATTACTTATAGAATATTCCGAATAGGAAAATTCTACAAATTACATTAAGTAATACGTTACCACTGTTATAGGCGGTGGGGAGCACCTACAACCCGAATCCTGACTGCTAGCGTTCCTTCCGACCAGCGGAAGTAAACACCAAGGTGGAAGCACTCGATGCGCATGCACCTAGTTAGGCGTTACCCTATAGGAATACCAAAGCACTGTCAAGCGCATACCGTAAGGCTCAATCGTCATTGCCAAAACGATTGGTGACTCCAAACGGCCCCACTGGATAGGTATTTCATCGCCGCAGCGGATGAGAACACTGTATCCGCGTGAGCTTAATCTTAGATCAGGTTAAACAGTCGAAAAGAGGGAAATTAATTTCATTCAGACCGTATATCCCAGAGCAAGCCTACTTAAAGTATGCATTAGGCGCGTGACCTAATTCCAGTATTTGTAAGCATGCATCACAAGGTTGGGATACACGACAGACAATTAAATACATAATTGTCAAAATACAAATAAGGACAAAGCACACAAAAAGCCGCCCTCACCTTTGGTGTGAGTGCGCTGGTTTGCGGGACCCCAACTTCTGTACCCACGGCAGTGGGAACATTGGAGTCGACCCAGATTGACCACCGTGCAAGGTCAGACGCCTGAGGAGTTCGGAATTGCGCTGGGCACACCCCTTAGGTGCCCGCTTGCGCCGCGATCCGCGGGCCAAGACGGTGCACACTCTCCACGACGGCATCAGCGACCTGTTTGAGGTAATGATTGGCAAAAAACCGAGTCAGAACGCCAGTAACAACCTCGTAATAATCTGCGAACAGAGATATTCGAGTGTAGGGCAAATGTTGCCGCTAGCGCCCTGATCTCGTGCGGGTTTGACCCCGCTACCGGTAACCCCTGAAACCGGTACGCCAGATTGATGACAGAACGAAGCCACAACGCAATCGAGTTGCGAGTTATGTCAACCGTGCGATTAGGGTTACACGATATGAACAGACGGTCACGCCCTTGTCTACGTTCATTCGAAGCCTTAAGATAATACTTAAGGGCCATAACCGGACACAGCGCTCTGTCCTCAGTATCAGCCGGATGTAAGATTTCTTTGAGTGATCTTACAGTGAATTCTCTCTCCGTTTGCCCGACTCTCTGATTCTTGGCGACGAAGCCCATGAGCAGGCCCAGGCGGACCGCTCCTTCGTCACCCCTATCGAATCGTACCTTGGCGACATCGAGTGCATGAATTTCGGATACACGTGCCGCCGTGGCAAAGGAGAGGAGAAATGCTGTTTTCCAAGTCACATGCCGGAACGAAGCACCATGCAAGGGTTCATACGGAGCTTCCGTAAGTGATTGCAACACTAGGGAAAGATCCCAGGCCCTCCTTAAGATCATTCTGTTTGAAACCCTTGATAATACCCCGTATCACCGGCTCTTTGGAGAGACTGGTACCCATAGCAACGCCCCGTACCGTAGCAACAGACGAGACATAGTTGGCAAGGGAACCCCCGGAGAGTTTCCGGGTCTCTCGCAAGTGAAACATGAAACGAGCAATATCCTGCACAGATACCTTATCTGGCGAATAAATGTGATGTTTACAACACCACTTCGTGAAAATAACCCAGCGTGTATTATACACCTTCTGGGTAGAATCACGATGCATACTAACGTATGCCCGAGACGCCCGGTGAGAAAAAACTTTACTCCTCAGACGCTCGGTGACAACATCCATGCGTGCAGATTGAACTGCCCTGCGTTTGGATGAAGCTGACGGGTGTGAGGGTGGATCAAGAGATCCGGTCTCACAGGCAGTGGAAGTGGCGACTGCGTGACCTGGGTCAGCAAGTCGGGGTACCACGATCAGTTCGGCCACATGGGCGCGATCAGTAACATTCGACAGCGAACTCCTCGGAGCCGGCTTAGAATGTGTGGTATCAACGCTGTCGGCAGGTAAGCATAAGCGTCCAAGCCCGTCCAGTCTAACGCGAGAGCATCGTGATCGATGGCCCTCGGGTCCGGGACTGGTGATACAAACAACGGGAGTTGATTGTTGAACCGCGTTGCAAACAGGTCGACCATCGGACGACCCAAACGTTCGCACAGCCACTGAAACACTACTGGGTTCAGCATCCACTCTGTGGGGCTCGGATCCTGAGGCCTCGATAGAGCATCGGCCAGTACGTTCCGCACACCTGGGATGTGACGGGCGCGTATCTGGCACGGGTCACTGTCCACCAGAGCGTAAAACTCGAACGTGAGATCGAGTAGCGAGTGACTGTGGGTTCCCCCCAGTTTGTTCACATAGGACACTACCGTCGTGTTGTCGGTCGCCAGCATGAGCCGGGCGTCGACGAGACGATGCTTCCAGTGATTGACTGCGTTGATCACTGCCTTGAACTCGAGACAAGTGATGTGAAGACCTAGTTCGTCTACAGTGAACAGTCTGTTGCACCGCTAAGACTTTGGCAATCATCGCCTGAATTTTGTGCCACCGGTCTGGGGGGACAAAGAGGCGATGGGACACCGTGTTGAACCGACCTCCGATGAACAGCAAGTTCTGAGAAGGGGTTAACTCGCTCTTGGGGAGATTGATAATCCACCCAAATTGCTCCAAGAGCCGACGTGCGAAAACGAGATGGCGTGACAGGGTGTCCGTCATTCGATTTGCTACTAGCGAGTCGTCTAGGTACGCGAAGTACCGGACACCCCTCCTGTGGAGGAACCCCACTATGGGGGTGGTTAACCGGGTGAACAGCCAGGGAGCGGACGTGTGAATCATTCTGAGTTCGGCACTGTCCTACTTGGGAACAATAATATCCTGGAGTAAAACCCCGGTGTTATTTCTGGTAGAGCTAACTCCCGTACTGCCCCTTCTCCACCAACCTGCCGATGGCATCGGCGAGGATGGGAAGATCGGTTTCCGAATCGAAACCTGCCAACGGGGCAACGGTGAGCGGCGGATTCGCTTTGAGATCAAGCCGATAGCCGTACCGAATCGTGTTGACCACCCACGGGTCGTCGAACACTTGTTCCCAATTCTCCCAGTAAGTCTGGAGTCTGGCTCCCACTGGGGAAGGAGAGGGGGCCCTGACAGGTTGCGGCAGGCGCAACTGTCCAGGGCCAAGTGACTCGGGTTCGCCTAAGGGCCAACCGAAGTTGGCGCTGTCGGCATACGAACCCCTCCAATGAGAGTCACCTGGAGGGGCCCTTGCCGTCCGTCGACGACTTGGGCTTCCCCCAGTTCCCCGTCTTCCCGCGAAAGGGCAGCTGATTGCCTATACCGGAGCCCTCAGGGCGGGGCTACTTCCCAGAGGAAGAAGAACCTGACCCCTTAGACCTACCGGCCGCAGCAGCCTGGGGCGCGCTCCGGTTAGGAGCGGCACCCAGGCGCCTATGCAGGGACCCAACAAGAGCAAGTGTGTGCCGAGAGTCCTCGGCAACGTACTCCAGGGAAGCATTTAAACTGAGCAGGCAGTTGTAAATGCGCTGGCGCTGGTCACGGTCCGTGAGAAACCCTTTCTCCACGACGTCGGAGGCAACAGGAGACCCCGACCGGAGGCCGCCGCGAAGGCGTTCTCCAAGGAAGGCTTGAAACCGCGCAGCAAGGTTGATGCGGGGAAAGCCGTGTCGGAAGACTCATCGTATACCTCGGAGGAACCCACAGTCGTGGATTCCCCGCGGTACCGGCCGGGGCATGTCCTCAAAGAGGTCATAAACCATGGCCACGCGGTCCTAAACCGATAGCGGGAGCAACGGTTCGGGGGAAGGACCGGTGACCACGGGAGCCGCCGCCGTACCGGTGGACCCCGCGGCCACCGAAGAGGCCGCGGACGGAACAGCCAGCGGCCTATCCTGAGATAAGGCCGCCAGCTTGGAGTCCACAAGTTATGCAAGTAATGCAGCGACGGAATCCCCGGACAGCACACGGGCCGCCAAGAGATCCGCCGCTTTACCGGTGGACCCCGCGTCCGACCCCGCGGCCACCGAAGAGGCCGGGGACGGAACAGCCAGCGGCCTATCTTGCGATAAGGCCGCCAGCTTGGAGACCACAAGTTTCGACAACAATGCGGCGACGGAATCCCCAGACAGCCCGAGGGCCGCAAGGGGATCCGCCGCAGCCGAGGAGGTGGTACCCGCACGGGGACCCCGACCGGACGAACCGGCCACCACAGGGGTGGAGACGGACTGTACGTACAGCCGGTACCGCTCAAACTCCGCAGGCCCCAGACCTTCGCACAGGATGCACCGGGTGTCCCCGCAAGGAACCCTGCACCGCGGGCAACGATCGTGGGGATCCCGGGACGACAAAAACTTTCTGCACACCCCACAACTCCGAGGAGCAGGGGTAGAGGGGGTGGATACTGGGGACATATCCATGTCAGACATTGATTGTTTGCTATAAACAAAGAACAAAACATGGTTACAACGCACGCACCACAATGATTCACAAACGAACATTTTCACAAGAAAATAAACGAGCAATGTGAACATATAACATACACATATAACTTTTATTAAAGAAATAAGTGATGTGAACCCCCAAAACATACAAGAACAGGGGAAACGTAAAACACAACGTGCATACGCGATCCCCACAAGTATATAGAAAAAAGGGCGGGAAAATTATAACCAAGCGTAGCTACCGCAACGCCCCATAAAAGCACAGTTTATTAGAGAATAAACTATAATAAATATCACCAAATCTTCAAGGAACGCTTCAGCAGGAGAAAACACGTCTTGCTAAGCAGACGAAGGAGACAAGAGTGAAGGGTGTCACATGGCAGCTGGGTGGCTACGCACGTGCTGCATGAGGTAATTGAGATCTCTGTGGTAGATTTCGCTATAGCAGCAGTTGTGGGAGACAACAGCCTCGGTATAACAGTGGTAACGTATTACTTAATGTAATTAACTGATGCATTTGTTTGTGTCATAAATAAATCAAAAGCTGATTTCCCCCAAGAAAAATAAGGAAATCAGTGGTAATGTCAAAATATTTGGATAAAAACACATCCTGTATTTCCTCAAATAAACACATGGGCTAGAACAAATGCTACGTGTTGAATACATGCTGAGGTCTCGATTTAAATGCCAGGCCACGATTAACATGATTATTAATGCCAGGTAGTTTTTATGCATGGAGTTCTCCCCATTATCTTCGGAATTAAACATTCCGGGTAAAGAGTGTCAGATAGAAATATACGTCCAGGCGTGTAATCGAGGAAATACAGTATACTCCTTTTCCTCTTACATATGTCTGGGCATGCTCAATGGTACTTGTCTGGCTTTGCAGAGTTATGTCCCTAAGCTGTCCAGATTCCATGCTTCTATGTTCTACATTTCAAATTGGCCTCAATATAATACATGTAGTTATAACACCATACATTGTCACTCTCAACTCTCACATTAGGACATCTTCCTGAGGCAAGGGAGTTAACTGATTTTAAAAGTCCAGTTTCCATCCTTGCCAAACTAGGCTTGTATTGTGGAGTTACATTTTGGCTGGACTAACAACGACTCTATGCACAGTCCAATCAAAATCGCGCAACAAAATCGAAATCCGGATCGTAAACCGTCGAGCAGTTTTCGGTCGATTGCATGAATCAAGGTGCTCACATGATCTGATGCACTTCGCGATGTAAGACCAATTTTATCACAATATAGATCTTGATTATAGATCGGATCGTCTTGACTGGGTGCCGCCATTTTGTTTGAAATAAATGCAAGTGATACGAGGGGTGGAATCTGATTGGTCCATAGGAGGGGCTTTGAAGGGACATAACTCATAATAGCCATTGGTGGCGCTACGATCGAGCCCAAGAATTCCAGCCTAGTTCGGCAAGGGTGGAAACAGGACTTTTAAAGTCAGTCAGAACTCCCTCGCCTCGGGAAGATGACATTAGGATGTCAGCATGATCCTTGACTCGTCACATGTACCAGTGTCAGGAGACTCACCAGTAAACGTAGTGGTATTCGTAGGAAGCATACAACTCCAGCTCAAAGCCGGCCAGGGTGTAGTAGATCATGGCCTGCAGTGTGTGGTATAGAACCCACGTCCCGAAACATGCCAGGTGGTTCCGACTGGGCTCCGTCTTCACCAGGATCCCATGCAGGAATGCATCAACCTTGTCAGCCTAGATTTAGTTTTGAAGTAAAACAACCAGTTAATATGTTTACCCATGATAACAGACATTTCTTGTAAAAGTTTTCCTTTGCACAAATTCGTGTTTATCAGTGGTAAATATGACTTATACTTAGAATGTGATTTGGTACATAGACAAATTAGGGCAGAATACCATGAGTATATAACACAATACAGTATACCATGTGTATGTATATATGTATTTTTTTTTAGTAAAAAACATATTTTATACATATCCTGACTCATACTTATTGCTCATGCGTATGAGTCAGGATAAGAAAAAATAAAACAGCTCTCTCCCCAACAATCCTCTTGCCACTCACCTCCTCCTGCAGCAGGGCCAGATCCTCCAGAACATGTGCCCACTTGTCTCTCTGCCGGGCTCGGTTGTGTCCGGTAATCTGGAACAAGGTGCAGATGGGCCGCACAGCATGCGTCAGCAGGGCATCCACGTACTCCTTGGCTTGTGGGTTGTTGTACAGGCTGCACCTGAGACATGAACACTCACTTGAATCCTAGATCCATCATGTCCTTGATCTGAGCTGTCCTTGATCTAGGAAGTCATTGATCTAAGACGTCACTGATCTACATGATCTAAGACCTTCTTGATCAAAGATATATCCTTTATCAAAGTATCCTAGATCAAAGATGTCCTTGATCTAAGATGTCCTCAATCAAAGATGTCCTTGATCTAAGACCTCCTTGATTTAAGATATCCCATATCAAAGTATCGTAGATCAAAGATGTCCTTGATTCAATATGTCCTCAATCAAAGATGTCCTTGATCTAAGACGTCCTTGATCTAAGACCTCCTTGATCTAAGATATCCTTTATCAAAGTATCCTAGATCAAAGATGTCCTTGATCCAAGATGTCCTCAATCAAAAGATGTCCTTGATTTAAGATATCCTACATCAAAGTATCCTACATCAAAGATGTCCTTGATCTAAGATGTCCTCAATCAAAGATGTCCTTGATCTAGCATGTCCTTGATCTAGGATGTCCTTGATCTAAGATGTCCTAGATCAAAGATTGTCTTCATCAGTTCCATGTGACTGACAGCTAAACTCAGAGAACTAACTATGGGAAACATTTTTTTGGGAAAAAGTTTAGCACATTCCAAACCATAGCTATCAACTGATGATAAGTTGTTTGTTTTTTTACGCCACATTCAAGAGTATTTCAGTTAACTTTTCATATCATGTCAGCCTAATGTAGGAGAAAGCTCAAAATGACATAGGACTTGGGCGTTCACCATGTCTGGTAATATCAGGGACAGACATGGCCACTAGTCCACTAGTCTGAGACCAGTGAAAATCTGGAAGGATTAGTTGTTTTCTGGCTACCATGGTACACAATCATGTAAACCAGTAGTCTGAATTGAGCTGTGGATTAAACTGCTAGGCAAAAGAAACACACCTGAAACTTGGATTTGACTAAACCATTACAAAAGTTATCAAAACGTTACTGGACTGACTTGGTGTGAGATACTTACTGATATGATGCATGTACGAGCCTCTAATTCCCGTATCAAATACATCCCCATTGAATAACCATTTCTTGTTTGTTTCATTTGCAGTCGCCATTAAACATGGGTGAATACTTTCTGTTACCTGGTAATTTAGTTGAATTATTCTCATGATGTCTATCCCATGATATGGTGCTGACAAACAGATCATAGTGTGGCGAGTCTTGCTTACTTTTGAGACAAAGCAGGCGGTGCTATGAAGTTCCTGATTGTATCCTTCATGAAGTCTATGACAGGATGAATCCCAAAGATACGACGGTTGGCAGGCAGGAGGGTTTGCTGTCAGCAGAGAGAGGTCAGATCACAAACACTAATAAACATTTACCAAACTCTTATCACATATCACAGGGAATAATGGTGTCCTCATCAATTAGTTAGAATTAGTTACACAGCGAAAACCTGTTTGACTGGAGCTTTGACATGTTAGAAGAATACTTATTATTTGAACGTTTGAAGCTTTGTTACACAGACATGTTTGTTTGTTTGTTTGTTTGCTTGATTTTGAATGCCATAGTCAGCAAAATTCCAGCTTTATGATGCCGGTCTGTAAATAATCGAGTCTGGATAAGTCAATCCAGTGATTGATGTCATGAGCTTGATCCACGCAATTGGGATAAGATGACATGCATCAAACAAGTCAGCAAGCCTGACCACTCGATCCTGTTAGTCGGTTGGGTTGCTGAAGACCTAATCTGACCCGGATCTTCACGGGCCCACATATAAGTCACATGATGATGTAGGAGGTATCATGGTGGTCTGTAAATACTCACAGAAACTGCATCATGTTCTTCACAGTTTGGAGTGATAAAGTTAAAGTTGTTTTCAGGATATGACAATTGGTCTGCCCCATCCCGACCATTTTATATAACATATTTTAATATAACAGTCTTCTTGTACAACACATCAGGGGGTATATTGGGACCTCATCTGCCTTGCCATACCATCAGCGTCTACAGTGTAGAGAGAACCTACCTGAAGTATTGACCTTGCCAAGACACAGGGACCAGACTTGCTGAACTCGATGAAGGTCTCCTGAAGGTAAAACAGAGAACTGTACATCTCTACTGTAGAAACTATCATTCACTCCCCTGGAAGGCTAAAGTAACTTCTGTCTTTGTTCTCAGGCATGCTAGCCTCAGCAGAACCCTACAAACACAATAGCAAATGAAGCAATCAATCTGTTGGCAACAGGGCTGCCTAGTGTTAAAAGGAATTGGCATTTCAACAAAAGTACCCTGTGAATGAAGCTAAACATTCATCCTGGCACCGTGGATGCCATACTTCAACACATATGAACTGTACGTAATAAGAGTGGAGTGGAGTGGAGTGGAGTGGAGTGGAGTGGAGTGGAGTGGAGTGGAGTGGAGTGGATAATGGGGTGGGGTGGATTGGGTCTAATGCCACTTTGAACAATATTCCTGTTACATCATGGCATGTCAGCTTAATGTGGGAGGAAAGCCTGAAGTGATGCAGGTCTCAGACTTTTACCCCTTCATTGAAACCCACAAGAACAGATATGGTGCTGACAAACCTAGAAACATAATTGGAGTGAATCAGGATTTGAAGCCACATGCCAAAAGGATGCAACACTGCACAACTAATTGTGATGCCTTAGAACTTAGAAGACTTGGCTCCTTATGGCCCCATGTGTGATAGAGTAAAGTTTATATCAAGAGGCCCATCGGGCTATTGACCTTAAATAACAATAGATAAAGGGGGTAGGGAGGAATTACAAGGCCGTGCCATTTCATTAATCTGGAAAGGTACCATTGTCCTAAGTTTGTGGATCCGACAACAACTCTCTCAGGATAAACAAGACACTTGAACAGGTTGAAATGCTTCATAATTGGCCCGTTTCTGGAGGGCATGATATCTGCAAACTGATGATTGCACATTTTGGTTCACAGACATACTGTTTATTATTATGATGTCCTGACACCACATCACCTAGCTACAACATGTCATTCTTGAAAATCCAAAATGTTTTAAATTAAATCCAACAAATGCATTTATCCAGTTATTTAGGATAGGATCAATCTATCCACCTGCATAGTGTCCTGTCGTAAATGTCTGCATGAATTTGAAGCTAAAGTAGCCCAAACTTCAATGACTTGGGGTATTCCTTCAACTAACAAGAAGAGTCATCAGGATACGACATATTCCGCCAGGTCTGGTGCTATTCTACTTATACTCCACTTTTGGTTCATTGCCTTTGGATAAGCCGTTCACGGAAGAAAACAATAATGCTGTTCAGTATTTTTCAATATCCCAAATAGTTCAAAGGGCACCAGTTCACCTCTAGACTGATCTGTGTAGAAAGTTTCAAACGGAAATATTCAACGTTTAGTTCTCGGCAGACTGACTGACGGACATATCGATCGCTATATTGCCCCGTTCTTCAATCCAGGGGCATCATAACCTTACCAGGATGATGTGAAGTGATGTCATCTCCGGCACAGATGTGACGGTCTGAAGCCGGAGCAGGAGATTCTCTACATAGTCCATGGCTTCTGTCCGACTCTTGATCACTGTGTAGCGGGGGAAGGTGGGTGGCAGCAGTCTCTGGTTGATCAAAGGTTCAAACCCCATGATGGTCGGATAGTCTGAAGAATAACAAACAGCCTGTATACACAGCCTTAGACATTCACACCAGACTATAGACTATACACACACACACACACACACACACACACACACACACACACACACACACACACACACACACACAAAACACACACACACACACACAAAACACACACACACACACAAAACACACACACACACAAAACACACACAAAACACACACACAAAAACACACACACACACAAAAAAAACCACACACACACACAAAACACCAGGCGCCAGTTCACTATTAGATCTATCTATGTGCCAAGTTAGGTGAAGAAATTGTGTATGCTTTTCAAGATCTGCTTCAGAAACAACATTTGCAAGGACAGACTGACAGTGTCCATTTTGATAGGCCCCACAAACGTGTTGCAGAGGATAATTAAGGACACTTGTCTGCTGTAAGGTGGGACTGGGGTTTGGGAGTTTTACAGGGTGGCTATAAATACAGTGTTACTAATTTCACGGTGAGATCGGAGTACATCACCTACCATTCTTACAGTTGTTGTATCCATCCATGGATGTCGCCATGTTAGGTCATGTGACTACTCTAGCTCCTTACACACAATACCAACTGCATGCATCGCATGCAACTTACCACATATAACACAGTGTTGCTGTTATCAATGTGAGACACGAGTACACCACCTACCGTTCTTGGTGGCCTCCCTGTCCTCTGGCTGGATGCCGAAGTGTATGGTGGCCTTTACCTGGGGCACCAGCTCCAGCAGCTGCACCAGGGTCTTCTGGGCCTGGGGGATTCCCTCACACTGACAACATATGTCAGAGATGGCATTAACATCAACAGGTTCATTCAAAGAGAAGTGAGTGAGTGAGTGAGTGAGTGAGTGAGTGAGTGAGTGAGTGAGTGAGTGAGTGGTGAGTGAGTGAGTGAGTGAGTGAGTGAGGAGTGAGGAGTGAGGAGTGAGTGAGTGAGTGAGTGAGTGAGTGAGTGAGTGAATGAGTGAGTGAGTGAGTTGGGTTTAACGTCGCTTTTAACAATATTCCAGTTGTGTCAGCTTAATGTGGGAGGAAAGCCCCAAATGATGCAGGTCTCAGACGTTTACCACTTCGGTGAAACCCACGAGCATGGGTATGGTGCTGACAAACCTAGAAACATAATCGGGGTGAACCGGGAATTGAACCCACAATCATAGGTTTCTGGCATGCCCAAGGGACACAACTCTGCACAGCAAATTGCAGTGCCCAAGAGAACTGGGCCCGATACAATACAAGACAACTTCAGTATGGCAATGTAATGCAGTGCAAAATTCAAGGCAACACAACACACATCCCTAATGACACACCTTTTCCTTACTGAAGGACAACAGCATGGCATGTAGGAGTCGGTAGAACCGCACTCTGGAGAACACAGCTGTAGCCAGGTCATGCTGCAACACAATCATACTCAGTTAACAGGGAAGAGCAAACCAAGCCAACTAGCGGAGTACTGTTTCCTGATTGGCTGATAATAGAGTGGTCTGTACTGTGTTGGTTTATTGTGCACCACAAAGTCACTGATTTTGTATTGTCTACATTTTTGTTTCTGCGAAGTTATTATAGTTGGCTTAATATATACTTATACGAATTAATTTCAAAATACTTTTGCGTTTATGGAGGTATACATATAAAAAATGGTGTGCAACATTCGCATAAATATGCTACACAGATATACATATATATCATGTATATATGTTATGAAAGTGACACTTGAGTTTATTCTTCTTTTTTTCATGCATGAACATCTAGCACCTCAGATATAAGGTGGGCGTGACCAAAATGCAAATGTCTGATTGGCAAAAACATATTTCTGGATCCCTGGTGCACACCAGTTAATACCTCAAACAACACAAAACATATTGAAGTCAATTTTCAAGACTAATCTGAACAGTTCATGGAACAATCATTTAACCCTGTGACCATACTCCTGCTCACATGGAGCAGTGTGTTTTCCCTGTCAGTTTCACGGCCTTACCATGAGTTACGTGTCTCAACAGCAGTGTATGGGAATTTATGTATTGTATGAAATTGTACATCTCCAGGCCAAAGATCAAGGGTGTCACATGCAATGAATTTATCAGTACAAGCTTGCAATTTCCCAAAGAATTATTTCCTGTGATATATGTTTGTGTGACAATAATACACCCATCTTGTGCCTGCCAGCAAATCCCAAGTTATATGGTAACTCCCATGTGAATCTGGTCAACTGTGATGTGACGAACAATGTGTGCTTTCTTGTACTTCCAACTGACCAATCAGCTTTGTGAATAACATTGTTGCACATGTGTTAGAAAAGATAATACATTCGACAATACTGGGCAATACTGAAGATTACCTCATGCTCTGTGGCTGAGTCTCTCTCTTCGCCGGGCTTACTGCGGGTCATCTGGGGAGGAATACAAAAGTTATACAACACTTATACAACAAATATACAACATTTATCATACAGAAACATACAACAGGGGATAAACTGTTGGTCTTGAATGGCTTGTTTAAGCATACATCAAGGGGCTGGAGAAGGGAGGTACATCCGCCTGGTATTACTGCTTGGTGTGTCTTTGTTTCAGTTAACTTCTTCTTGACACTCTGGCACAGGTGTGCTCTAAACATATCCCATACAAGTAAAGACTTGCATCCCCTCATGCCACCCGGCCAGGACATCCAAACATCTGTTACCCATCTGTTAACTAGGTCTTCGTCCATCCAACCTTTCTGGTGTACTGCGACAACAACTCCAGCCGGAAACTTGTCTTTGGGCATTGTCTTTCTTTTGAAAACAACCATAGGTTTTAGTTTCGTCCCATCTGCCAAACACGTTAAAACAACAGTAAAATGTTGTTTCTCGTTCCCCGTTGTCTTCACCGATATGGTCTTGGCACCCAGGTGGTCTACTGTTCTGGAGCCTGGCATATCGAAGTTCAAAGGGGTCTCGTCCATGTTGCCGATTTGACCAAGTTCATAGGCCATAGCCTTCCGTCCTTTGATGACAAGGGCATGAAACAAGTCCACTTTTGTGTTTTCCTGGTCAGGCAGCTTCTGGGCGATGTGGGTCTTCTGTCTGAGAGTAAGGTGTCTCCTGTTCATAAACCTTGAACACCAGTGTGACGATGCCTTAAACGTTGTTGGGAGGTCGAATTCCTGTTTCTTCGCCTTGTAAACCGTCAATGCCCGTTGGCGAATCATATTTCTGGTTACCATGTAACCAGACTGTCTTTGTTCTGTTATCCACTCATACAGGACATCCTCTAGTTTACTGTATGGTGTTACAGCAAACCGTCTAGCTTTCTTGGTTTTCGGCATTTCTGTTAGTGCCGTCTTTTCTTTCCTCCAATTTCTAACTTGCCTCTCGTTGATGTCGAACTGTCGTGCAGCCGCACTGTTGTTTGTCGACTCAGCAACAGAGACGACCCGCAGTTTGAATGCAGCATCGTAAGCGTGGCGTTTTCGTTTTGAACTCATGATGAGATTGCCAGTCAATAAAAATATTCCAACTTCTATACACCTATGCAGTAACTCACCAATTTACTTCAATTCAACTTCAAACATTGCCGCCACTATCGTATGTTAATCCAATTGAATTAAATAAACTATGAACAAATTAAATGACCATCACTTACTCACAGGCTTCTCCAGTTTATTAAACTAATCTCTCGAAAACAACAAAATTAAATTAAATGACCATCACTTACTCACAGGCTTCTCCAGTTTATTAAACTAATCTCTCGAAAACAAAAGAATTAAGCCCCTACTCCCAACACGATCGGTAAGCACACACAACTTGAAAGTGTTTGTGTAAACAACATAACAATACCAATCGGCCCGTTATTATCAGTGCTCATTTCCTTGTGTACCGTGTTGCTTTTTAAACAACAGGAAGCAATCACAGTGGTCACCATCTGTGACGTCACAGGAAACAGCTGATCACATGTTTTTGCAAATGGCGAACGGAATAACTCGCCGCTACAGTTGTTTATTTGCCCCTTTCAATAAAGGTAGATACTTGTTCACTATCAATTTTTGATTTTTGCAAAACGTACCTACCTGTAGTAGCTATGGCGATTTCATCTGTGAATTATATATTGTTAGATGTAAAGATTGTGGAGTTTATGAAGAACGATAAACTTGGAAACAATTGAAATCTTATTATCGTAAGTAGTAATATGCATAACATTTTTTTAATAATGACAACATTGGTGTATAATAATAACTTTATTAATGACAAATTGGTGTATAATAATAACTTTATTGATAATTTTAACTTGATTCCAAACTTTCGGGTTGTAATCTATCGGACCGTCATTCAGGCGATGTTTCTGTCGGATCACGATCTGAAAAATACTATCGTGAAAGTGTGTCCCGTGGATAAGCCGACCCCTTTCTACAGAATCTTTTTTCTGGTCCTCAAAATTCGGCTTATTAGGGGTCATATACGGTACATATTTGTGTGTTCCCACGACAAGCTTGATTTCAATCAACAACCGAAATAGCCTTGCAGCTAAGGGACACAACTCTAACTTCTCTAGACCACAACCACTCAAAAATAACCACATACATAACAAAGGTAACATCCTAACAACATACTCTCAAAACACGCTATAATTGATAGCTATACATGTATTCCCATGACAGACAGAACAAAATGGCTAAACTGATTCTTTTGTGAAGAAATAATGTCAAACTTGAATAAAGTACTTCTGATCTGCCTTGTCAACACAGCATACAAACAAGCATCATTTCTTTTGATTTGCTTCTATCGCTTCTCTTGCACAATGTCCGATGTTCCTCATTACCTTGATAAGTCTGTTTACATCCTCCTCCACCTCCTTCATCATACCAGACGTGCGAGCATCTGTCACCTCAGCAGCCATTTTGAAACCATACGACATTGGCTGGAAATCTTCCTGCAATACAATTTTGAATTTGCAAGATAGCTGGGGTATACTGACTGTATGCTGCAGATTAATAAAAAATTATGTGTTTTCAGATATTGAGTTATACTGAGTAATTGATGCCCAGTAACTTCTTTTGGAATCAAAAAAGCAACTAAAAACACATGTTTATTGACATTGTAACATACAAAAGTTATCCACATTTACTGAAGCACACCCTATCAACGTGAGACAGACAAAAAAGTCAAGCTTCCTGGATAACTGTACTCACCTGGTTAGCAGAATGTGAAGAAAATAAAAAAAACATCAAAGTTGTTCTGATAAACATTATTGATATTGATCAAACTTAAAAATTAATTCAGTGGAATTCATTCAAGCCATTCATTCAAGCCAAATGGCATGTGTTTCTAATTTGGGATTGAGGAAAAATAAATAGCTTATCAAGAAAATTATTCACAGTGGATAGTCCACATTTCCGGGGTTTGAAACAACCAATCAGATTGCAGCACACACTCCCATTCATTTTCCAATGTCATGTTAATGCTTTTAATGAACTTGCCAAAATCTGCTGTTCAAGGATTTGACTTGAAGATTGCACTCACCTCTTCAAACACATTGGCTCTGTTGATCTTTTCCCTGATGTTGTCAACTATCTTGAGACTACAGATGCTGAATGCCTTCAGACACCTGTCCTCTATGAGGTAGGGGTCGTGGAGGTACAGGTTCGTAAACACTGTTTGAGCCAAGGAGTGGCCCTCCAACCATGTCACCTGAAAAAACAACATGTCAAGTGAGTGAGGGGATTTAGTATGTTGATATTAATATTGATGCTATTGGGGTCTGAGAGGTTAATCAGACGAAGAAAAGCAAAGTTGCTCGCGGAGATTACAGTAGTTGGATGGGTGTCCGTGTTCGGTAGGTTGACTCCTGAGAACTTCTCGGTCTTCGGTCTCCGCCCCACACTGAAGCACATGAAGCATATGTGTTGTCTCCTTAGGCAAGTGGGAGAGTGTGGGGGGGAACTCCATTAACAAAAAACCTGCCAGAGCACCTGCAGATAGATGTGAAAGGATTGTGGCATGTGTTACCGGGTGGGGATCAGACCCTGTTCCTCCAAGAGATAGCAGGGCTGGCCTAGTCTAAAGCACGGGACTTATTTCAAAACAAGGGGACAAAGAAGCAAGCCACTTCCTACCAGGCATGCTAGTGTTGAGTCCATAATCCCAATCTGTTCTGGCATTGTCAGGTCCTGTATCTTTATACTATCTGCCTGAAACATATGCAAGAAACAATAAAACACACACATACATGACAACATGTCACCATATTCATGATATGAAACATTGTTCAATCAAATATTAAAGATATAAAGTCACATCTCTTAATGAGAACATACATTCCTTCATGTAGACTGGGGCGGTGAGGTAGCCTAGTGGTTAAAGTGTTCATTTGTCATGCCGAAGATCCAGGTTCAATTCCCCACATGGAAACAATGTGTGAAGCCCATTTCTGGTGTTCCCGCCATGATATTGCCATGTGAACTGAAAATCTGTAAACCTGGGATCTGCTCCACAAAGCGATCATAGCGCCCGGAACACTACATTCTCAGTTAATTATAACAAATTTCCAGAATAACATATCATGGGCAAATGGGTACATAGTAAAGTCCCTGTAATCCTACAAAGACATTCCTGGCATCCGTCATCTGGAACAAGGTTATAACCATGATAATGGGGTTTCACTGTATTTCTTCTTATAGGTCCATTTGAACACTTTGGTGTCAAGTATCAGATGCAAGGATCCTAGGATCACAACAGGGAATTACCTGACACGAAATCCTTGGTAGCATACTCATAAAAATTAAACACGGATGCAACAAAAATACAGACAGAATGCATGTTCAGGAAAGAATTATGCTATTTAAAGGATGTTAGCAGAACCCTGGTCCTAACATCCTATTCGGCGATGCACAATGTTACAACCATAGCACTGCAGCCATAGTTAAGTATGGACCAGCATGGTCAACAGGTGCTTGATACTAAGCACTGCTAATGAAAGCATTACATGTCATACAGGTGGGTACTAGTCCGATTTTGTCCTTCCAAAATCCTTCCAAGTAGATGTTACTCCTTACATATGGGTTGTTATTATCTAGCCGTATCCTGTTTATTACTACATAGTTATATAACAAAGATCAATTATACAAGATTCTGGCATTGGACCCGTGGCTAGAATTGCAGACTACACATAATCAGCCACCGACTTCCAATTTGTGTATCCCTTACAAAAATGGATGACTGGGATCTATTCTGACAAGGAATCAACAAGGAATCATTTTCATTGTATATCCATTTATGACTGGTACCAGTAGTTGTAACAGTGCCTACCTCCACCGCCTGTTCAAGACTGAGCACTTTTCTTCGGATCTGGTTGCACATCATGCCAGCATCCATTTTGGGATCCATCATTTCAATGGCAGACATAGCCTCAAACAGACCAAACCTGTTCATTAGAAAAAGTATGTGAATTAGATGATATCCATGGTAACAGTTAGTTACTTTAAGTATGCAACATGGTCTGTTCTATTATATTTTGTGTACCCATGGTTACATAGCATTGATAATGTGCATATTCCATTTCTATTTTTGAAGATGTAACCATTCCTAATCATGTGTTGAAAACACCTTCAATTTGATATGGAAGAAAAAGCTGAATAAAACACAATGTTTTGACATAGAATGTCAATGTAAAAGGTATCATAATCATGATCATGTTCAGGCATTTTCAATCATACAAAGGTATTCCAACTTTATAATGCCAATTGTAATCATGATAAATCTTTGACAGAAATGTTTTTTGGCTTACGAGGAGTCATGTAGAAGCTCTCCGAGCTGTAACTCGGACACAGCACCCACAAAGTCTTGAGTAACATCATTCCAGCTGTATGTCAGTTTCTCTGCTTTCTCCACAATACCATCCATTCTGAAAATAGTAACACAAGGAGTGGCTTCACATGTTGATGGTTAGTGTTGTGAAGATTACTTGAAACACTGTCAGTGTAAACATAAAATGTGAATGCAAGAGAATATCCAGTCTTGATTATCTGCCGAAACAGATTTCTTTTAGGGCAAACTAACTGTGAAAATTATATGAATGGACCACTGAAGATCAGTGATGACACCAGGTGTTTGAGAAAAGGGTAAGCATGTCCTACACACATTCATACAGACTTCATGTACACCATGTACACTGCAAATTATTATACATGTCATAAGCATACACTGATTTACTACATGTACTTCAATGAGAAATTAGTCATCTGACTCCTTGGCTTTGTACATGTTGTAGTGTTTGAGAGATGAAGCCAAACAGACCAGGACCTGCTGACTGACAACATTGACACAAGTTGGGACTGACTTTACAGAAAATTACACCTGTCTTGAGGTACCATGACCATCCAGGTGCAAATCCAGGTGCACCAACTGCATCCTCATTGTGACAAAGTGTGTATGTTTGTGAATGTATACAGAGATCATGTAATAGAATCTACTATATGGTCTCTGATGTACATCACTGTTAGTAAACAGATAAATTAATGATAATAAAATTAGCGTTAACTGGTTAAAGTAACTTAAACTACGAGATTTGTTTTTGCTTTAATATCTGATATCTCAGAGGTCTGTATTGACTAACAAAGTAACAGTTGACGATTTTTTAATAGGCAAAGTAGAGATAATTTATGGATAACAACTTCTTCATTTACTGTTATAAGTTGTTATCCATAAATTATCTCTACTTTGTTATCCGTCAACTTCTAAGAAAGGCCTATCAAAAAATTGGCTTGTCCTTTTTTTCAATACAAGGTATCTGTGTCATTGGGGTTGTTTTTTGAGTGACCGATGCACAGAGTATTTAACAATGGAAACCTGTAGTGTTTAGCCAGAGACCATATAGGCCTAGACTGATCTCTGTTTTAGCTGACGCTGTCGGATCCCAATGACTACCGTGCAATGCAAGCAAAATTGTTTATCCCTTAAACTAACAAGCTGATCAACAATTTTCTATGATTGTATATGAATATGAGTCACGTGATAATGCAAGTTCATAGGTTCGTTAGCAAGATAGCCCATTGATGGCCAACGCATCTTAGTCTTACTAGGCTAAACCAAAAACATTCGTGAACATGAACGACCTAGAACGTCTCATACCGAGTCAGTCTTTCTTCAAAATCTTATTGAATCAAATAAGTGAGAAATCTATCCCATATGTGGTTATTCTTAGAGACACAGACTGTATAAACAAAGGTACCTTGTTATTTTAGTGATTGACGCAGATCGTTAGTTCGTAGTAACAACCAGGTTGTGAATCAATCTCGCCATGTTTTATCGTAAACTCTGATCACCGCCTTACCATTAAAAGCACTATGGTGCGAGCTCTATACAACGCTATTGTGAGCTTGGCTCAGTTAAAATCCGGACATAGGGGATTTCTTGCAGATTACAAAAAGTCATCCTGGCGAGGTCAGGAAAGAATGATCCCGGGTCGTGACACAACCACAGACTCTAAATATTTTAATTAATGTCAATGCTACAACGAACCGATATTTCGAAATCACCAACAAACCCAAATTCTGTCAAATTGTGTGTCTTTTCTTTTCCCATATCACGTCACACTTGACATTATCACAAAAATATTCATGCATTCTAAACATTCACTTTTTTAAACAACGAACGCATACGACTGCATATGAACTTCATATCTTTTACATAACAATCATTTATTATCACAATTTTGAATATATATTCAAAGTGTTTACATACAAAGTGACCGACACCCTGGTTATAATCAACTGTGAAATTACACGATTTTAACCTACCAAAAGTGAATTTATAATGGTGCAAAATTAATATCAGGTGTTCCATTTGTATACTTGTCATTATATTGTGAAATGGACAAGGAATTCCAGGGTAGATGTATCGCAGCAGAGTGTGCACACAGGTGGTGACAGCAATACTGAACAAACACAGCTTGGTTTCCTTTCTCCTGGAGGGAAGTATAGATTGGGCACATCCATAATAATTCATAAGCACGCAAGTTGTATTTAAAGTAATATCTAATAAAGTAGGTTAACTTGTGTCAGTCTATCTGAATAATGCATATACAACACATTTAGTAAAGGTAAACCAATAAATCTATGAAAACACAAATGATAAGCCATGATCAAGTTATGCCATAATTGTATTATTTAGTCACATTCGCTAACAATGAAGGTATGCATGGCCCTATCTTAATGTATTAATGTGTATGTATTGGTACACCTCCGCGTAAATACAAAATACAAACACCGGTACATGTGTATATACATTCGCCGGTATATACAATGAAAGGCATACTAAACCCATATAAATGTTACTCTAGACTGGATATGTCTATATAAAATCACGAACAATTTCAACACCACTGCAAATCACGGATCAAGGTGTTGCCTTATCACCCTAGTTTACTGTACACAAGTTGTACCCTTTGGCACAAAAGTATATTTCACACATGTCTCGTTGTTATCATGAACTGTTTGCTTGGAAAGAGAAATACAGTATACCTTACTTATGAAAACCTCAGAAAGGGTTGCATTGTTAGACATTAAACAATACAATCACTGCTATGTTCTACTGCTGCTATCGTGCCCTTGACGAGCGTGTATAGAATAACATATTCTCCAGCCATGGTTTAAATCACAGTTATTAAACATCATTTACATTTAAGGGGGAAACAAACTCGGAGGATCATCTAGCAGTCCAAGTAAGCTTATTTCAAGGATCCCCCCCAAACAATCAAACAAAACAACAACAAAAACTACATCTAAAATTAGATTTTCAAAAATTCATTCCAAACATGAATGCAGTAATGAAAGTTGGCAATATGAAAAAAATGTAGGTAGATCTAGGTTATTTCTAAATGTTTTCTTGACAGTGAGTAACCTTTTCTACGCGATCGTGCCTTGTACAGTTCCAACAAAGATTATGATTATATTTTTTAATGTTTATGACGCTGAACCTAAATCATCGATGTAGTTTTCAAGTTTGACGTAACTGGGTTTGTATGTGAACTGTATTTGTGTTTGTTTCAGGGCTGGAGTTATCGAGTGTCTCTACAAAAATCAGTGACTACTAGAAACTGGACAGCAATGGTACAATGTGACATCATAAATATTCTGACGTCATTAACATAATGTCATAAATATAGAATACTAAACGAGCTCCCGTGTAATACCAATTTTATGAAACGAGTGAATAGTTGTGGTATCTGACTCGCTTTCGATCGTCAGATACCACAACTATTCACGAGTTTCATAAAATTGGTTTTACACGGGAGCGAGTTTAGTATTTTATTTATTACTGGCCATTTATAACGTTTTTAATATTATACTGTTGCGTGTGAATAGACTGACACCTACACGATCCACGGCATAATCCAACTGAGTTTAACACAGTAATTCTTCAAATACGTCAAAAGTTGAAACGTATGAATTTAATACCATCCAACGATCCACCTTTAGAATTCAGGCGTCCGTTCCACAAAATTATCGTAGCGTTAAGGTTATCGCAACTCATATACTTTAACTTAGACCAACGACTGTCGTTGCGCTACCGTACGATCGCCTTGTGGAACGGGGCCTTGCACCTCAAAGTTTACAATCACGTCACAATACCAGATGACGTAATTTGTGGAATTTTGTTGCAAGATCCTTCGGCGAAACAATGCCATGTGACGTCAACCTAGCAACAAGGTTGCTGGGATCATCGAGTGTGCATAAGCTCCTCTCAGTGATCTATCATCTCCACACGCAATGTCGTTGAATAAGCCAAGGGATGTTGAGAGCTTTCAAGATTTGTTCGTGAAACGTGTTCCGAGAGTACATAAGCACGCGTTTTGGTATTACACAATGTGTATAACACAATGTGTAATACAGCTGTATGTTTATTAAACGGGTTTACTTCACGGGCAAGTAATAAATGTTGTTTGTCATCAAGCCTGCAATGCTGTAAAGCGCGTGAAATCATTCTTCCAGATGAATGGTTTGGGTTTTAAGAACATGCTTTTCTTGTGCCACCATTTCGCCCGGAAATAAACTATATATTATATCTGACACTCGTTTCAGTAAATTATTTCTGTATCCGTTAACACAGTACCGTTTAAAATTGAAATAGTAAGAAAAACATAACCGTAAATTATTTGCGCTTGTATTACATAACACATGGGTATTTTACTACCGCTTCCTATTTTCTCAACTTCATGAAAGGTAACTCTGGCAGTACTTCCTGTCTTGGAATCTTTGCTAATGACAGGAATGCAAGGTTACGTCCAGTGAAAATTGGGTATGGTGATTGATTCTTGCAATACTTGAAACTGACATGTAGATCCTCGTTTCACGTTACCCCATTAATCACGTTGCACTAAATATATGCTACTTTCATGCTGTCGAACTGTGCATTTCCCGCAAAGTAGGAAATGTATGTCGAGGGGAGATAATTTATTCTTACTAATTTGCACAAATTACTGTTATCCCAGTTGGATATGAGATAATTTATCATACCTCAGTGGAAAATATGTGCAAAGTGCAATAGTTACATATGGTGCTTTTGTCAACTTCATTATCATAATGTGTATCGCTATAAGGCGCCCTTGTCAATCAAATATGTTTATCAGCTGTTTATTGACGGAATCGGGTCAACAGGTCAACTCAAGTCAAACCACAAAACGGCCATTTGTGTCAAAGTCAAAACGACGATGAAAATGAAAAATAGAAAACGATCTAAACAAATGAAAATCACAAAGAATCAAACGTCTTTGGATAATATTATATCATGATGACTATTAGGCCTAATTGTTCTGTCTCTTTCAAACAATCACCCCCATTCTATTCTCACCCCCTTCTCAGCACTAACAGTCTATACTCATTCCTATTTTTTTCCAGTTTGTTGTAAAGTTAAAAAGAAAACCCTATCCAATGAAATGCCATGGAATCAATTGCAATTTATATATTTATCCCTATACTAGAAATTGAAAGTTATATACATAACTCTATTTCAGGGACAGTATGTTGATTTGATGGTACTGTGTTCTTGATACAATAATTACCCTTGTTTTCATGGAGTGTTGAACAGGAAACACCATTGACTCGAAATAATTAATAAGCCAATTTGATATTTAAGCACAACTAAGATAGGATCAAGTAACTTCATTTTTGTAAATTATTGATCTGACTATGAAAATTTAAAGGTATTAAAAAAATGCATGCATCACACACATCAAATCTGAGTGTTTACAAGATGTCTTACACAAAATGGAGGCGGTCGGGTAGCCTAGTGGTTAAAGCGTTCGCTTTGAAGACCCAGGTTGATTCCCGACATGGGTACAATGTGTGAAGCCCATTTCTGGTGTCCCCCGTTGTGATATTTGCTGGAATATTGCTATAAGCGGCGTAAAACCATACTCACTCACCTACACATAATGAGCGAGAACCAGAATCCAACCAATATTTGCTCTCCATAAAGTAGTCTGGTTTCACACATGTAAGGCATTAACTACCGTGTTTGACATAATAAACACCCAGGGCGCTCTCAAAATTAAAAATAGGAGGCTCTTATTGGAATATTATTTTGGCGGGGAAAAAACAGAGTTGAAAGATAAATTTCGTTGTTTATGCTGACAGCCTGAAATGTTTACATACAACAGATATATTTTTCCAGAATTTTATTGCCCATAATTAAGGGTGCATATAACACACGAGTGCGTATTATACGCGAATAAATAAGTCTTGTGTGCATTGATCAGAAGGGGTGCTAATTGGGATTGTTCACTAGCCAATATATTAGCAAATATCACCGTGGACACTTATTAGAGCAGGGCGCTTATTACGTCGGATACAGAATAATATCAAACTTTTTGTTTCCTATATTCCCCATGTTCCCTGAACATGTTGAAGGATCTATATATAGTATTTTACATTGTGAATACAGTAGAGCCTCATTATTTCAAACTCTGTTATCTCGAAAGTACCGATATCTCGAACCTGTTCTCCGTTCCCGACCCTGATGCACACTTATGTCTAAAAATGCAAAGTGCTATCTCTTTGGCTCGGTCCGAACTTTTTACTATGGAATTTTGTCCCTTTATCTTGAAATTGTCATTTGCCACATAAACAGTTTTTAGAAGCACAGATATATCCAGAACTGTTCCTCACACCTCTGTCATCGCTGTAAAAACAAATTTGTTGACCAATTATGTTCTTATCTTTTACACAATTGTGATGGTAGTCTTTATTGACAAATAAACATAGTGACTAGACATATGGTAAGTAAAAACATGGATGTACTTCCTGGTTCTGCATGTGGTAATCAAGGCTGGAATAAAGGAATCCAAGCTTCGTGACGCTACTTAAAATATCCAAGCTGTGAATTAACAGGCTTGTTGAGGCAAGAGTGGCACTTTGTTGTTTTTGATGAGTGGACAGACTATGTAGCATTTTCTGCTATGCCTAGTAAGGTACATGTACTCTGTACATAATTTGTCACAGTTGTTTTTAATCATTGCCTGCGAAATACATTTCAATTTCTCATGACATAAATGTGTTGTCTTAATTCTTGTGTAACTAATTGAGACAACACATGTATGTCATGAGAAATTGAAATGTATTTCACAAGCAATGATTAATAACAACTGTGACAGATTTTGTACAGTGTTTCTTGTGTATCAAGTTGGACCCGTGAACATCCGGGGAAGAATAGGTCTTCAGCAACCCCTGCTTGCTGTATAAGGCAACTATGCTTGTCATGAGAGGCGTCTAACGGGATCAGGTGGTCAGGCGTGCTGACTTGGTTGATGTAAGTCATTGTATCCCACTTGCGTGGATAGATGCTCATCATGTCAATCACTGGATTGTCTGGCCCAGACTTGATTATTTACAGACTGCCATCATATAGCTGGAATATTGCTGAGTGCGATGTTAAGCAACAAACAAACAAATGTATCCAATTGTATTGTTTTGTATTAGGGGTGTCACGATAGATCGAAATATTGATATATTGCTATTGGTAAGCACTTAAAGTCAATAAATCGATTGTTAAATCAGTTTTCGATCAATAGTATTGATTTCAGTTAGGAATATTGATAGTTTCAATTGTATTTACCATATAATTAAAATACATGCAATGCTGTTCAAATTTGTTTTTCTTTTGATCATGAGTGGTAGTAATTAACAAATGGTAATGTGGAAGTTTCTTTTTCTTAAATTATTCATGTTACTAGGATAAAGAAAAAACAAATCAGTCATATCTCAAACTTTACTTTTTATTTGTTTTTGTGGTTATCACATTCAAAGGAAACTTCTGTTCCCAGGTTTAATTCAACTCTCGTTCCATCTAAAATGATACAATGAAAACTATCGATATTTATCGCAATAGTTGCTTGCAATATCAATAATTATCGCAATAGTGATTTCCAGACCAAAAGTCACCCCTACTATGTATCTGTTATACTGTTAGATGATGATCAAGCCTCATTATCTCGAATGTCCAGATATCTCAAAGTTACAACACCGCCCGTTCGAGACCAGGGGTATGTAATGTACACAATCTGCTAGTGGTGATATCATTTGTAGCAGTTGACACAAGGAGGTTGGTTGGTTGGTTGGTTTCTTGTTTACGCCGCACTCAGCAATATTCCAGCTATATGACGGCGGTCTGTAAATAATCGAGTCTGGACCAGACAATCCAGGGATTAATATCACGAGCATGGATCCAAGCAATTGGGATCAATTACATGCATCAACCGAGTCAGCGAGCCTGACCACCCGATCCCATTAGTTACCTTTTACGACAAGCATAGTCACCTTTTACGGCGAGCATGGGTTGCTGAAGACCTATTCTACCCCATCTTCCTGAGGAAAGTGAGTTAACTGACTATAAAAGTCCAGTTTCCACCCTTGCTGAACTAGGCTGGTATTATGGAGTTACATTTTGGCTGGACTAACGAGTCTATGCATAGTCCAATCAAAATCACACACCGAAATCGAAATCCGGTTCGTAAAGTGTCATGCAGATTTCAGTCAACTGCAGGATTTGCAAAGCATGTGCACTGCTAACTCGTTGTCAACAGATATTTTCTATATCTTTTCATGTTTTTAGTCAAGGTCCTCACGTGAATTGATGCACTTCGCGATGTAAGACTCGTTTGATCACAATATGGATCTTGATTATCGATCAGATCGTCTTGACTGGGCGCCACCGTTTTGTTTGAAGCAAATGCATTTGATACGAGAGGTTAAATCTGATTGGTCAATAGGAGAGGCATAGAAAGGACATTACTCGTAATAGCAACTGGTGGCGCTACGATCGAGCCCAGGAATTCCAGCCTAGTTCGGCAGGGTGGAAATTGGACTTTTAAAGTCAGTTAACTCTCTTGCCTCAAGAAGATGATTCTACCCTGGATCTTCACGGGTCGATGATATGACAACTGGGGTATCACTTTTTCTACAATTGACTCTACTTTGGGTTTTTCATGTTTACATAGATTTTACATTTTATCTTGAGTAATTTAGTACATAAGTAGTAGTAGTAGTAGTACATAAGGCCTCTATATTTCAATTGCTAAGTTTACAGATTTTTATAATTTGTATATAACAATATGGTGGTCGAAATATGATAATTAAAATAAAATTTTAAAACATGTTTTTTTCAAAAGGAATCTCTTGTCAGTATTGATATTTGGATGATTGATGAAATAAGAAAGAATGAAATACAAGAAAAACTACATGCCGAAGGGTTATACGTGTACCATGCTTCCCTTCCCGTGTTAACTAAACCAAGAAGACTCGTAAAGGAAAAGGTCTCTCATAATTGTTTTTCACCCATTTGTGACATTCCGAGCTAGTGAATCCTTATGCTAAATTATCATATTATAGAAGACAATATTTTCAGTTACAGCTTACAACAATTAATTACTATTGAGAGTATTTATCCCTCGTTATGTTATTGTTTACTTATTGTTGCTAGGTACATCACAATCATGATACCGGCTGCTCCAGTCATGTACCTGGGCTGCCCCCGATGTGACGGCTTGCTCTGCACCCAGGAGACGTATGCACACCATGCCGCCATCTGTGACGGCAACCGTCAGACCTCGTCATGTCAGCTGTTTGCATGCCCCAGAGATATGTTTCTACAACTTTTCAGCAAAGATATCGAACTCGTTTCTGATTTCTCCATGTCTGAAGTTGACGACACTGTTCTAAAACAAGGGAAACATGAAATTCACGATCCTTCAACTTCAAGTTCATTACATAAAACGAACAATGTTCATATTTTAGGAAGAACTAGATCTCAGGATTACACTGTTGAAGACAAAGATGCTCCAAATATTGACTCTCCAAATATGGACATGGCTGATGTTCGGTTAGATGTTCTGGGGAATGATGTCGACAACAGGCAGTTAACTCTCTCGGAGGCAGAGCAAGAGGCTGAAACTATGTATAAAAGTTTTGTTCAAGAAACTGAAAACATCTTTTCAAAAGATGATAATCAGATTGATGCTTGCATTACGGATGAAGAGGAAAGTTGCAAGACTGTCCTCGAAACCGAAGATGCAGTGGATGAGTGTCATTGGGATGAATTTGTGAAGGACAATCACACTGTGTATAGGTGTAGGCTGTGCAGCCATGAATCGAACTATCTGGGGTTTATGAAGAGACACATTCGGGCACACAACAATGGAGATGTGCTGCAGTGTGACCAGTGTGACTTCAGCACAATTTGGCGCAGCCAGCTGCAGGTGCACAAGAGCAAGCATGCACAGCCCAACTTCCTGTGTGAACACTGCCCCAGGAGATTCAAGAACAAGTCCAGTCTCACCAGACACAGTGCCAAGAAACATAATGGTAAAATCTTTGAAATACTTGTTTTACAATGAGTGAGTTTGTTTTAATGCCACTTCGAACAGGATTCCAGGTATATCACAACCTTTAAGCTTAATGTGGGAGGAAAGCCCTAAGTTGTGTAGGTCTCAGCGACAAACTTTATGAAGATGCGGCGGTGCCTGAGAACCAAGATCTTATTTTTGTTCTTAGCCTAAGTCAGCCTGTGAATAATACTCAGTCGCAGACTAAGTCAGACCAGAAATCGGTGACTTGAAACAGGACCAAGCAGTGTTGGTAATTAAGTGGGTAATGGGGCCTGTGATGTTTCCCGGAGGTATTTGAGTCGGGGGACCCCCACTTTGGTATTAGGATTATGACAAGGACACCTTCACATTTATTCTTAATGTCGATCACTGCCAAGGATTCATATCATTGGGGTATGTTAACAGGATTCTGACGTGCCTAGGAAATGCAACCCTGCACAGTGAATTGTCTCCGCTAGTGGATAGCAGGACAGATCTAATTCCTGCATCACTCCCATATGAAGCGGACACCATGTTATGACAGAAATGCCGTTGAATGCAACATTAAGCCAAACTCACTCACTCCATCAAGTTCTAGATGTAAAAAGTCTTCTTGAAAACTATTGCGCATCATTATTTCCCACAGAACATTTACCTTTCTACAACAAAGTAGGTTTTTCATCTTAAAATGTGAAATATTTCACCACAGCAACCTGGCAACTTGTGTTCACTAACTGACAACTGTTGAGGCAAATACATACAACCTTTGGCCACCGTTTTGGTCAAGTTACTTCTGTAAAATGTGTGTGACATTTACATCTTAGACTTTTCGTTATGAAACTGTCGCTACATGGCTGAAATAATGCCGATGTGACATTAAATTTTAACTCACTCACTCATTTTAAAACTGGACATGAGGAATATTCCACACAATCATGACAGTGTCATTCCTGAAAATGGGAAAAAGTGATTTTGAAAGTGTCCGCGTAGTAAAGTAAGAATTACTGGCTGCTTGTTTGTTTCAATATTTCAGATGCATGACATGGTCTGTGAATCAAGTCTGGACCATGCAGTTATCCAAGTCATTGAACCTGACCACCCAATCCATTTAGACACCTCTTATGGCCTACTTATTCTTTTTTTTCACTTACAGGCAAAAGCAACTTCTTATGCACATATAGCCAGGACTGTGGATTTGTGGGAGTCAACAGTGCGAATCTCCGAGACCACATGAGAAAACACACAGGTAGAGTTACTTCCCCTACCACAACCTTGCTGTCCTTTTGTTTGAATGGTTCAGGTTTCCGTCTTGTCTAAGACTGTTAACATGATGCTACAGTAGCAGCAGGATTTCATTGTTATGTTAGCTGCCCCTGCCCCACCAAGCAACATCAGAACCCTGCTGCACAGTCCTGCCCAACCACCCTGCCCCACCACCCAGCCCCACCACCCAGCCCAACCACACAGCCCCACCACCCAGCCACACCCAGCCCCACCACACAGCCCCACCACCCAGCCCAACCACACAGCCCCACCACCCAGCCCTACCACACAACACAGCCCCACCACCCAGCCCCACCACCCAGCCCCACCACCCTGACCCACCACCCAGCCCCACCACCCAGCCCCACCACCCAGCCCTACCACCCTGCCCCACAACACAGCCCCACCACCCAGACCCACCACCCTGCCCGACCACACAGCCCGACCACCCAGCCCCACCACTCTGACCAACCACCCAGCCCAACCACCCAGCCCAACCACCCAGCCCTACCACCCTGCCCCACAACACAGCCCCACCACCCAGCCCCACCACCCTGCCCCACCACACAGCCCCACCACCCAGCCCCACCACCCTGACCAACCACCCAGCCCAACCACCCAGCCCAACCACCCAGCCCTACCACCCTGCCCCACAACCAAGTCCCACCACCCAGCCCAACCACCCAGCCCCAACACCCTGCCCCACCACCCAGCCCCACCACCCTGACCAACCACCCAGCCCCAACACCCTGCCCCAACACCCTGCCCCACCACCCAGCCCAACCACCCAGCCCCAACACCCTGCCCCACCACACAGCCCAACCACACAGCCCCCCACAGCCCCACCACACAGCCCAACCACCCTGCCCCACCACCCAGCCCCACCACACAGCCCCACAACCCTGCCCCACCACCCAGCCCCACCACACAGCCCAACCACACAGCCCCACCACCCAGCCCCACCACTCTGGCCTATGTCTTGGCACATTGTTTCAACCTCTTGTAAATATAATGATCATAAGAAGATCAAAAACTGTTTATGTAATCACTATTTGCACCCAGTATCGTCCTAAATGATGTTACAAAATACTTTTATTTCTTTTTCACAGATCTTTTTCTTTAATTCACTAAAGATATTTCATCCAAAATTAGACTCAGAGGCATCAAATTTTATCTATACATATATTGAAATTACAAACTAGAAACAATGCACAGTGAAATAATGTTAAATTTGGAGTCTCAGGGAGTCTCGTTTAAAGGCAAAGTCCTAACATAAGAAATGTTTAGAGTTTTCTGGTTTGCTTTCAGGAGAACTGCTGTTTTGTGACTATGGTCAGTGCAAGTTCATGACCAAGTTTGAAAAGGCACTAGGCCTTCATAAAGCTAAACACCAGGGAATAACAAGGTATGTTTGTGAGATTTGTGGCTACAAGACCATAGAGACAGGCAGCTTCAAACGCCATTGTTTGATCCACAATGGCAAGAAGCTGTTCAAGTGTCCCGATTGCTCATACAAGGGAACATCCAGATATGTTGTTGTGAAGCACATCTACGGCAAACACATTGACCACAAGAGATATGCTTGTAATCGTTGCGATTTCAAGACAGCTTACTATAGTGGACTGTCCATGCATCTCATGGCCCATGAAGGCATCAAACCCTACAAATGCAGTCTGTGTCCTTACAGAAGCAATTTGTCCAACAAAGTCAAAAGGCACTGTTCCCAGAAGCATGTTCAAAATGTTGCCAAAGTGATCAAAGTTGAGAACTGCCTTAAGTTTGATGTCAAAGATTATCTCAATCCAGATGTTCATAAAATTGATGTAAAAGTGATCCGCCTTAACGGGGATGGTGAGGAAGAACAAGAGGAAGAAGTAGAGGATGAGGCTGTGGAAGCTGCCACTGCACCAGCAGCTCTTCATGCAGGCATTGTGGAGGAAGAAGGCCTTCTGTGTGAATCTAGGATCTCATCCCTGCCCCAAGGAAGCCCCGATGACCTGGAAGACATCTCTATCATGGGCGGTGGGTTCAATCTGTGCAGTGACCCATCCTTTCCTCTAGATACAGATACCGTTCCCCAGAGCTTTCATTCAGAGGATTCTAACAGTCTGTTTGTAACCAGGAATGTCCGCTTGGATACCTCAGCAGGGCCTGTACTCGACCTGAATAAATTTCATGATGTCCATAAGGGAAAGATTCCTTATCTGGACTCTCCAGAAACCAGCCTTCAGATGACTGAAGGTGCCGAGCAGATTTTGTCAGATATATCCGAGAACTTTACAAATGTAAAGACCAATCCTTTCAGAAGTGTTGGCTTAGGGTTGAGATCTGAAAGTGTAGATAATCTGTGTCAGATTAAGTCTCCAATGTCAAAGTCTACCGAGTCCATTGATACACTTGATCTAGCAACACAAATAGACAATAAGATCATGCAATCACAGGAAATCCCTGTCAGCTTTGAAACCAAGACTCATCTTCCTATGTTGTCGGCTTCCTCCCCGCTTTTCCAAGTGATACAGCTTCCATCCACCTTACCAATGAACCAAGCCTCCAATTGTTTAGCTGAACCTGCCAAACCCCTCCGAAGTTTGCTGTCTCCAGACGTTATGAAATCTTTGTCTGGAAATGCATCTGAAGTCAACAGCCCAGCTGATGCCAGTCAACTGCAAAACCAAATATCTATAGTGTTGAAAGTCCCAGCAGGCGGTGGGCAAGCCTCTGGAAAAACCGCTATCCTCTCCCTTCCGCAAAGTGATGCAAACCTGTAATAACGCCTTTACCGTACGTTAGCTGGTTTTCAGAATGTTTGTCCAGTTGTCAAAATATAGTGAAAATATATTACCGTATTCGACATAATAAGCACCCAGAGCGCTCTCAAAATTAGAAATAGGGGGCTCTTATTAGAATATTATTTTGGTGGAAAAAAACAGAGTTGAAAGATAAATTTTGTGGCTTATGCTGACAGCCTAAAATATTTATATACGACTGATATATTTTCCAGAATAAAGGGTGCATATAACACACAAGTGCATTTTATACGCGAATAAATAAATCTTGTGTACATAGATCAATCAGAAGGGGTGCTAATTGGGATTATTCACTAGCCAATATATTAGCAAATATTACCGTGGACGCTTATTAGAGCGGGGCGCTTATTACATCGAATACGGTACATGTACACCATTTAATTGGTTTGTGAAAAAATAGGGTCAGTAGGATGAGATTTATTGTATTAAAATTTTCCTTTTTCATTTTTGTGTAATGAGATGTTACCAAATTGATAGCATTTACATGAGAAACAACACTGTATGGAGTACCTGTGAAGCTGTGAATATTATGTCCAAGTCATTGAGCATGCGTCCCTGGCCTTAGTCAGACAGGGAAACAAGATGTTATTTCTACCCACCTCCAACCAACCCCCCAAATATGTGTGATTATCAGGCATAGTGGTAATATGATACTTGGAACTGGAATAAAAAAAATCCACATTCCTGCTTTTAGGTCAGTGGGACCCATAACCAAGGAATAAAGGAATAAAAAAAACCCCACAAGATATAAAAAAACCCTTCCCTGTGTGTTGTTCGCTTGTTGAATTTGTTATGGGTGTCTTCGGAATGACTTGTGATACTGTTATTACCCATTTTGCTTATTCTACCTCACTGTGCTACAAATGCACAATATGGTTGTCATGGTTTTGTCCTTAATATATGTCCACCTTTTCAAAGGATTCTTGAATATACATATTATATATGTAGTTCCATGGAATGAATTATGTTTTTCGTGCATGGATATATTAGAAGGTGATTTACACACCTCAACCTGCATGGTGTTGATGATGGTTCCGGCAAGTCCTAACATCTATGTGAGCATTGTCCCTAAATGTTGTTATTTTGTTGATAACTCATACATTTACCTTGGAATGAATCCTGATGCCATTACTTACTGTTTTTGTTATTTTTGGCTCAATTAACTGAAAGTCAGGTGAGCTTATCTCGGAGCATCTTCCCGAGGCAAGAGAGTTAACTGACTTTAATAGTCCAGTTTCCACCTTGCCGAACTAGGCTGGAATTCCTTGGCTCGATTGTAGCGCCACCAGTGGCTATAACAAGTTATGTCCCTTCTATGTCTCCCCTAAGGACCAATCAGATTGCATGTCTCGTATCACTGCCATTTGCTTCAAACAAAATGGCGGCGCCCAGTGAAGACGATCTGATTGATAATCAAGATCTATATTGTGTCTTACATCGCAAAGTGCATCCAATCACGTAGCACCTTGATTAAAAACATGAAAAGATTAGGAAAATATCTGTTGACGAGTTGGCGGTGCACATGCTTTGCAAATCCTGCAATCGACTGAAATCTGCATTACAGTTTACTAACCGGATTTCGATTTCGTTGCACGATTTTGATTGGACTATGCATAGACTCGTTAGTCCAGCCAAAATGTAACTCCATAATACCAGCCTAGTTCCGCAAGGGTGGAAACTGGACTTTCATAGTCAGTTTACTCTCTTGCCTCGGGAAGATGATCTCGTAGTGCATTGTCTGTCGTCTATCTGTCTGTCTTTTGCATATTCGGCATCTACTCTGGAACTACAAGGACTAGGGTGCTGGAACTTTTTATGAATGATTCCAGCTATGGTGTTCTAAAAAGACGGCCATTTTGAAAATGTCATTTTTAGCCATTTACCCAACAATTTTTGTATGTATCATTATGAAATTTGATATGCAGCATGTGGTTTTTGGAATAACGTATAATGCGTTATTTGGTATATATTCATTTTGATCCAACTACAACCTTTGCCTTCACATATTCCCCTATTTCCTGTGTTAGTGTTTGGAAGTTTTGACATTTTGTCTGAAACTACAATGCCTTTGAAGTTGCAACTTTCCATGATCACAAATATTGCTGAGAGGATTTTGATCCCCCGTCAAGCATGGCCACCATGGAAGATATATTTAGATGTAGATGGAGTAACCTAAATTTTCTATTTTTGCAAAAATTATGAATTTTGACCTTGATTCAATCTTTACAGCGTAAAACTTCATGTCATCAAACTGAAAATGCTTGATTTGGCAATAAAAATCAAAGAAGATGCAAAATTGTAAAACCATATCCTTGATCTCACACTAATCTGTCAGTATGTTTCATCAAGTTATCTGGGAGCAGTGGTAAAAAGTATTTTTTCATATGGTAGGATGATCCAGGCAAAAAGTTTCACCATTCTACACCTTTTAATTTCGGAGAAAATATCGAAACATGTTCAAGCTGGCCCAAACTGTCCACTGATGGCAGGCCAGCTTTTTGGGGCCAAAGTTTCTTGTGTGTCTGTTACCCATGGCTGCTCAGAGCCAAAACAGCTATTGCTTCAGCCATCAAAGCATGGGCTAGGTGCCTTCAGCACTTCAAAGAGGGGACTGTTCCTTGTCACCGACTCCATTTTACAACCCCTGGTATCCCTGACACCAACCTTTACAGTTGGAAGACCTTTGCACTTTTTCCATGCTCTCAAATATCTTCTCTTCTGAAACTGCTTGACTGATTAATTTGAAATTTGGCATGCAAGTTTCTTAAGAAGACATCATAATTATCTTGTTCTAATCAATGTGATAAAAAATTGTTTTGTTAAAATTATTATCTTATATTATATTTCAATTTATTTTTAAAAATTACAAAAACTATTCTTAAAAAACACATGGGAAAAACTATCTTACGTTTTGTGTGAATATAATTGCAGTCAGATGATCCAAGATTGTTCAAGTTTGCGTTCAACATTGTCCTAAATGATGGTCCTGGAATCTTTTGCACCAATACCTTTTAACCTCAGTATAGATCTGTGTACGAAAGTAAGGTTGAATGTGTCATAATCATCAGGTGAGCTACAGAGCCTTGTGGCTCTATTTGCACAATGTGACTGAATGAGTGAATCTACCAAGTCAGCGGTATTCCAGCTAAATCACAGAAGCATCTAAATAACCGAATCTGGACAAGGAAAACCAGTGATTGAATCATGACAACACCATTGTAGTCAACCATGAGGACATGCATTGGACCTATTGTATGCTTGCAGTAAGTGAGTGAGTGAGTGAGTTGGGTTTAACGCCGCTTTTAACAGTATTCCAGTTATATTGCGTCGTGTCAGCTTAATGTGTGAGGAAAGCCCGAAGTGATGCAGGTCTCCGACGTTTACCACTTCAGTGAAACCCACGAGCAGGGGTATGGTGCTGACAAACCTAGAAACATAATCGGGGCGAACCGGGATTCGAATCCACAATCATAGGTTTCTGGCATGCCCAAGGGACGCAACTCTGCACAGTAAATCACGGCGCCTTAGATGACTGAGCCACCCGTGCCCCGCTTGCAGTAAGAGGCGATCAGGCCCAGTGACTTGTATCCCTTGTTGCTCAGTAAATTGAAGAAACTAGGAAACCATCACGCAATGTTAAATAATATATATGGTAAAATTGTGTCTGTAATAGAGTATGTAACTTACGCTGAAGACACTGATTTGTTTAGGAGTCGTTTCCATGAAATACATATTCTTTCAAAACACTAGGCGAAACCAAGGTTAGTATACTTCATCACATCACAATGTTTATGTCCCAATCATCAATATTACAACTATATGAAGGTGATAAGGGCGGTTGGGTAGCCTAGTGGTTAAAGCGCTCATTTGTCACATCGAGGACCCGGGTTCGATTCCTGAAGTGGGTACAATGTGTGAAGCCCATTTCTGGTGTCCCTGGTGTGATATTGCTGGAATATTGCTAAAAGCCACGTTAAACCAACACTCGCTCACTCACTCAAGGTGATATACGACAACCCGAAAGAGGGACAAATGGGAGACCACTTTAGACTGTCGGGGAGGTCAGTCGTGTGTTAATTTTAGTGTTCAACTGGATATAGTATCATCAAGGTAGGTTAGAATTACTGTCATCATAAAATGCTGGCTTTCTTTGTTGCCATATTTGCAACTGTTTATACTTTGTGTTGGGACACGAACTTCTCGTCCCACGTGACTGGTGGTATCAGTTTTCGTTTGGTGTGTTTGTTGCGAGCTGGTCGTTGGGTGTGTTTGGGCGAGCTGGTCGTTGGGTGTGTTTGGGCGAGCTGGTCGTTGGGTGTGTTTGGGCGAGCTGGTCGTTGGGTGTGTTTAGGCGAGCTGGTCGTTGGGTGTGTTTGGGCGAGCTGGTCGTTGGGTGTGTTTGGGCGAGCTGGTGGTTGGGTGTGTTTGGGCGAGCTGGTCGTTGGGTGTGTTTGGGCGAGCTGGTCGTTGGGTGTGTTTGGGCGAGCTGGTCGTTGGGTGTGTTTGGGCGAGCTGGTCGTTGGGTGTGTTTGGGCGAGCTGGTCGTTGGGTGTGTTTGGGCGAGCTGGTCGTTGGGTGTGTTTGGGCGAGCTGGTCGTTGGGTGTGTTTGGGCGAGCTGGTCGTTGGGTGCGTTTGGGCGAGCTGGTCGTTGTGTGTGTTTGGGTGAGCTGGTCGTTGGGTGTTTTTGGGCGAGCTGGTCGTTGGGTGTAAACTACTTCAAAATGCATAACGAATAAAGACGGACATGGGTTGAGGATATATCTAATCTCTTTGACTTTGAAACGACGTCTACAGACCCCGAGTTTGCTGTAAATTACAATGTAATGGTATAGAAAAATGCATGCACCTAGACATTACTCCGAGAAAAACGATTACAATTTCGGGTTGTAGTTTCGCCACAACCTAGATTGAAACTTACAAACTTATGTCACATTTGTTCGGCTCGTGATGTTCAGAATAAAAAAATTGAAAAAGGCGATCTAGTGATTCATAGCAAGTCTTGCAAATTGGCTCGAAACGTATCCACGATTTGTGACATATGTGTCAGGGGCTGAGTTCCAAAGAGTCGAAGCAAAAGCCTGATAAATAACGTTGACTCTGATGTTGATGTAAATGAAATTGTTGATCAGCTTAAGGGTATAAAAGTCATACATGCCAAGCGTTTATGACGAGGGAGAAGAACAGGACATTACTACCATTGTTTGGTTGGCATTTAACACTCCTCATCTTCCTGAGCGCATACAGATGTATTTTCAGTCATTTCTAGCCCGTCTTTACCCACAACCAGCAATTAGGTGTCACAATTGCCAACAGTTTGGCCAGGTGAGGTGCAAAATCAAAATGCAGTATGTACAAGATGTTTCTGTCTGCCTGCTCCGGGCGCTCTTTGGCTTTGAACTCTGGTCCAACATATCCAAAGGTGGATACATCTCTCTTGAAAGACCACAACGCGTCTGCCTCAAGATGTGCAAAGGCCTGCCTAGAACAACAAGGACTGACATCTGTAATATACTAATAAGATGGCATTCTTCTGAATCTCATATCAACTCAAGAAAGGTTTTCTTTCTTTTAAACCTGTGCAACAGCCCGAACCATTTTCTAGCCAGACAGCTCACCTTACTCGTCTCTTAGCCTTTAAGAACAACTGTTTTATGAATGCACGTGGCTTCACCCCGGATTTATGGAACAATCTGGAGAAGTATCTGCATCTAGACTTCAGTGTGAAACCAACAAACAACAAAGAAATGTTATACAATTAACACTTGTATAAAATTAACTAGGTCTACAAACCAATACAAATTACTGCAAAGTAACTACAATGGCAGGACTCAATAGAGAGGCAGTTCACAATTCAGCGGCAGTACTATTACAATGACAGTATAAAATATAATAGCGATGTTAATATCAATAAAGTCAGCGAGTCTAATATTCACCTAGCAGCAACAGTGGTCAAACCCAAATAGGCCTAGGATAGATATCTAGGGTGAAAATACTATCTTCACACAACCGCTGAGGTTGATGTAATATGAGATGAGAGGCACGCTCCTACACACTTATATAGTATAATTCCCCTCAAGAAAGCTCGACTGCATGCGTGGTCCAGTGGAAGGTCGGGGATTCGATCCGTTAAAAGATGGTACTTTTTGTTACCCTGCCTGAAACTCGACATTAAGGTGCTAAAACAAGGACTGGTCGGCTCGGAGTTCAACGATTCTGAAATATTTGACTCATTGTTTTTATATTCAAACGGTGGGGAAATTGCTACATTAAACGGAATAGTAACTTCAATAAATCCTTCAATCAAATTCAAAATGTTGTTGGGTGAATTTATTTCAGTCGAATGATCATAGATAAATCATTTGTATAGTTCAGTATTCTTATCTTGTCAGCCAGATCTTGAAATCTCTCACGGATATGGGGGCGGTTGGGTAGCCTAGTGGTTAAAGCGTTCGCTCGTCACGCCGAAGACCCGGGTTCGATTCCCGACATGGGAAGAAATGTGTGAAGCCCATTTCTGGTGTCCCCCGCCGTGATATTGCTGGAATATTGCTAAAAGCGGCGTAAAAAACATACTCGCTCACTCTGACGGATATGATGGCGGTTCCATCGAATGGCGGTTCCATCGAACGCCGATTCCAGCGTCCTCTGAAACCAGCCGTGACAGAGTATAAGCCCTTGCCGTGACCGCCAGGTATCTGCCCCTGTCTCGGTTATTTAACTGGCCCGAAGCCATTATGTCCTTGAACCTTTGCTGATTCAAGAGAACAAGCTTTGGTAAGAGTCGAATCCGCCACCTCCAGGAGCACGTGTGTAATCCACTGAAGCGCCCTGAAAATCATCGATGTTTCACTGTCAAACTGTGACTTCACGAAAAGCGACGACTATAAATTCTTGGCGTAAGCTGTGCTCGCTCTCTGTTAACTCGCAAGTAACAAAAATGGCGTTTTGCGAAACGACCAGTCTGGATTGACAAGATTGATTAATGAGAAATCTACAGTTTATGAAAAAACATTCATTTTAGGCAGAATAACAAACTGCAAGAAGCGTTATCAACTCTATAAATGGCCATCTGTCATTATTCTGCCTTATCAATGTGGAACTAACGTGACAAGGAAGTCAACAGTTGTTTATGGGCCACACTTACGATAAAGGGGGACAATTTGAGGGGAGGTCACTCTTTTATGACAATAGGTCCGTCAAAGTGTTATGTTCACCTCAAAACTCCAGTCGTCCCAGACACTCAGTACCAAACTTTATGGTCCTTGTTGAAGTGGGTCGAGAACCTTGACATATATATTAGAATATGTAAACGTGTTATATATTTCTGGCTTAAGCTTACTTATAGCCAATCCCTTTCCACTGATTTGACCGTCTGAATTAGAAATAAAATGGACAAGTAAAACCACCTCGTCAGTTTTATATCCAGAGCTAGGCATAACGATGCAGAGTGTCACTTTTATTTAGTATAGCACTAGGATTAGTATTTGTAAGTGTTTAATTTACCTCACTATGTAATATAAACCTTTCAGTTATTTCTGTTACATGTTAAACGTTAATCTGTTTATGAGATCATGAGAAATTGGTGATATCGTGATATCTTGCACAAATTATTTGGACTTTCCAAGCTGATATTTATTTTACTTGTACAGTATTCAACCTCATTTTAACATTTTATAACACTTTAGCATGTAACATGTATAGTGAATTCAAAACAGAAAATGGAAGAAAAAATACCATCTTTCTATCCATCGGTCGTAGATTGTGAGGTGAGGTAAGATGAGGTGAAATTGTGTTGGACCTCGTGATAAAGCTTATTGCACTTATATAGCGACGTGTATGCACGTGTGTGTGCTGGTTGTACTTGTAATAGCATGAACGTATACTGGGTATACGGTGCTAACCAACTGAGATAGCATCCCGTAGCTGTGGCTATAGTGCCGGATAATGATACCCGCCTGTAAAACCTCAGGCATTTGCAGTTGTACATGAAATATTAAATCTAACTCCTATCTGGTAAATTTGATTACCATAAAAATAATTATGTCTAATATTTTCTGCAATTTTTTCTTAGTATATACACAGGGTTATGTGAAGATAATAACGTGTTTCCAATGATGGAACTTCGTGGTAAATATCAGTAAACCCTGACAGCATGCAATGTATGTATCCCACTCTATTTTCTCTCATTTCACCCATTTTCATTTTCATGAGAAGTGAAATGAAAATGTTCAGTATTAATATGTGACAGGAATGATGATAAATGTGTGTTTCAGAAGTGGAACCTCGGGGTTAATAAAAGTTCCAGAAAGTAGACCCCTGACTGCATAATGTCCACCCCATTTGGGCTGATTGGATTTTTCGTCCTGTGAGAATGTCTTTGCATAATTAAAACATTATGCAGTCAGGGAGTAATAATAATACAAGTAAAATAATAAGTTAATTTTGTTTCAGTATAGTTGGTCAAGTAATGTATATTTTGTCTTATTTCTGATGTGTAAAATCTGAATTTTCGTCCTGTGAAAATATCGACGCTCATGCTAATGTGCAGTCAGGGTGTAATCCCACACCTTCCCGAGCGCATCAGCCTGAAACACGAGCGATTCCGCATCGGTTTATATGTCTAATCTGAGTGTTTATACTTCACACAAAATGCCATCGCAACAAAATCTATCCTGTACTCGACTCAAAGATTTGTTTGGACAATGAATATGCATAAATTTCGCTAAATGCCCTGTGCATGACGATACACGTGAGCAGAAAGGGAATTCCCTCGACTGTAATATAGGGATTTCCCGACATTCAGTAGTAATTAAAGTAGTTCGCTTCGGTGGGTGTAGATTTTCACGTATTAGGATACTTTCTTAATGAACCGCAACCATTCTTTGACATTTGTTTATGAAAATGTGTAAACTTGTCAAACATGAAACGGATGAAAAGCATATGCAATATCTTGAATGGATTGTGAAAGATGTGACGAATCGTCACTATGCTGGCTGGCTGCCGGCTACATGGAACTCTTGGTAGGAGAGTGTGGGTAATGAATGCAATAGCCTGTGACCAATTCAGCTAATCAGAATGCAGGAATTTCAATGAACACAAGGAAAATTTAATTATATTATTATATATATTGCAGACACTCCATCCAAGAATAACACTTACTTTATGGATGATGTAAATCCTGCTGTGGAACCATGCATAAAGCACAAGTATCGTAAGTCCCAGGTATGGTGGTCTAACTTTGGATACTAGTAGTCTATAGCTCATTTTTATCTTGTGTTGTTGAATTATAATTTGTTCTTTCAAATGTTCGCAACTAACTTTTCGCAATCAAAACTGTGATCATCAAGTTATTATATTGTCCATCGATGACAGGTTTTTATTTAGTTTAAATATAGTTATTATCAATGTATAAATTTTCGGCACCATATAGCTGACATACTGCCGATGTGACGTTAAATTTAACTCGCTCACTCACTCACTCACCAACTGAGAGATGAACCATAAAAACCTTTCTTTCCTTGGTGTAATGATTACAATGTCCAAAAATAAGTACAAACCAACCCAATAACAATTTCTTAGACTAACATTTAGTCTATGAAATCTTATATTACACAATACCCTTCTCGGCTCTAAATATAAAAACAATAATTTTCCCTATGCTGATTTCATATGTGGATAGGGCTAGCTAGAGCTGGCTAGACTTGCTTTTGTATACTTTTCTAGATTGTTTTTTCCCCATTAAATAAATATATTCCACAGTTATGGTGCAGGACTAACGAAATACAGTGTCCTTTACTCATTATCACGTATAATCTGCGCAATAGTATCCAATTCAGATCGTGCACAATATAAACTTCACGAACTGAGGGATTTACTAGAAAGAAACTAAACAAGAGAAATAGTAGAAGAGGCAAAAAACTAAAGACTTAATCACAAAACCGTTGTGATCTTCTAAATATATACCGAACGAGTTTTCTCCATTTGGTTTCTAGTTTTAAACCCCAAACCCTTGACATATTTGGAAATGTTCGGTAGACACTGTTTTCTTTAAACATGTGTGAAAAACCTAAACAAAAAAACATGACTAAAAAACTTCTTGTCATCAAAAACAGAGCCGACATAATCTTTAAACAATTTCTTACTAGGGCTTCTTTCTCACAAGAAGAAAATGAATCTAAAACTGAAAAAGAGTGACACGCCAAATTGTGATACCTGCCCTCAATGTTTTACAAAGTAGCCCTTTTACATTCAACGACGGAAAATTTTTCCGTGTCCTTGTAACTATGAATTGTGCTTCCAAATACTTGGTTTATGTAATACAATGCGGGAAGAAGAGTATATTGGCCAGACGGGATATCCTAAGACTGAGAGTATAAGTCCACCAACAACAGATACGGGATCCCTCTTGCCGGTGTATCCCACTTAATCAACACATTGATCAATGTGCCGGAATAAAGAATTTTTTGGGTCATATTCCCGTTTTACAAGATATTGTGCTGAAATGATGCACTTAGAAAGATAAAAGTAAGTTTTTCACACTTTCAAAACTGAATTAAATGGCCTCAAATATGTGATTTAATTTATGCAAATATTTAGGAGATAAAAACATACTGTTTTCAATGTAAAATTTAACCTCGCCAAATTGAATTTGTAACAGTATGCGCAGTATTTGCATAATGCTATTTTCAGATAGTGATATTTGTTGTAATTATCACGTAAATACGCCTCGGGTTTTATGAAAATGCTATGAGTACATGCTGTAACAGTAATGACTATGTTTATCATGTTGTAGCCTTCCAAACAATTTGAGTGTCAACAGCGTAATCACATATCCCATCCCGTTTGCATAGGTTTCAGACATGTAAAATCTGAGTTTTCGTTCTGTGTAAAATATCTTCGTGTATGACAGTGGACTGTGAATAACCACACTCCGTGCCGAGAGCTTCGAGCAGAAGCAGGGGGAAATATTACCTCGGTTATTACGTGTAATCTGACATTCTTAGACATTTGATTAAAACAAAATGTCTTTGCGCTGGAACCCACCCTGTACTCGACTTGTGCTGGTGTTAACAATGATAGTTGCAACAGTTCTCACAGTTGTATATTTCAAAGGATCGAATTTTGTCGCTAATATTCCCAGGACAGAGTTGTCCTCTGTTAATAACCTGCACATAAAACTGGGTAACATTCAAAACGCCATCAGTGAGTTGTCTTGGGACATCAAAGAGAGGGAGAATGAGATACAGCCCCAAGTTGAAGTGAGGACCAAACCGTCGCTTCAAGCACAACCCTTTAAGAAGAAGATCCCATGGCAGGGGATTGCGTACAGAAGAACAAACGGATCATGGGTAGCAGATGACAGTGTGTGTACAGAAGACGAAGTGTTTGATCGGGCGACTCTCAAAACACCCGCTGGAAATACGCCCATCTTCATCCACGATGTCGTCGTAGATCGCTCAGTCTCTAAACGCCTGAAGGCTGTTGGTAATTGGGAGCCGGAAGTCATGTACACTGCTTTTGAAGCACTGAAAGAAAATAAAGATCACGTGTTTGTCGACGTCGGAGGCAATATTGGAACATTCAGTCTTGCTGCTGCTAAACTGGGGCACAGGGTCATCTCTGTTGAGCCCTATGCTATGAACACTAAACGCCTGTGCCGAGGAGTGGTAAAAGGTGGGTTTGCTGGACAGATGTTTGTCATATATAATGCAATGTCATACGTGCGGGAAACAATTTCATTTAAAGTCTTCCCAAAGGAGGCTGCAATGACACGCATTGTCAAAGCAACTAACACCAAACCAAGCAGCGATGCGGTAACGACCATTCAGATGAACGATCTGTTGGAGATGTTTGACATCAAGTCAGCTGTTTTGAAGATGGACTGTGAGGACCATGAAGTAGATGTGATGAAAGGTGCCGAGATTTTCTTCAAGGTTGTCGATGTGCGCATGGTGATTATTGAATGGGACAAACTTTACAAAAACCCAGAAACACCATATATAATAGAAATGATGGAACGATTCAAATTTAAACCATATACAATTGGCAAGGACGCAAAGCCTTTGAATATCTCTGAATACAATCAATGGAATATAAGGAACATTGTGTTCAAAAGATAAGAATAACACATGTGTTGTATATATTCTGATGCTGTTTTATCATATATCTGTGAATCACTTAAATTGTTCATTTCATTTTTGTCCTTGATGCGTCAATTTGGAAGTGTCCCGTACACGTCTACAATAAAAACAATTTGATAGCTTTCCTGAGGCCTTCGATTTTCTCATATTCATATCATTCATATGAGACAGAGTATGATTTTAGATATCGATGAACTATTCAATTAAAAAGCAAGAACTCCTTCTGAGAGAGAGAGAGAGGGGGGGGGGGGCTACATACCATAGAATAATGAGGTAGTTATCAATATACAAGTATATGGCGGCAAATGACACATTAGGTATACTGATTGATTACTTGGCAGAAAAATCTAGAAGGTTTCCTTCATATGATGGTAGTTTTACTTCGCAGTAAATTTATCATAGAATTTATCATTTAACATAGAAGGACGACTATCTGTTAGTCATTACTGATAATTTGGCAACCATTTAAAAGGAGGTACCAAACCAAAGGGGAGACGGTGCTCTTCTGCACACATGCCATGATTTTGAGCACGAACTTGTTTATTTTACAAGAACCTCATGTTATAATGAAACTATTAAACGTTTTTAACGTTTAATAGTTTCATTATAACATGAGGTTCTTGTAAAATAAACAAGTTTCCTGGAATAAACAGTTTGTCAATGAACTTTCATAAAACCTATAATATGTTTGCTTTCATTTCAACTGAACATGAATGTTTCGATTAATCAGTTTAACACAATTATTCTACACTAAATTCACTGTATTGATCAGCCAGTGATTTAATGATATGACATGTTATTTTATAATTAAGATCGGTACCATATTTGTACAAAGTATTTAAGACAGCTCTATGACTGTTAGGGGGAGGACATATTGACCTCGTGTTCATGTAATAAGACCGATTAATTGTAAAGAGTCCGTTATCTGATCCTCTTCGAAAAGGGTAAAATTCATCTGGGTTTCCATGGACTACTGTTCCAGTATATCAGGATATCCCTGGGTTACTATGGACTACTGTTCCAGTATATCGGGATAGCCACGGGTTACCATGGACTACTGTTCCAGTATATCGGGATAGCCACGGGTTACCGTGGACTACTGTTCCAGTATATCGGGATATCCCTGGGTTACCATGGACTACTGTTCCAGTATATCGGGATAGCCTCGGGTTACCGTGGACTACTGTTCCAGTATATCGGGATATCCCTGGGTTACCATGGACTACTGTTCAAGTATATCGGGATAGCCACGGGTTAGCGTGGACTACTGTTTCAGTATATCGGGATCTCCCATGGTTACCATGGACCACTGTTCCAATATATCGGGATAGCCACGGGTTACCGTGGACTACTGTTTCAGTATATCGGGATATCCCTGGTTTACCGTGGACTACTGTTCCAGTATATCGGGATAGCCACGGGTTACCGTGGACTACTGTTCCAGTATATCGGGATATCCCTGGGTTACCATTGACTACTGTTCCAGTATATCGGGATAGCCACGGGTTACCGTGGACTACTGTTCCAGTATATCGGGATATCCCATGGTTACCGTGGACTACTGTTCCAGTATATCGGGATATACCATGGTTACCGTGGACTACTGTTCCAGTATATCGGGATATCCCTCGGTTACCATTGTCTACTGTTCCAGTATATCGGGACATCCATTAATTACCAAGACCTCTGTTCCAGTATATCGGGATATCCATGGGTTACCATGGACCTCTGTTCCAGTACATCGGGATATCCCTGGGCTACCATGGACGACTGTTCCAGTATATCTGGATATCCATGGGATTTCCCAGTATAACGGGATAAACGTGGGTTATGATGGACTTCTGTTCCAGTATATCTGGATATCCCTGGGTTACTATGGACGACTGTTCCTGTATAAATGGATATCCATCGGATTTCCGAGTATAACGGGATAAACGTGCGTTATCATGGACTACTGTTCCAGTATATCTGGATATCCCTGGGTTACCATGGACGACTGTTCCAGTATAACGGGATAAACGTGGGTTACCAAGACAAAGACACACTGTTGGACGATGACTGAATGTTGTCTCAACATATCTGAGATATTCTTGATTCCCATGGTGCCAAATGCCGGGATTACCACGTATTTTCCACCATATCGGGACGAACGATTGAACGGAATACCATCAATTACCAACAACTAGAGCAAGCAGTGTTGGCATTACCATGGATTTACACTGTTCCATAATATCAAAGATGTGGTAAGAATAGGTCCCCCAACACCACATACATGTATTTGTTTGTTTGTATGTTGTTTAACGCGGCACTCCGCAATATTCCAGCTTCATGACGGTGGTCTGTAAATAATCGAGTCTGGACCAGACAATCCAGTGATTGACATCATGAGCATCGATGCACGCAATTGGGATACGATGACATGCATTAGCCAAGTCAGTGAGCCTGACCACCCGATCCGGTTAATCGCCCCTTACGACAAGCATAGTCGCCTTTTACGACAAGCATTGGTTGCTGAGGACCTATTCTACCCCGGATCTCACGGGTTTGTGTTAAGAGGCGACTGATGGGTTTTGAGGTAGTTGTGATGTGTGACCTGGTCGAATGAGTGTCATTGAGCCCCACTGGATAAAATCGTAGGTCATGCAAGCTACACACAACTTAATTGTGAGATATCTGCGGAGATTCATCTTCTCAATATTTTGCTGAAGTACAAGAACAGATACCCATAATAATATTCTCTCAAATATGGAAGAGAAGAAATGTACAAAGATCTTAACGTCTGCTGAAAACGCCTCCCGATACGTCTCCATGATCTGAACTATGCAAATATTGCACCCAAAAACTGCACAAATTAGGAGTGAGTGAGTATGGTTTTACGCCGCTTTTAGCAATATTCCAACAATATCACGGCGGGGAACACCAGAAATGGGCTTCACACATTGTACCCATGTGGGGAATCGTACCTGGGTCTTCAGCGTGACGAGCGAACGCTTTAACTACCAGGCTACCCTACCTGCCTTAATTACAATAGGACAAATGTTAACGGAAGTAGCTTTTATTCATACATTTCAAAATATATTACACAATAAATTGCATACAGTATCTCACATACAACATGTACACTCTCATACAACATCTTATATACAACATGTACAGCATCATATATTATCATCCAAAACTGGCTCCCACAGGAGATATCGCTTGGGTGAGATCAAAGATGAAATTGCATCACAATGCTTTGCAGACCATTGTGACGTCATTGTTACCATGACGTCACAATCAAATGACATCACTAATGGCGCGCATATACAATCTGTCTTCATTCACATTCCAGTTGAGTTTATACTTTCTTAAACACAACGTTCCTATTTTTCCATCGAGTATACTCAGACATATCCAAGGCTTTTGCGTTTTTCCCGAGGTTGTATGGTTTGAAATTAAATCTCTTCATCATTTCTATGATATACAGTGTTCCCTGGTTTACAATAAGTTTATCCCATTCTATCAGCACCATGCGTACATCGACTTTTTGAAAAAAAATCTCTGCACCCTTCATCACCTCCACTTCGTGGTCCTCACAGTCCAGCTTTATAACAGCTGACTTCATGTCAAACAGCTCCAGAAGATCGTTCATCTGTATGGAAGTTACGGTATCTGTGTTTGAAGTTGAGTTAGTAACTTTCTCAACACGGGTCATTGCAATATCATTAGGGTGGAGCTTAAATGAAAGCGTTTCTCGGAGTTCAGACATTGCATTGTGAATGACAAACATCTGTCCAGCAAACCCACCTTTTACCACTCCTCGGCACAGGCGTTTGGTGTTCATAGCATAGGGCTCAACAGAGATGACCCTGTGCCCCAGTTTAGCAGCAGCAAGACTGAATGTTCCAATATTGCCTCCGACGTCGACAAACACGTGATCTTTATTATCTTTCAGTGCTTCAAAAGCAGTGTACATGACATCCGGCTCCCAGTTGCCAACAGTCTTCAAGTATTTAGAGACCGAGTGATCTTTGACGACATCGTGGATGAAGATGGGCGTATTTCCAGCGGGTGTTTTGAGAGTCGCCTGATCAAACACTTCGTCTTCTGTACACATACTGTCGTCTGCTACCCATGATCCATTTGTTCTTTTGTACGCAATCCCCTGCCATGGAATCTTCTTCTTAAAGGGCAGAGCTTGAACTGCTTGTCTTGGCGTAGGTTTCGCTGGAACTGGACTTGGAACTCGAGCTGGTACCTTGTTCTGGTGTGATTTTATATCCACAGACAACTCACCAACTGAATGTTGAATGTTATCCATCTTTGTGTTCAGACTGGTAATACAAGGTCCCTGTGTCTTCCAATAATTATTGTTTAGTCTAGGTCCCTTAACATACAACAGTAGAAGAACTGCGGCTGCTGTTGTAAATGCCAGCACCGGTCTGGCATAGAACCGAAACTTCTCTTGGAACATCTTGTTCAAGTCCATGCGTCTCCTCCAGCAGCAATGTCAACAAGGTATTTGTTCTGACCGAGCGCAGCTTCTTTCAACACAGACCTGCTGATACTGGTCGTTTGTACACTTCATCCCTGACTGCATGCGTCTATATAGCTGGAGATAACAATCCACTCGTTATCTTAATCCGGGTTAGCATTCGCTGTGTACGGAGTTCCCCAGGCTATGTCGTTCTGGAGGGACAATCACAACTGGCTCACAATGGAGTGGGGATAATGAGATGTTGATTGCAACACTTATGGCATTAAACCTTCTGTCTCTGATAAGAATAATCTACTGAAATAGAATTGCCTTTGGATCAAATGACGGAAGGTTTCCCAATACGTACAATACCACTTTCTTTTTCTTCTTTTGCATCTGTCCTGCTCAAGTTTCAAAGAGAGATTATGCTCTTGCTTCCTTCAATGAATTCTTTGGTATTCACTTCTTGAGAAAGTTACCATCGTTCCAACAGTGTTGGTCTTGTCGTACAACTTGGTGACCCAACGAAAAACTGTCCTAACTATGGTATACTGTCAGGGACATTCTCTCGAGCTCGCATTCTCCCGATCTCGACCTTTGGAAACAAGCTCAATATGCCAAAAGTGCGAGAACGCAAAAATCTCGCGTTTTCGTGTTTTTTTACATAACACATTTCTGTCATAAGTCGACAACGCGAGAATACAACATTTGGACAGGATGCAAAATATCGCAATCTCGCAGTCTTGACTTGTCAAATCACAAACAGGAAATCAAGAGAATGCGACATTTCATTGCGACATAACCCGTATAGTTATTTATTCATGTGCTGCACGTTACTGTTGGATCATGTAGCACGTTGTGAGGGGTGTTACCGGTTCAAGCATTTCTTGTCAAAGGCATCAGTGAAATTCGGTGACTTCAAGGTGAAAATGCTTTGTGAATTAGTCAAGGTTAGATCGTGTCTAATGAGAGTGTGCATTCTCGATCCTAAATATTTCATTGTGTTCAGTCGAAACCATCAGGACTATGTGTTCAGTCTTGATCCCGAACGCCTACAAATGTACCTTGTCTAGATCCTGAATGTATGTGTTCGGTCCAGATCCAGAATGTCTAATGTATGTGTCTAGTCTAGATTCTGAATGTCTAATGTTTATGTCTAGTCTAGATTCTGAATGTCTAATGTATGTGTCTAGTCTAGATTCTGAATGTCTAATGTATGTGTCTAGTCTAGATTCTGAATGTATGTGTCTAGTCTAGATTCTGAATTTCTTATGTATGTGTCTAGTCTAGATTCTGAATGCCTAATGTATGTGTCTAGTCTAGATTCTGAATGTCTAATGTATGTGTCTAGTCTAGATTCTGAATGTCTAATGTATGTGTCTAGTCTAGATTCTGAATGTCTAATGCATGTGTCTAGTCTAGATTCTGAATGTATAATGTATGTGTCTTCTCTAGATTCTGAATGTCTAATGTTTATGTCTAGTCTAGATTCTGAATGTCTAATGTATGTGTCTAGTCTAGATTCTGAATGTCTAATGTATGTGTCTAGTCTAGATTCTGAATGTCTAATGTATGTGTCTTGTCTAGATTCAGAATATTTAATGTCTTGGTGTGACGCCTAAGTTAAGCTTTAGCCGCCATCATGTATGAGGAATGCCAGCAATTTATTGTCCATGTTTAATTACAAGGAACTGATAACTTATAGGTACAAGACATTTGTCTATTGTCTGGGTGGCTTGTCCTTGCTAAATATGCGTTAAGCAGCATGAGAGGAGGCCTCCTTGGGTAAGTGACAACGTACTGACGCGACACTACTTGCTTCACACAGGCAGCCTGGTTTTCGATAGGCACCGCATTGTGTAAAGCCTAGGGCAGTGTTCAAAGTGCCGATTGGTAAGACCCGTGGTCAATGGACACTTAGGTCAGATTGCCCACGTAAATTAGATCCATTTGATAGGCCAGCGTAACATGCAGTTTTGTGGGTACGCAGGAACATCCATGAAAACGCTAGCCTCCATTCCTGACTGCAACATTGTACTACTGAACCATTGCCATATACACACTCATAAACACACGCACGCACGCACGCACGCACGCACGCACACACTCACACATACATACACATACGCTCACACGCGCATACGCACATGCGTACTAATACGAATGCGTATCTACTTTGATTTATGTATATGTCGGGATATTTTCAGGGTCAGTGGTAGATCATTTACATTCTGAGATAGTTTCATGTATGGAAATTATATTCCCCAAATAAACTATAATCAATAGCACTCTTAAACTGTATTTATTTTTTTTTAAAATGTTTCTTTTATGAAACTAATTTCGTCTTCACATCAAACAAATAACCTGAGAATAAAGGTAATAATCTAAAGATCAGATCACAAGACAGTATCAGTTAACAGAATCTATATTGGCGAAAGAGTCCATTACTATGTTGAAATGTTTATTAGATAGACCTCCGGCTACATCGTCCTGTGCCTCATCACCTTCACAACGCCCTAAGGCCTATACGACCTTGAGATTTATGAGACTGCCTACCCCAGATTTAGGGGTCTGTTAAGAGGGTATTAGGGACTCAGCAGAAAGGTACGCGTGACATGAAACAAATCGTATTTGGTACGGATATCCAACATTTAAAAGGATAATACGTAAGAATGTCCTTTTTTCGATATTTTTCAGTTCAAAAGTACCCAAAGATTCAACATCAATGAAATTTGATGCAATGGTTGGAAGAAATTGTATCTGAAAATATAATTTTATCAGGAATAATATATTCCCATGTAGTGTTATTTTAGTTGCAGCTTTTACTATGTATAAAAGTTAAGAAAAGAGTTAGCGCCTTATTGAAGGGCGCAAAAGCGAGGAAACACTGTAATAACGAAATACATGTCGCTTTTATCATATATAGACGGCATACTTGGCGACTGTCTATTACAGAGATAAACAGGAAGTACGTTTGCGCAGCAGGTATCGAAACTAGGGAGATAAGTAAAAAGAATTGTTTTTATTGTAAGCGACTTGTTACTGACGCTCAGGACCCGTGATCCGGGGTAGAAGAGGTTTTCAGCAACCCATGCTTGCCGTAAATGGCGACTATGCTTGTCGTAAGAGGCGACTAACTGGATCGGGTGGTTGATGCATGTCATCGATTTCAATTGCGTGGATCGATGCTCATGATATCAATCACTGGACTGTCTGGTCCAGACTCGATTATTTACAGACCGCCGTCATATAGCTGGAATATTGCTGGATGAGGCGTTAAACAACAAACAAACAAACCAACAACTGACGCTCAGATGTCAAAGCGATAGTGAACAGCTGATGAATCATTTTGTGAGTGAAATGGCTGACCTACGGAATTTTAAGTTTTTGATCTGGGATGGTGGGGTTAACGACAAAAAAATGATTTAATTTAATTTATTTTTCTCAAAAAACAGTATGACTGTAAAAAAAAAGAATACAAACAAGACGCATGGTTGAGCGAGTTTGAATGGGCGAAGATGAACGCAGATGGCAAGGACTTAATTAATTTGTATTGTTTGCCGTAAATGATAACTGAGAACATAAAACTTAATGAAATTTAACAGGACAAGTGAAAACATTGCAGGACGAGTACGAAATATAATCTACTTGCAGTGCAGGACATGTTGGGTTTAAGAATTGTTTCCAGCCCTGTCGCATCCTCGCACACCCATAGTTAGCTCGTTTCCAAAGGTCGAGATCGCGAGAATGTCCCTTACAGTATTCCATAGTGCGGAGTTTTGTTCTTATAGAATGGAGATTGTAATACACTGGCTAATCGTGTATGAGTTTGAATTAGCATTGCAGATATCGTACTAGTCAACGTCGGGAAGAATATGTCAAATTTTCCTTTTTCCACAATCGTTGCTACATTGTTCGTTCATCCAAATGTAAATAGGTGCATGATATGAATGAATGATTTTAGCTGTTGATGTTCACCCTAGCTGTTATTGACCGTGGTAGTTCTGACCATTCAAGACAGCATCCAGCATTTTTATAAGGGAGGGGTCCAAAATATCAAAATCCTCTCTCCGATAATTTTACCACCTACAACATACTACATTTGGTTGAAAAAAGAGGGAGGGGGTCCGGGCCCCCTGCCCCCCACCCTATGCCATTCCTGGTATAGGGCCTGGAGACCCGGATCAGGGTTTCGAATCCAAAAATCACCCGGTCGAGACCATTGGTTAGCCAGCACAAAAGCTGTGTTTTTAAGAAGGTTGAACTTTAGGAAATGAAACATTATATCTGAGAAAAAAATCGGCACAATGGTGTGACTTGGATCCGCAGTTCCACTATATCTGGATATCCATAGGCTTCCATGGACCACTGTTCCAGTACATCGGGATATCCATGGGGTACCATGGACCACTGTTCCAGTATATCTGGATATCCATGGGTTACCATGGACTACTGTTCCAGTACATCGGGATATCCATGGGTTACCATGGACCACTGTTCCAGTATATCGGGATATCCATGGGTTCCCATGGACTACTGTTCCAGTACATCGGGATATCCATGGGTTACCATGGACTACTGTTCCAGTATAACGGGATATCCATGGGCTACCATGGACTACTTTTCCAGTACATCGGGATATCCATGGGTTACCATTGTTCCACACTATTGGACGTTGTCCCAACATATCTGAGTTATTCTTGACTCCCATGGTGCCAAATGCCGGGATTACCACGTATTTTCCACCATATCGGGACGAACGATTGAACGGAATACCATTGATTACCAACAGCTAGAGCCAGCAGTGTTGGCATTACCATGGATTTACACTGTTCCGTAATATCACAGATGTGGTAAGAATAGGTCCCCAAACACCACATATTTGTTTGTTTGTTTGTTGTTTAACGCCGCACTCCGGGGGATGCAGGGCTCACCTTGTAGTTAAATGGTGAGAAGTCACCCGAAAGACCAGTGCCCCGAGAGCCAAAGCGATCGCAGCGCTAAGATGGTCGTAACTCCCATACATTAACACAGACTTTCGTCAGTCGTAGCGCTACGATCGCTTTGTGAACAGGAGCCAGGTTC